AGAGAGGGGCGGCTCACGGGTGTGGTCGCCGCATCTGCTGTGCGCTGCAGAGGAGGGACAGGGCTCAGTCAGCTCGGGCTCGCCGCGCTCGCTCGAGGCGCGACAGAGGAGACACTCACCGTTGAACGAGGCGTCGTTGTCGGGTGGTCGGCCTGCGCACGGGCGGGCTCAGGGTCAGCTCGCGGGGCCCTAGAGAGGTCGAGAGAGTAGGACGCACCATCTGTGCACGCGTGTGCTCCCCTCGAGAGGGCGTGTCGTCGAGTCGAGGTCGGCCGATGTCGTCGATGAGGCGGCGACGCCCGTGTCGGACGAGCGGCGTGTGCTGTCGGCAAGGCTGAGCTCGCTGGGCTGTCGGGCTAGCTAGCGAGCCTGGGCTCACTCGGGCGAGTCGGTGTAAGGAGGAGGGGCGGTGCAGCAGTTGTCGCTCTCTTGCTCGTCGACCTCTCTCGCGCCCGCTCCCGACTTGGACGCGCTCTCATCTCTCTCTCGCGCAGCCCGTCAAATAGCGACATGCGTTTGCAGACAAGGGCAGGGGATAGTACAGGTCTACGAGAGCCACGCACCTGCAGAGGGAGAGGTGCGAGCGTCAGGTCGAGTCGAACGAGAAGGAGGGAGAGGAAGAGGAGGGACGGACCAACGACTACCAGCCAGCCTCGCGCAGGCGGGCCACCTCCTGCTCGATGACGGTCCGCTGCTCGACGACGCGCTCCTCGCGCGAGCGCAAGACGTTGCGCTTCTTGCGCAGGCCCGTCGCGCGCCTCTGGGCCACCTGCTCGCCGACCTCGCGCGCGTCGACGTCGTTGCCGCCCTGCTTGCTGACCTGGCGCAGGCGCTCGCGCTCGGCTTGCGGCTTGCGCGCCCCACGGTACCTCGGCGACGACACGCCGTACTTGTGGCCGTCGCCAATCTTGAGCATCTTGCGGTCGCGCATCTCGTCCATGCGGTCGCGCTCAAAGTGCTCGTTGAGCCACCCGCGGGTGCGCTCCTGCGGGTACCAGAACGGCTCGGTCATGGTGACGATGACCTTCTTGTAGCTCTTGGTGCCGCCGGACCGCGAGTAGCCGCCGCCGAGCGGGGACCGCTTGAGCGGCGACAGGTAGTTGATGGTGCGCACCGACGTGACGTGCAGGCCGTACACGTTCTTGAGGTAGTTGGTGATGTCGGGCTTGGCGAGCTGGAGCGATGTGCGGAACGTGGCCGTGTACGGGTCGTCCTTGTGCTCGCCCGAGTTGCGCACGAGCCGGACAAAGACCGACGGCAGGTAGACGCGCACGTGGCCCTGCGTCGCGTGCTCGTACTCGCCGAGCGCGCCGTCGGCCTTGAGCACGGTCGGCGACGTCGCCTTGCGCACCCGGCGCGGCGTGCGGCCCTTGGTGCGCGACGAGTCGGCGGCGTACCGGGGCGCGGCCGCGCGGGGGGCGGCGTCACCAGGGGCAGCGACGACGCCGTCCGACGACGACGACGAGGCCTTGGGCGTCACGACGTACGGGTTGCCCGGCAGGGGCTCGGCGGTCGAGCGCGAGGTCGAGGGCTGGGTGCGGTTGCGCGCGAGGGGAGGGTCGAAGGGCGAGTCGACGACGGTCGTCGCGAGCGTGCGCGCCTGGTGGCTGCACAGCTGCGGGCGGGCGGCCTGCAGCGTGCGCTGGGCGGTGCGGCGCAGGGCGGCCTGCATCGTCGAGGCGAGGGGAAGGGTGGAGGACGAGGTCGGGGGGAAAGTTGGCGATGAAGGCCAGCTCGAGGACGGTGCTGCCGATGGTGGACGGACGGGAGGCACAGAGGGTTGTCGTTTGTCGGTGCGGTTCCTGCTGCTCAGTGCAGTCGCCGGTGTGCGCGGAGGCGAGCTCGTTGGCGAGGAGGACGACTAGGTCTGGTCAATCATGCAAGTGCGCCTCCCCGTGAGCTGAGCCGGCCGCGCTCGACGGGCAGAAACCGGCGCGTGGACTGCCCCTTTGCCGTTTCGAGCCCACTCAAATTGGCCTCGATCAACCGCGTTCTTCTCCTCGTCGGCGCCCACTCTCATCCTCGCTCCCTGCGCCTCTGTGCTTTCAGATCTCTCGCGTGCGTCTTCAGCCCTCGACAACCAGCGCCCACCGTGCTGCCAACCGCGACCGCCCCACCGCCGGGCTCCTCCTCCGCCTCGAGCGCGAGCGCCTCTCCGGTCCGTCGCCGGCGTCCAGCACCGCCGCGCAACATGGCCTCGCGCCTGTCGCGCTCGCTCAAGAGCCTGTCGTCACTCGTACCCTTCCTCGCGTCGAACCCGGGCGGCGACCCCTCGTCCTCCCACCCGGCCGGCGCCTACTCCGCCATCCCGCTCTCGTCCATGCCCAGCTCGCCCCTCGACGGCGCCGAGAAGCAGCACACGTACGCCTCGCCACCACCCTCGACGCGGCGCAATGCCCTCGCCCATGCCTGGCTCTGGGTCTCGCCCATCCTCGTGCTCGCCCTCGCGTCGTCGACCTACCTCGCCGCGCGCAGGACCAACTCGGGCGTCCTCGACCCGTACGTGTGTGCGCCCAAGAGCAACTGGACCTTGTTGCGCGACGTGTGCGCGGCGGACCGAGGTGCAGGGGAGCAAAAGGTGCGCCGCCTCGCGTTCACTTCCCTCTTCCGCGTCCACCTAGAGCTGACCAGGTTGTCCACGCGCCGCAGGACGACAACTACGAGCTCGCCCTCGATCGTCACCTGACGCAGGACCAGTGCGACGCCATCTACCCGGGCCTTTACCTGTGCGTCCTCGCCCCCCTTTCCTCCTCACTCGCGCACGGCCCGACTCACTCGTCTCCTTCTGCAGCGAGGTCGAGCGCGCGCACGACTACTGGAAGGCGCGAGGAGGTGTCACGCAGAAGGACTTGGACGAGGCCGAGGCGCAAGGGCAGGCGCGCGCCATGATCATCAACAACCGCGTGCGTCCCCCTTCTCCTCCCACCTTGCGCGCATACTCGAGCGCTCACATTCCTCCTCGACGCACGCAGCTCTACGTCAAGAGCTACTCGGACTCCCAGCAGGGCACGCGCACCAAAGCTGCCCTCGCCCTCATCAGTGAGTCCCACTCTTCCCCTCGCGCTTTCCCCTCGCGCTCGTGCCTCCTGCCGCCGTCGAGCCTTCCCAACCCCGCCCTCCCTCGCCGCGCCTCGACTGACCCGCTCCTTTTCCGCAAACAGACGAAGCCCTCATCACGGCGCCCGAGGCGGTTCCCGACATCGAGTTTGTGATCCAGACGGGCGACAACGGCGTGCCCAAAGGCGCGCCGTGGGCGTTGGGGAGGAAGGAGAGGGAGGAGCAGCTCACGTTGATGCCTGGTGCGTCGGCTCGTTCCTCTGCGGTTGGGCTCGACGGCGCTCGGCTCTCGAGCGCTGCCAGGTCCTGCTCGACGTCCTCGAACTGACCCACCCTCTCGTCCTTCCTCGTAGACTACTCGTTTTTCTCTTGGGTACGTCCCCTCTCCTCTTCCTCCTGCTCCTCCTTCGACCTCGTCTCTCTGACTGCGCCGCACCGCCCCTGGTCCTCGCCCATAGCCCGAACCGCACGTCGACTCGTGGCAAGAAGTGGCCGACCACACGCTCGAGTACGAGACGCACCTGCGGTGGGAGGACAAGATCGACAAGCTGCTGTGGCGGGGTGCGTTCCTCGTCGACATCCGCAAGGAGCTGTGGGAGATTGCGCGCAAGTTCAAGTGGGGTGCGGCTCGTCTGCTCGTCCGGGATCGTGCCCTTCTCTTTCGACCCGATACTGACTCTTCCCCCGTCTTCCTCCTCGCTCCTCCCCCTCCTCTCTCTCTCTCTCTATCTATGTCTTCGACCTCGCATCACTCCTTCGCTCGTCCACGTCGCCCACGACCCGCAGGCGCCGTCGACGACCTCGACTGGGGCGACCGCGAGCAGGTCAACAAGCTCCTCCTCACGCCCGAGCAGCACTGCGACTACAAGTACCTCGCCCACGTCGAGGGCCTCGCGTACAGCGGCAGGCTCAAGTACCTGACCCAGTGCCGCAGCGTCATCATCGTGCGTCCCGCCTCCTCCTCCCCCGTCCCGGCGCGCTCGAACCTGCGCTCGCACGCAGACAGGCACTAACGCTCCCTTCTCACCCGTCCTGCAGGCCCACAAGATGCGCTACGTGCAGCACTTCCACCACCTCTTCAACTCGGACCCGTCGTCGCCCGCCCAGAACCTGGTCACGGTCCCGGGCCACCATTTCGACGAGCTGCCCGCCGTCATGGACGCGCTCCTCGCCGACGACGCGCGCGCCAAGCGCATCGCCGACACGAGCTACACGTTCTGGCGCCATTGGCTCAGCGTCGGGAGCGTCGACTGCTACTGGCGCCGCCTGTTTCGCGAGTGGCGCGACGTCATGGCGTTCGAGCCCGTCGTGACGAGGAACTTGACGTCCTACAACAGCTTCATGTGCGTCGCAGTGTCCTCTCTCTCTCTCGCCCCGTCGACGGCGGCCTGGACTGACCCTGCACTCCTCGCCGCGCAGATTGATGGGCAAGGCGCACTGGGAGGCGTACTGAGCGCCTCGCCGACACCCGAATCGTGTACTCCTGTACGACTACGTACCTCTGCGACTGGCGGAACGAGCAGGCGCCGACACGGCCGTCGTCGAGCGGCGTCGCCGTCGGCCGCCGAGGCGAGCTCTCGCACGTGCCTCTCGCTCGCTCCCGCCCCCGTCCCCTGTCGCGCTCCCTTCCTTCTCGGTAGATGTTGTGTGCAATACAGCCTTGTCGTAGACGAGCACGAAGCGAGAGTTATTCTCGTCGCGCCGCTCGTGCACTTGGTGCGGTATGGCTCGATCGCGCTTGAAGGCGGCTTTCCTCGCTCGCCCACCTCGCGCAGGCGCACCAGCTGCGCCAGTCGAGCTCGCGACAGCTGTGCAAGAGCAGCCCGACCACGACCACCGTCCAGCGTCAGCGCACGAGCTCGCCCGCCGCAGTCGCCCACCTCCTTCGGCGGTCCCTGTTCGCGCACCGCCTCACGGTCCTCGGTCGAGCCACTGCCGCGCCAGTGAGCTGTACAGGTGCGCCCGAGACTCTCCACCCTCTCCCATGAGCGCACCGTGCTGACCCTCGCACCCGCACCGCCCTTCCTCCTCCTCCCCATCTCCAACCTCGCTCGGCGCACCTCCCTCGCTCCCCTATCGCCTGCCAGTCGCCTCGCCACTGCCGTATCAGTCAGCAGAACCAGCAGCTAGCGACCATGGCGGTCCGCCGGCGGCTCTCGCTCAACCGGCACCCTTCGACCGCACCCCGGTTGCCCGACTTCCTCCAGCGCTCGAGCGTGTGGAACCGCATCTCGGCCTTCAGCGGTGCGTCCTCCGCTCGCCGACCCTTCTTCTCGCGACGGCGGGCTGACTCTCTGCCCGTGTGCCGCACGCCGGACTCGCAGCTGCCCACCTCAACTTCTACCGCCTGCACCTCCTCACCTTCATCTTTGTGCCGCTGATCATGTCGGGCATCTTCTACGCGAGCAATGGCCCGTCCGAGGAGAACCAGATTGCCTACGTCGATGCGCTCTTCATGGTCGTCAGCGCGATGACCGTCACGGGCCTCAACTCGGTCCTGTTCGTGAGCATGACCCTGTGGCAGCAGGTCATCATCTTTGTGCGTCAACACTCTCCCTTGCCACTCGAGCGGCGTACGTCGGCGGCGACGCCAACGCGGGGCCCGCCGTGTCGCGCGAGAGAGAGCGCCGGACCTGACCTCGTCTTCTTCCCTCGCACTCGCAGTTCATGATGACGATCGGCTCGACGTCGTTCGTGTCCATCATCGTCATCGTCATTCGTCGGTGCGTCCGAGGTCTCGCTCGACGCGTCCTCAGAGCGGGACAACCGTTTCCTGACCGCCGCCCCGTCCTCCCACGTGCAGCCAGTTCTTCCGCAACAAGTTCGAGTACATGGTCGCCAACGACGGTGCGGCAGACTGTCCGTGTCCCTCACGAGCTGTCGGCAGGTACTTATTCGAGTCTTGTCGCCTGCAGAGGCGGCGCGCAAGCGGGTCAACGACATCGGCGCCCAAGAGGTGCGTCGCCGCCCTTCCAGTTGCTCTCTGAGGGGCCACACTCACGTCTCCTTCTCGTCCTGCAGGCCGCTCGTCATGGTCGCGCCTATCAAGCCTTTGACGACAGCCACCGCCCGGGCCACACGCCCTGGTTCACCGGCCTCCTCCCCGTCGGCGGCAACGGCGGCAACGGTACCGGTCCCGGCACGCCGCTCACGCCTCGCCCGACGCCCATCGGCTCGGCCTACCCGACGCAGGACGACTCGGAACGCGAGCGCGAGAAGGGGCGCAGCGGCGGCGACAAGGACAAGGACGGCGCGAGGGAGAAGGAGAAGAAGGGCAAGCGCAAGAAGATCGCGCGCCTCACGGCCGACATGATCAAGCGCGTCGACGTGCCCGTGCGCGTCAACGAGATGAGCGTCAGCGGGCGGCTTGGCGGCGGGCGCAGTCGCGAGGGCGACACGCCGGGCCCGCAGTCGCTCGCCGACGCCGGCACGACGGCCGTCGCGTCGTCGGACGCGGCGAGCGAGGCGGCACCCGTCGCCGGCAACCTCAAGGGCGGCGAGCGCTCGCCCCGTCTCGGCAACGACGAGGTCGTGCGCGGCGTCACGGCGCGCCTCGAGCGGGTCGCGGGCGAGCAGGGCGAGGAGCGCGGCCGGCCGCGCGGCGTGTCGTCGCCGCCGTCGCCGGACAACCTGCCCGACGTGTTCACGGACGAGGAGGACGCGGCGAGCGTGGCGCAGGAGGTGCGGCCGCGGCACTTTGGCGAGGCGGTCCAGTCGCCCGAGACGGCGTCGCTGCGGGTCGACGACCAGGGCAGCGTTGCGGGTCATCAACGAGCGTGCGTCCCCCCTCTCTCCCTTCACGAGTCTCCCACGATGTACTGACCCTCCTCGTCCCCCTCGCAGTATCCAGATCGACGAGTCGGCACGGCCGCCGAGGAACTTCCGCGGCCGCAGGAGCAGCGACTCGGCTGCGTCGCCGCACCGCGCCCCGGGCGCCGCATTCCCTCGTACGCGCACGCTCGGTCCGTCCTCGTCGCCTCTCTCTCTGTGTCGTCCGTCCAGAACTTGACGCTCCTCGCGCACAGACCACCGCCACCTTCAGGGCATCACCGAGTCGCCCTCGTCTATCGGCACCCCGACCTCGCCCACCTTCCGCCACCGTGACCTCGAGATGGGCCACACGCGCACGATCGAGTTCCGCGACGCCGACGACCGCCCCGACCTGCGCATGCGCCGCAATCGCACCATCGCCATCGACCCCGACTTTCCGACGCCGCGCCGCGGCTCGCACTCGACGACGATGCGCAACATGGACGCGCGCACGTTCACGCGCACGACGACGCTCGACCAGGCGGCCATGCACACGGGCTTTGGCGGGTTCCCGAACCCGCTCGTCGCCGTCGCCGGCCTCGCTCGTCAGCGCATCCCGGCCGTGCGCAACGTGTTCGACCGCAACCTGACGATGCCGCGCACGACGACCATGATGTCGACGCACTCGCACGGCGACGGCGCCGGCTCGACGGGCGGCGTCGTGCACGCCGGTACGGGCGCCATCAAGCCTGTCTCCTACATCTCGTTCGACGCGATCGTCGGGCGCAACTCCAAGTTTCACGGCCTCACCAACGCGCAGCAAGAAGAGCTCGGCGGCGTCGAGTTCCGCGCCCTGACGGTCCTGCTCCGCATCGTCGTCGCGTACTGGCTCGGCATGCAGCTCCTCGCCGTGCTCGTCCTCGCGCCGTGGCTGTCGCGCTCGCCGCGGTGGGACGACGTCATCCAGGGCGAGTGGGAGGTCGTCAACTCGACGTGGTTCGTCTTCTTCCAGGTCTGGTCGGCGTTCAGCAACAACGGCATGAGGTGCGTCCCCTCTTTCTCCCTTTCGTCGAACTAGCTCGAGCCACCTCTCCTGACTTTCCTTCTCGCGCAGCACGGTCGACGCGTCCATGGTTCCCTTCCAGCGCTGCTACTGGCTGATCATCGTCATGAGCATCCTCATCCTCGGCGGCAACACGGCGTTCCCCATCTTGTGCGTCCTGCCCTCCCTCGGGCCTCGTTCGGCGCCGTCACTGACTCGCTCCCTCTCCCGTGCAGCCTTCGCCTCGTCATGTGCGTCGCCCTCGACGTCCTCACTCGTCGCCGTCGCAGCACTGACTAGAGTTGCCCGCTCGCAGCTGGACTTTCTCCAAGGTCGTCCCGCGTCGGTCGCAGCTGCGCGAGACGCTCCAGTTCCTCCTCGACCACCCTCGGCGATGCTTTATCTACCTCTTCCCGTCTCAGTACGTCCCTTCAAGCCGTTTCTGCGTCGTCTCGCCGACCCTCCTGACCTTGAGCCTGCAGCCAAACCTGGTTCCTCGTTTTCACGCTCGTGTGCCTCAAGTGCGTCCTCGTCTCGCACACTCCCTGTCCGAGCCGCACTGACGACCCTCTCTCGCAGCGGTATCGACTGGGCCTGCTTCCTCGTGCTCGACATCGGCAACCCGGTCATCGAGGCCATCCCGGTCGGGACGGTGCGTCCTCTCTTCCTCTTTAAGACGGCCCAGGAGCGCCGCACTGACGCTTGCCTCCCCTGCAGCGCGTCATCGATGGCCTCTTGCAGGCGTTCGCCGTCCGAGCTGCAGGCTTCTCGATCGTCTCGCTCTCGTCGGTCGCGCCGGCTCTTCAGGTCCGTCTTTCCCTCCCCTCTCCCGGCGCATCTTGCAGCAGACTGCTTACACCTCTCGCCTGCACAGTTCCTCTACGTCATCATGATGTACATTGTGCGTCCCTCTTTCTCTCTCTCGTCGCACCTCGCGCTCGAGCCGCAACTGACGACGGCTTCCTGCAGGCCGTCTACCCCATTGCCGTCTCGATCCGAGCGACCAACGTGTACGAGGAGAAGTCGATGGGTACGTCCCTCTCTCTCTCTCTCTCGCCGTCTCTGTCTCGCCCTCGACTGACCCGTCGACGAGAACAGGCGTCTACGACGAGGACTTTGACGAGGACCCGGACGACGCCGAGGCGCGGTTCGAGAAGTCGCACTCGGCGACGCAGTACATCGGGTACCACGCGCGCAAGCAGCTCGCCTTCGACTTGTGGTGGCTCGGTCTCGCCGTCTGGCTCATCTGCATCGTCGAGCGACACCGCCTCGGCAGCACCGACTGGCCGTGCGTCCCTCGTCCTCCTTTTTTCTCCTCGACGCGAGCGGTACCTGACACCCTTTCATGCGCCCGCAGCGAGGTGTCCATCTTCACCCTGATCTTTGAGATCACCTCGGCGTACGGCACGGTCGGCCTCAGCCTGGGCAACACTCGGGTCCGTCGCGCTCTCGTCCTGCGGCCTCTCGTGGGCGCTCGCCACTGACTCTTTCGCTCTCTCGCAGACAAACACGTCGCTCGCCGGCGTCCTGTCGCCCCTCAGCAAGCTCATCATCATCGCCGTCATGATCCGTGGCCGTCACCGCGGCCTGCCCATCGCCATCGACCGCGCCGTCCTCCTGCCCTCGGACCTCGCCAAGCACGGCGACGACACGACGACCGTCGCCTCTGCCGAGCCCGGAGGTGGGCCGGGGCCCGGCGACTTTGTCTTGCGCAGCCGGGGCACGAGGAGCTCGTTCGGGAGCCACCAGGCCCCGGTCGACGCCGGCGGGCTCGACGCCGTCGCGCCCCTCACCGACGCACAGCGCAGCCGTCAGGCGTCGGCCATGGTCGGCAGCGGCGACGACATGCGCGACGCCGACCTCGGGCTCGCGAGCCTCGGCGAGTCGCCCAACGAGAAGAGCGAGTCGACGGGCGCGAGCGCGACCGACAGCTCGGAATCGATCGCCAAGCGCAAGCTCGACGACCCGCAGCCCGAGCCGCCGCACGACCGCAACCAGGAGGGATGGCGATGACCCGGGCTCGAGAGCATATTAATTTTATTGTTCAAACATGAGAGCTTAGTACGTGAAACATGAGAGCTTAGTACGTTAGCCATGAGAGCTTAGAGGCTCGTGTCCGGCACGCAGCGAGAGATGAGAGAGTGTCTGCATTACCGAGAAGAGGGAAGCTACAACAGCAAGGACGAGCCAAGCGGGGGGAGTGCTACAAGGGGACCGAGCGCCTCGAGACCTCTTTGCGACGACGTGCCCGCCTCGAGACAGCCCCGACCGCCCCACACCGCCGTCCCAGCCTCACCATCCAGCTCGTCCACAACCACCACCGCGCCCACGCTCCTTCGAGTCCCGCCGTGCCGCCGCCGAGCTCATCGACCGATACGCCCCTGACCCCTTTCGCCGCCGATTCGTCGTCTCACTCGGGAAGAGGAGAAGCTGACGAGGGCGACGAGAGGGAGAGAGGGTGGACCAGGAGAGCAGGGGGAGGCGAGGAAGGGGTCGAGAGAGTGAGGAGAGAGGGAGAAGTCGGGTCGAGAGGGGAGGAGAGGGGAGGGACGTTGGCCGAGGGGAGAGGGGGCTTGAACGAGGAGCTGCGGGGAAGAGTCAGTCGACTGTCCCTTTGACACGAAGAGGAGAGAGAGAGGAGGACGCACAGCTCGTGTCGCTCAGAGAGGGACGAGCGCGAGAGGCGGTGAGCCGTCACCGCCTAACAGACAGCTTCAGGCGCACCAGCCGCGTCTTGGCGCAGGAACTCGAACAGGTCAAACTCGCGCTCTTGCTCGACCGGCGGTGACGGCGCGGCGGCGAGGCCCGGGTCGGACGCCTCGAGGGCGCCGAGGTCGAGCCCGCTCGCCCAGTCGACCCAAGCCTGCGCGACGACGTCGTCGGGCACGTGGTCGACGGGACCGTGATGGCCGACAGGAGCTGGTGCAGCGACGGGCGCGCCGTCGAGGGCTGCGGCACCAAAGTCGAGGCCGAGGAGTGCATCGAGGTCGAGCTGGAGGCCGAGGTCGAGGTCGTGGTCGCGCGCGACGTCGACGGCGGTGGAGGCAAAGGGAGGAAAGACGGGTGGGACAGCTTCCGCGGCAGGGAAATGTCGTCCTCGCGTGCTACGAGGCGAGAGCTGTCCGTCTCCGTCGATCCGACCTCGGCCGCCGGTGCCGTCGAGTCGAGCGCGCCTCCTTCTCGTCGCTCGTGCTGGACGTGCTGGACGTCGGTGTTGGCGCGCGACAGGAGCTGCTCGAGGCGGCCAAACTTGGCCTCGAGCGACGACAGGCGGATCTGGAGCGACTGCGACTGGAGCTGCTCGAGGGCGAGCTGCGTCTTGAGCGACTCGTTCTCGTCCTGAAGGCGCTCGACGAGGGCGTCCCGGGTGGTGGTCGTCGCCGGGACGGCGGCGGTGAAGCTGGCCGGGGTGGGCGGCAGGGCAAACGAGGGCGACGCCGACGAGGCGGGCGAGTCGACGACGAGTTGGGCCTCGAGCTCGGCGACGCGCTTGGCGAGGAGCTCGGCTTCTTGACGCTTCTTGTCACGCGAGACCTGGGCCGCCACTGCACGAGTGCGCACGAGGGTCAGCGTCGTCTCGGAGCAGTCGGGGGAGAGGAGGGAGAGAGGGACGCACGGCGGTTGCGCTCCATCCTGGCCACCTTCTTGGCCTGCTTCTCGGCTGCGGTCGACCGAGGTGCACGCTTCTTCTTGGCGGGCCCGTGCGCGTCGTCGCCGTGCTCTGGTGCCGCGGTGTCGAGGTGCGAGTCGGACGCGGCGAGCGAGGTGGCGGTGCGCTTCCTCGACGAGGCGCGAGGAGGCTCGGCGGTGGGCGAGTCCATGGTCGTGTGTGGTGGTGTGCCCTGGACGGGCTCAAACCAGCTCTGGGCCTGGGGAGCGAGGTGGAGGGGAAGGAGAGAGAGAGCGACACGAGGCAACCTCCACGTGGAACCTTCCGCCCTTGCCGCGCCGCGCCGAGTAGCGCGCCCGGTTCGATTCGAAACGCGGCCAGGGGAGCTATTGACCGAGCTAGTAATCAAGCAGCGACTCGAAAGGTAATCCGACAGCCGCAACTTCGCCTTCCTCGCGCTTCGGCTCAGCGTCGCTCTCCTGCACAGATGGCTGGAAGAGCTCGCTCAAGAGAAGCGTGAACGGCGCGAGACTGAGCGAGGAGCGCGGCGGACGCAACGCCGGCGAAAGCGCGCACTGACCCTCTCGCTCTCCTGCTCTCAAAGGTGCTCGACGATCTCTCGCGCTTCGACGGCGACAACGCGCAAAGGGACTGCGTGATGCACAAAAGCTATACAAAGGACAAGCGGGTACAGAGAGAGAGGGAAAGAGACAACAAGCGGCACCCTCCCTCGTCGACAAGCAGCGGCCCTCCCACCTCCTCCCGCCTCGCCTCGCCCTCCTCGCCCTCGCGCTCACAGCTCGGGGCTCACCTCGCGCAGCGGCGCCGTCTTCTTCTTCTTGGCCGGGACCTGGTGCACGTCGTCGCTGTCCGTCTCGGTGTCGACGACGATGACCTCGCGCTTCTTCTTCTCGACGACCGACGGGCCCGAGTCGCTCGAGCGACGCTTGTCGGCAACGACGACGACGGGCAGGTCCTCGTCCGACGAGTCGTCGCGGATGACGGGGATCTTGGGCGCCGACGAGCGCTTGCGCTTGAGCTTGAGCTTCTTGTTGCCAGTGTCGGTCGGTTTCGAGCCCGACGTCGGCTTGAGCGGCTTCGAGTCGTCGCGCGCAGCTGCGGCTGTAGGCGAGAGGTCGAGAGGGTCAGGGGCGTCGAGGTGGACAGGCAAGAGGGATGGTGCGCACCTGCCGCCTTGGCCTTCTTCTTGCGAAGCGCGGCCGCGAGTGCCGCGTCCGGGTTGTCGCCCGCCGACGTCGACGCCTTGCTGTTGCTCTTGGGCTTGAAGTCGTCCTGCTTGTAGAACGCGACAGCGGCGGTCGGCTGCGGCTTGACGGCGTTGGTCGAGGTCGAGGCTGCGGTTCGACGGCGTGAGCGACGCCCGACGAGCGAGAGAGAAAGAGCGGGCACGAGGGACGTACTCGGGTCGGGCGAGATACCGCTGAAGGCGTCGAGACCCGACGTGACGCCGTCCTTGTCCATCTTGGCCTGCAGCGCGACCTCCTTCTTGAACGCCTGCTCGCGCTCGTAGCGCTTGCGCTCGCCGCGTGCGAACCTGCTCTTGCCGCCGAGCGCCTTGGTCTCTGAAGGACGAGGAGGAGAGTCAGCTCTAGTGCGCAAGGGTCGAAGGAGAGGAAAGGGAGAGACGGGACGCACCCTCGCGAATCTGCTTGGCCCTCTCTGCCGCTCGCACGTCGGCCGTGCGCTCAAAGTCGTGCTCGACCTCGCTCAGCTTGCGGCCCTCCTCGACCGACGTCTCGAGCCACTCGAGCGGGAGGAGCCACACGCGCTGCAGGCGGGTACAGAGTCAGGATTGCGGCCCAAGTCGAGTCGAGGGGGCGCGAGAGGAGGGGGGACGCACGTTCTGGTTCTCGTTCTCCTCGCTGCGGTTGTCCTCGTTGGCGGCAATGATGGCGCGAATCGTCAGGTCGGCGCTGACAGTGCCCTGCCGCGACCACAGCTGGCCCGAGACGATGGCGTGCGACAGGTCGATGTCGCCCACGTCCTTGACGACGCGGCCGCCGTTGTCCTTGACGAGGCGAGCGACGCGGGCGTAGGTGCGGCCGGCCCACTGGCCGTGGATGAAGAAGGTGAGGTCGGCGAACATGCCCGAGTCGTCCGACTCGCTCGACGACGACATGGGCGGCGGCGGCTGGCGGTGGTCGAGCGAGGCGCAGAGAGGCGACGGGGCGGCGTGCGGGCGCGGCGGGTGGGCGCAGAGAGCTCTAGCAGGTGCTTCGAGTCGCCGCGAGGGCGCGCGTGCCAGTCGAGGTGAGGTCGAGGTGAGGGAGAGGAGGAAAGAGACGGCGAGGCCCCGGCGGCGACGCGGCGTGCTCGAGTGACCTCGACTTTGACTTTCGCCCGTCGCGCTTCTGCGACAGTGTGCTCTCTCGAACGCTCAGGATGCTCACTGTGCGGCGAGCGCGCAGCTGGAACGGGAAGATGCGCCAGGCGAGGCGGCTCGAGAGCGCGACGACAAGAAGTCGACGTCGTCCCGCACGACCGCGGCGGCTCCTTTGAGCGGCGTGCGCTCGATCGAGGGCTTCGTCAAGAGAGCTGCGAGCTTGCGGTAGAAGCGACACGGTAGAGACGGTCGCCCGAGCCTCGTCGTCGTTCTCCTCGCCGGCGAAAGTTGACATTCGCAGAGCGAGCGCGCTCTCGTCTTACGAGCTGATCGGTCAGCCTGCCCCGCTTGCGAAGCAGCGCGGAACAATCCGAGGCGGCTGCGACTGGCGTTTCGGAAGGGAGGCTCGTGCTGATGCCGAACCTCGGCCGACGCTGCCGTCGGCTTTCGCGCACTCTGCATTTGGCTTTCTCCCTCGCACGCCTCCTGCACAGAGCAGCCACCGCGCTACACGCGTGCTACACTTGCGCACGACCTGCTGCGCGAGCGCTTCGACCACCCGCCGCCCTCGTCGACCCGCCGCCCGACGGCTCGCCCGCCGCCTCTCCGCAAGATGTCGTCCGACGACAGCACCCTCTCGGTCCACTCCGACGCGACCCAGACGGGCGAGCACGCGACTGCTCGAGGCGACCAGGGCGAGGCGGGACCTGCACTGCGCGATGTCGAGAAGCACGGAGGCTCCAAGGGCGAGGGCGGAGATGAGGCGGCGAAATCGGGCGGGGCGAGCGACGCAGCAGAGCCAGAGCGGGATGGAGACGGCGTCGCGATGGAGGATGGCGTGCCTATCGTGCGCCTCACAGGCCCGGACGACCCCATGTCGTGAGCCCCTCCTCCTCCCCCTCCTCACCGCCTCGCCGGCCGCGTCCGACCGCTGACCACCCTCTCCCACAGCCCGCTCAATCGGCCCAAGTGGCAGCGATGGCTCATCGTGATCGTCGTCACGTCGGGTGCCTTCTGCGTGACGTGCGTCCCCTCCTCCTTCCTCCTCCTCACTCCCTCCTCCTGCCCCTCTTCCTCCCTTCTGTCCATCCCCACTCTCTCGCCGCCTCGAGCCCATCTCGTCTCGGCGCATGTTGGAGAGCCGGCGTCACGAGTAGCGTCGCGCTGACTTTGCCCTCTCGCACGCAGCTGCTGCTCGTCCATGATCGCCTTTACGTACCCGGGCGTCGAGGACGAGTTCCACGTCAGCCAGGAGGTCGCCACGCTCGGCCTGTCGCTCTTTGTCCTCGGCATGGGTCTGTTCCCTCTACTCGTCGGCCCGCTGTCCGAGTGGTACGTCTCCCCTTTCCCTCCTCCTCATCGGCCTGACTGACCCTCCCGCCCCGCAGGTACGGCCGCTCGCCCGTCTACTTTGTCGGCTTCGCGCTCTACATCGCCTTCAACTTTATGGTCGCCTTCTCGAACAACATCGTCTGCCTCCTCATCGGTCGCTTCCTCGGCGGCGCGGCCGGGTCCGCCTTCCTCTCGGTCGCAGGCGGCACCGTTGCCGACGTGTTCAAGCCGAGCGAGGTCGGCGCGCCAATGTCGTTCTACACGTCGGGCCCGTTCCTGTGCGTCGAGCGCCGTCCGAGCCTCTCGTCGTCGCCTCTCGAGCGAGCTCGCAGCACTGACGCCTCGTGTCCCTGCAGCGGCCCCGTTGTCGGGCCCATCATCTCGGGCTTCATCAACGAGAACCTCGACTGGCGCTGGACGTGGTGGATCCTCATCATGTGCGCCCTCTCTTCCTCTCGTTCCTCCTCTCTCTCGGCTCCCCTCCTCGTCTCGCCGATGGCTGACTCGTCGCTCGCCTCTCTCTCGCAGCTGGGCCGCCCTCGAGCTCGTCCTCCTCATCGTCGTCGTCCCCGAGACGTACCTGCCCGCCGTCCTCAAGAAGAAGGCCGCCAAGCTGCGCAAGGCCGGCAGAACCGACGTGCGCGCCCCGATCGAGGTCGACACGAGGAGCATCACGAGCGTCATCAAGACGAGCTGCAGCCGACCTTTCCGTATGTCCCTCGTCCTCACTGTGTCGCGCTGAGGACAAGAGCGGCCGCCTGACCTTGTCGAACCCGGCATCCGCCTCGCAGAGATCCTCCTCACCGAGCCGATGGCGCTCGCCCTGTGCACCTGGACCGCCATCCTCCTCGGCATCCTGTACATGTTCTTTTCGGCATTCTCGACCGTGTATCGACCTTACGGCTTGTGCGTCCGCGTCTCCTCTCGCGCCTCGTGCTCGTCCGCCCGGCGCGCGGTCACGGCCTTCTCAGACCGCTCGCTTACCCTCCTTGCCTCCCCGCCTCACACTCGCAGCTCGACCCAGATCGTCGGCCTCACCTACATCCCTCTCGGTATCGGCATCATCATCGGCTCGCTGTGCCACCCCATCTGGGCAGGGTGCGTCCTCCTCTTTCTGCCTCGTCCTCCCAGTCGTCCACCTCCCGTCCTCGTCCTCCCATCCCATCCGCGTCCTTCTCTCGCACTCGTCGGCCATCCTGACGTCGCCTCTCGCCCCGACCTCGCAGCTTCTACCGCCGCAAGACCGAGCAGCTCGGTCGCCGCCCGCCGCCCGAGGAGCACCTGCGCAAGGGCCTGTACGGCGTCGTCCTGTGCCCGATCTCGCTCTTCTGGTTCGCGTTCACGACCTACACGAGCGTGCACTGGATCGTCTCGCTCATCGCCACGGTCCCGTTCGGCATCGGCCTCGTGTGGTCGTTCCAGGCCGTGTTCGTCTACCTCGTCGACGCGTACCGGCCCGTCGCCGCGAGCGCCATGGCCGCCAACTCGGCCATGCGGAGCTCGTTTGCCGCAGGTGCGCCGCCTGGTCCTTCTCCCTCCCTCCCCCCTCGTCCCGCCGTCGCGTCCCTGACTCTCCTCGCCCACCCGCAGCCTTCCCGCTCTTCACGACGGCCATGTTCCGGTCCCTTGGGACACAGTGGGCCCTCGCGCTCGTCGCCTTCCTCTGCCTCGCCATGGTCCCCTTCCCCTTCCTCTTCTTCAAGATGGGCCACAAGTTCCGCAAGAACTCGCGCTTCGCCAACACTGAGTAGACCTTGGAGCCGTTAGACCTGTACTTCCATATGCATCGTTCTCTCGTCGCTTCGTCAAGCGAGCGAGGAGCAAAGAGAGGAGCAGGGCGAGGTTGGAGGGGTCCGAGCGAGGTCGACAGGAGAGCGAGAACCGTGCCGCGAGGGCCTTCTTTCGCAGGCTGAGCTCGTCCTCTTACCAGTCGTACGCATGCTCGTCGGCCGCACAGCTCGGAGCTCGTTTGCCGGCGAGAGGGCAAAGTCCGCGGTCGCCGGGCTGAGCGAGTTCGTCGCGGCGCGCGACGGAGCGCGCCTTCGTCTCGCTACCAACCCTGCTCGCGGCTCGCTCTCGCCGGCATGGACAACCTCGCCGCCATGTTCACGCAGCTCTCGAACGCCATGGGCAACCCCAACCCGGACCTGAGCTACCTCGAGCGCGTCGCTGGCGAGATGGGCGGGCCCGACGTCTTCCTCGGGGCAATGGCGCAGATGGCGGCCAGCCTGCAGGACTACACCGACCCACTCGACGACCCCGAGTTCGCCAACCAGATCACCACCGCGCGCAAGGTGCACGCGGCCGAGAAGGCGCGCAAGCCTCGCCGCCCTCCGGTCGCCGACCGCGACGAGCTCGTCGACCGCATCGAGCAGCAGCGGGCCATGATTGCGCGCGAGCGACTCAGCGGGCAGCCGTGGATCTACCTCGGTATGGACAAGGGCTCGAGTCCCGCGCCGTTGGGCCAGCTTCAGCCGAGTGCGTCCTCCTCTTCCTCCCTCCCTCCCCCCTCGAACCTCTGCGCCGAGCCGAGCTGACCTCCGTTCTCCTAACAGTTCTGCTCAAGGACATGCTCGCGACCAAGACGCACAAGGTCCGCCCCTCTTCGTCGAATCCTGGCCCTTCCTCGGCCCGAGCGCTGACCTCGTTCTCCTGCAGGGTCGCTACCTCCTGTGCCGCATCATCTCCAAGACCGGTGCGCCGCCGCGCGCCACATCCGCCTCGAGTACGACGCCGACATGTGACTGATGACGATGCGCCCTTCGTCCAGCTCTCACGTCCAGCGTCGCGTTCATTGTCGAGGACCAAGAAGCTCGAGTGTGCGTCTCTCTCGCTTCGACGTCCGCGCTCGTCGGCGGTCGTCGCCGACGGCGGTCGTCATTGTCGACGGTAGTCACGTCAAATCAAGCACTGATCTCAAGCCTCCCGCAGCGAGACGGTCTCGATCTTTAACCTCGACATGTGCGGCGTCCCTCTCGGCGACGGCGCCGACCCCCTGTTCGGCGTTGGCGACATCCTCGCCATCCGCGAGCCGACCTACCGCACCGAGACACGCGACACCACCAAGTTTGCCATCCGCGTCGACTCGCCGACCGACTTCCACTTCCTGTCGCCGCACGATCCGCTCGTCGAGAAGGCCAAGTGGGCAACGACGACGCCGCGAACTGCGCTCCCGGCCTCGTTCGACTACAAGGCGCTCGGCAACAAGTACTTTGGCGAGAACCTGGACCTGTACGCCGTCAAGGCCTACTCGGACGGCATCCTCAAGACGCAGGACCCGGCGCAGCACGTCGTCCTCCTGCTCAACCGCGCCATGGCCCGCCTGCGCGTCGGCGCCTTTGTCTCGGCGTGCCGCGACACGACCGACGCCCTGACGCTCCTGAGCGACGGCATCAAGGGCCCGTCGCGCGCCGTCGAGAAGGCCATGCTGCGCCGGGCCAAAGCGCTCGAGGGCGCTCGCCTCCTCACGCGCGCGTGCGAGGAGTACCGCCGCATCGGGCTCTTTGACCCGGACAGCACGGAGGCGGCTGAGCGGGGCAAGCGGCGCGTCGAGGGCATGCTCAAGGCGTCGAGGACGGGCAAGTACGAGTGGATGACGCTCGCGATGGACGGGCCGAGGGACCAGCGCACCGTGTGCGGGGTCAGCGTCGGCGACTATGTTGGGCCGATCGAGGTTGCCCAGATCAAGGGCCGAGGAGGAGGGCGCGGCATCGTCGCGACGAGGGACATCAAGGTCGGCGAGCTCCTGCTCGGTGCGTCTTCCTCTCCCTCTTTCCCTCTCGGCCACCATGTCGGGCACCTCCTCTGACCTCGCTTGCGCCCTTCGCTCGCAGTCGAGAAGGCGTACGTCATCGGCGAGGAGGCGGCGTCCAAGGGCTACAACCTCAAGACCGACCTGCTCCTGTCGAAACCTCGCGTCGCCCTCATCGCCGCCCTCGCCGCCAAGGTCCAGGACGACCCGGCGAGTGCCGACCTCCTGTACGCGCTGTACGCCGGTCCCGACTATCCACCGCTCGGCGCGGCCACCCTCGGCGGCTACCGAGATCGCGAGCTCGACCTCGACGACCGCACGCCGCCTTTTGCCGACATCGAGCGCATCGAGCGCATCGCCACTTACTCTGGGTCCGTCCTGTCGCCCTCTACATGCCTCACTGCCGGTCCTGACGTTCACCTTCCCGCAGCGTCGCCACGCGCGAAGACCTCAATTTCTCGGCCTCGCCGACGGCCGTCTACCTGAGCGGCTCGCTGTTCAACCACGCCTGCGTGTCCAACGCGACGAGCAGGTTCGCCGGCGACGTGCAGATGGTCCGAGCCCGTACCGCCATCCCGAAAGGCGCCGAGGTCCTGATCGCCTACGTCCCGTACGACGCGCCCGAGGCGTTCCGCCAGCGCGTCCTCCAGCCGCACTTCCCCAAGGGCTGCCCTTGCGACAACTGCCGCCGGAACGCGCCCGGTCGGGCCAAGCGCGCAAAGCGCCATGCCGACCTCCTCGGCCCGTCGTCCCAGTGGCACAAGGCCCGAACGGTCCTGGCCGACCTCGAGTCGTCCGAGCTCTCGCGGCAGGACGCCGACCAGGTGTTTGAGAAGACGGTCGACCTGCTCGAGCGGTCGTACCCGCCGAACCATGGCCCGATCAAGAGCGCGCTCTTTACGGCCCTCCTCGAGCAGGCCGGCACGTGCCCCGGCGAGCGCTCGCTCGAGCTGTACGACCGCGCGTTCGCCGCCGTCGGCGCCGAGTTCAAGCGCACGCCGTCGCGCGTCGAGATCGTCGCCATGCACGCCTGCCAGGAAGCCAACGTCATCCAGGCCATGGTCTTTGTCGCGGCGCGGCACAACTTGTTTGGCCGTCGCGCCGACGCACGTGCGTGGTTCAAGGCGGCCGCCGAGCTGTCAGAGATGGCGATGGGGTCGAGCTACGACAAGTTTATCGAGGAGCACGAGGACGAGATCAAGGTGCACGGCGTGCGCGGGCTCGTCGAGTCTTGTCGGCCGTAGCTCGTGCAACTCGTTTTCTCTCTCTTCCTTGTGCAGTAGAGGCTGCCTTGCTCGTCGTCGACGCCATTGTGCTCGAGAGCGTCGGTGAGAGAGGCCGCGACCGAGAGCGAGAGGCAACGCGACCTTCTCAAGTTCAGCTCTGCGCTCGACTGGGCTCTCTTCGCTCGACTTGAATCTCTTCGCTCGACTCGGACAGTCTCTCGGCCCCAGCGTTGCGAAACGCTTCACTTCGAGTTCTGATTTCACACAGGGGAAGAGGGAGGCAGGCTGGGCAAAGCGAGAGGAGGAGGGAATCACATGCGAGCGAGGGAGGGGGAAAGGCAGCGAGGGAGGCGAGGGGTAAGGCACAGAGGGGGGGTCACGACTCGAGGCGGCGAGAGAGCGCAGGCGAGAGCAGCTCAGGAGTACTGCGAGGGCGAGGGCGAGCGAGTCAGTACGGGCCCGGAAAACAAGGAGAGGAAGGAGAGGGAAAGAGCGGGGGGGACGCACCAGGTCGTCCTCGTCGTCCTGCGCGCCAAACGCCGCACCGCCCGCACCCGCCGCACCGGCACCGGCACCGGCCACCGCACCGGCCGCGTCGGCGCCCTCGGGGAACTTGAACGACGACCCGAACGAGCGCGACTGCTGCATATTCTGCGCAAAGAGCTCGTACTGCGAGGCGAGGCGAGGAGAGGGTCAGTGCGCGCTCGACGACGACGACGAGAGAGAGAGAGAGCGTGGGACGCACCCTCCGGATGTCGGCGTCCGAGACGGAGCGGCGAGCGAAGCGCATGGCCTCCTCAAAGTGCTCGATCGTGATCTCGGGGACCGGGTCCTCCTCGTCGACCATGGCGTCGTCCTCGTCCTTGACGACGGCGTCCTCGCCGAGCTCCTCGATGCGCTGCTTGCGCTCGCGGTCCTTCTTCATGTCGGCCTCGATCGACGCGCGGATGGCGAGCTTTGCGGCGCGCTGGCAAATCTCGGTCAGGTCGGCGCCCGAAAAGCCGTGCGTGTTCTTGGCGATGAACGACAGGTCGACCGACTTGGCGACGGGCGAACGCTTGAGGGCCGCCGTCAGGATCGAGACGCGCGACGCCTCGTCCGGGAGCGGGATGTAGATGAGCTGGTCGAGGCGGCCGGGGCGGAGCAGGGCCGGGTCGATCTGGTCGGGGCGGTTGGTGGCGCCGATGACAAACACGTTCTTCTTGGCGTTCATGCCGTCCATCTCGGTGAGGATCTGGTTCAGGACGCGGTCGCCCGCACCGCCGGCGTCGCCGCCGCCGCCGCCGCCGCGCGCCTTTGCGATCGAGTCGAGCTCGTCGAAGAACATGACGACGGGCGCCGCCGCGCGGGCCTTGTCGAACACGTCGCGCACGTTGGCCTCGGACTCGCCGAACCACATGGTCAGGAGCTCGGGACCCTTGATCGAGATAAAGTTGGCCTGGCACTCGTGCGCGATGGCCTTGGCGAGGAGCGTCTTGCCCGTTCCCGGCGGGCCGTAGAACAGGACGCCCTTTGACGGCGACATGCCGTACTTGAGGAACTTCTCCGGGTGCTCGACCGGGTACTGGACCGTCTCCTGCAGCTCGATCTTGACCTTGTCGAGGCCGCCGACGTCGTCCCAGGTGACGGTCGGGATCTCGACGACCGTCTCGCGCAGGGCCGACGGGTTGCTCGTCCCGAGCGCGAACCGGAAGTTGTCCATGGTGACGCCGAGCGAGTCGAGCACCTCGGCGTCGATCGTGTCCTCGTCGAGGTCGATCAGGTCCATCTTCTCGCGGATCTGCTGCATGGCCGCCTCGGAGCACAGCGACGCAATGTCGGCGCCGACGTAGCCGTGCGTGTCGGCCGCAATCTTCTCGAGGTCGACGTCGTCGCCGAGCTTCATGTTCTTGGTGTGGATCCGGAGCGTCTCGAGGCGGCCCGTCGCGTCGGGGATGCCGATGTCGACCTCGCGGTCAAAGCGGCCGAAGCGGCGCAGGGCCGGGTCGATCGAGTTGGGGCGGTTGGTCGCCGCCATGACGACGACGTTGGAGCGGGCCTTCATGCCGTCCATGAGGGTGAGGAGCTGCGACACGACACGACGCTCGACCTCGCCGTTGGTCTGCAGGCGTGGAAGGGCGAGAGAGAGAGAGAGAGAGTCAGGGCGCGCTCGACGACAACGACGAGAGGGAGAGAGAGCGAGGGGGGCGCACCTTGTCACGCTTGGGCGCGATCGAGTCGATCTCGTCGATGAAGATGATGGCGGGCGAGTTCTTCTCGGCCTCCTCGAACGCCTTGCGCAGGTTGGACTCGGACTCGCCGGCCATCTTGCTCATGATCTCGGGGCCGTTGATCAAGAAGAAGAAGGCGCCCGTCTCGTTGGCGACGGCGCGCGCCATGAGCGTCTTGCCCGTGCCGGGAGGGCCAAACATGAGGATGCCGCGCGGGGGCTTGATGCCGATCGACTTGAAGAGCTGCGGGTGGCGGAGCGGGAGCTCGACGAGCTCGCGGATCTGGGCGAGCTGCTTGCGGCAGCCGCCAATGTCGTCGTACCCGACGTCGGCGAGGTTGTTCTCCTCGTCCTCGCGCTTGACGGGCTCGCCCTCGGTGTGGATGACCGTGTCTTGCGCGACGATGCAGTACTCGGCCGGGTCCGTCTCGACCACCTTGAACTCGACGCTGCGCGACGCGCCCTTTGCGAGGAACGTGTCGCCCTTGCGCACGGGACGGTACGCCTCGAGGAAGTAGGGCTTGAGGAACACGTTGAAGATGTCGCCCGTGAGGCCCTCGATCGAGTCGTCGAACGGCAGGACGTGGATGCGCTTGCCGTACTTGATGTCGTGGCACGCGTGCACCGTGCAGATGTCGGCGAGCTTGACGCGCAGGTTGTTGCGCGCGACTGTGAGGCGCGGGCGAGGTCAGCTCTGCGACGGACGAGGACGAGAGAGGGGAGGAAGGAGGGGGCGCACCCTTGTTGAGCTGGATCTTGCCCTCGTCGACGTCCTCGGACGACAGGACGATCAGGACTGTAGGCAGAGGGAGAGTCAGTCTCGTGCGCTGAGAGAGGAGTGTGGGTGCATGCGGCGGGGAGGGAGGTGCCGGCGTCCTCGTCACCAACGAGGGGGGAGCTCATCGGGCAGCGCCATCGCGCGCAGGAGCAGCTGCCCGAGCGAGCGGGACGCCAGAGAAGAGAGGAGAGGATGGGGACTGACCCGTGTCCTTGCGCTTCTTGCCGCGGACGATGATGGTGTCGCCCCTGAAGAGCTGGAGGAGCTCCATGGTGGCGGGATGCAGCTGCGCGACCGAGTTGTCGTCCGAGGTGCTCTCATCGACGACGAGGCGGTTCGGGCTGCGGTGGACCTGGGTCAGTGAGGGGCTGTGTGGCTGAGGCGCGAGAGGATGACGAGGCCAGGGGAGGGTGGAGGGGGGGAGGGGGGGGGAGCGCACCTCTTCTTGGGGCGGAGGATGGCCGTGGCCGAGTCGTCGACCTTCTCTGCGCGGCTAGGGTCGTTGCTCATGGCGGGCAGGTGGTCGTCTCCTGGTAGCGGAGGGTTGTGGAGGAGGAGGAGGAGGAGAGGACGAGCCGGCAGCTTCGACTCGTCGCTTCCACCGCTGACGAGGCTCACTCGACTCTCGCACTCTCGCTTTGCTGGGCTCAGCTCGCACTCTGTCCTGCTCTACACAGTCACGCGACTCGAACAAGCTCAGCCTCAGCTTCCCTCGCCCTCTCGTCGCTTTTGCAACACGCTCCCCTCTCTTTCTCTCTCACCTCCAGCAATCGCTCCCTCGCTCTCCCTCGCACCCTCAAAGCTGTCCGACACGCTCTGCGTTACGACCCCTCGCTCTAACCTCCCGCGCCACCCTCACCAATCCCGGCACTGGCACGCGTCCTTGTCGTAAACGTCGTCACCGCACCGGTCCGCCACGCCCGGGTCCGTGCAGTCTGCGCGCTCGACGAGCCGGGTTCGGTCGGTCAGGCTCGGCTCGACCTTCAAAGGAGAGGAGAGAGAGAGGAGGAGGGACGCACTGAAGATGACGGGCCACGACCGCTCGAGCGCGTGCCCAAAGAACGGGTTCGACGGGCCCATGTCGCCGCCCCAGTCGACTGCGCGCAACATCCGGCCGCTCATCAGCCCCGCGCTCTTCTGAAGCATGCCGCGCAGGAGAGAGAAAGAGGAACCGGACGACGCACAGCTCGCCCCCTCTCCCTCGAGCCAGTGCCCCAGTGGCGCCTCGAGGAGCTCCTTGACGCGCGCGTACTTGGTGCGCGGGTTGGCGACGATGCGCGCGCGCGAGACAAAGAACTGGGCCGCCCACGACGCGAGCTGAAGCGTTGGCGGGCAGAGCTGCGAGCGTCGGGACGAGGGGTCAGTGCGCGCACGACGAGGAGGGAGCGAGAGAGAGAGACAAGGTGACGCACGTCTTCTCGAAACTGTGCGCGATTCCGTCAACGCACTCGTCAATACACGCTCGCGACGCACGTCTCGACGAGAAGAAGAGAGGGCCGAGGGCGCACCATGCTGTACAGCTCGCGCATCCTGCGAAAGTCGCCCCACACGCGCTGATCGACGCCGCAGTCGCTTTTGACGTACGGCGCGAGCGACAGGAAGCCCGTCCGCGCATCGAGGTGGTCGAACCGCGGCGCGCCGACCCAGGCCCAGGCAAGGTCTGCGGAGCGAGGGCTCGAGCGCGCCGAGGTGAGTCGGGGTGCGCCGAGGCGAGAGAGAGAGAGAGAGGGGTGGGGACGCACGGTGCTGCAGGAAGAGGGTCATGTCGGCGTGGCTCGTCGGTCGGTCGTGTGCGTCGGGCCCGAGGAACGCCCGGTCGGCCGCCGTCGGGGCGTCGAACCGCCGCAGGATGTGGTGCAGGTACGTGCCGCCTGCGGGGACGAGCAACATCGCGTGAGCGCGCTCTCCCACAGCCTCCTCCCCGAGCCCACAGAGAGAGAGGGACGCACCTTCCCGCCCGACGTTCTCGAGCTGCACCACCTCATCAACGCCCTCAATCGCGCCCAGCTCTCTCCTCGTCTCCTCGCCTCGCGCCTCGCCCCCGGCCCCGCCGCCGCCGCCGCCGCCCTTGTCATACACGCTCACCCGCGTCCTGAACTTTCTCACCGAGCTCCTCCCGAGCGTCTCGGCGACGTGCGCCGCAAACTCGTCGACGGGCGAGTCGTAGTACGCAAACACGACGTCGAGCGTCGCGGGCGAGAACGGGCGCGCGGACGAGGTGGTGGAGGGCGAGGAAGTGTGGTCGAACAGGCCGAGGCGGTTGGCGTAGTAGGGGTCGAGGCGGTGTAAGGGGAGGGTAGGGAGCGCGAGAGGGCGGCCGACGAGCGCCTGGGCGAGGAGGACGAGCGCGGGGAGGAACGGCAGTACGGCGAGGAACGTCGTCGAGCGGCTCGAGCGCGCGTCACTCGGCGGCGAGTGGCTCCGAGGCGAGCCCGGTGGCGGCGTGCGCCCTCCCTTGAGCGACACGCGCACACGAGGCGCCTCGGCCCACTCGTCGTCGGCCTCGCTCGGGGGCCGAGCAGCGGCGGCCGCCCAGGCAACGACGACCGTGCCGAGCGCCGCCGCTGCGCACGACGTCGCGAACGCGGGCAGCTCGACGCCGCCGATGCGCGCCGCGACGAGGACGACGAGCGCGACGGGCACGGTCGCGAGGGCTGACTTGGGAAGGTCATCGCGGTCGGGGCGCTGGTTCGCGCTGTGGAGCAGCCCGGCCAGGGTCGTGGCGAGCGCAACGAGGTGGAGGATCGAGGCGGCAAGGACGAAGAGGAGCATCGAGGGGAGAGGATACAGGGCGGCGGATGGGGATTGGCGGACGGCGAGGTTGGCGAGCGCGACGGCCGAGGTGATGACGGTCGCGACCTACAGGGCGAGCGTCGGGTCAGGGCCTCTACCATGAGAGGCAAGAGAGAGGTGACGCACAGGTGCAGCGCTCCACGCGACCTGGAAAGGCGTCGAAGCGGCGCCGTCCGCGAGGACGAGCCACGCCCCTGCTCGAGCACCGACGGCGACGAGGCCGCACGCGAGCGGGACGGCACCCGTCGACAGGGCGAAGGACGAGGTGACGAGGAGGAGGGGCGCGACGCAGGCTGCGACGGCCATGGGCGAAAGGGCGGACGGCGAGGAGGACGAGGAGGGCGGGCCGAAGCGCGACGAGGCGAGGAGGATGGCCGGCGGGAGGAGCGTCTGCGCGGTCCTCGAGTCAGTTCCATCCCTGCAGAGCGTCGCTAAAGGGGGGACGCACCTGCACCGCACACGCCACCTCGAGCGGCAGCTGCCCGACCGCAACCACCTCGCCGACGGCCGCAACCGCCAGCAGCGCCGCCGGGCGCGCCGCGCTCGCGCTCGTCCAGCCCGCCCAGCCCGCCCATCCCGTACCGCCCGCGTCGACGTGTCGCCGCAGCCTCGGGACGCACAGGGCCGCGAGGCGGGTGCACAGCGCGAGGGCGAGGAAGTGCGCCGGCGGGAGGAGGAGGAGCGTCGACGTGGTCGTGCGGCGGCCGATGTAGCTGCGTGGGCTCGAGTCAGTATGTGTACGGAACAGGAGGCCGCAGAGAGAGACGCACCTGACGAGCAGGGTCCAGCTTGCGCACGAGAGGACGGCGCCGGTGCACCGCCTCAGCGATGAATGACGGCCGCCGGGGCTGCGACGGGGCGTCTGCGCAGACGCAGGCCCACTGGGCGGCGAGGGCGTGGCGCGCTCGAGCATGAGCTGCGGTCGGACGTTGCTGCAGGCGAGCGAGCTCGAGGGGGGGGAGAAGGAAGAGCACGAGCCGTCTTTGCCAGCCGAGAGGAGGCTGCGAGAGAGGGAGCGTGCTTCCCTTCCCCGCGACGAGGCTCGCCCGGCCCGGCTCAAGCGGACGGAGCAGCGTCACTCTGGACGCGGACACGAGACGAGCGCGTGGGCGCAAGGGGAGCGAGCGCGGGCGAGCAGGCGAGCGACTCTCTCTCTCTCGCGCTGCGCCGGGCTCGACGACGACGACGACGACGACGAGGCAATGGTGGTTCCAGACGACGAGGATACACAGACACGAGGAGAGAGTATCTACAGACAGGGATAAGGACTCGGGAGGGCGGACACACACAGAGAGAGAGAGAGAGAGAGAGGGCGAGGGGGAAAGGCTAAGTATGGGGATCGGGGTGTCAACAACGGCGAGAGAGATGGAGCGCGAGAGAGGGATGCAAGAAGGCTTTGTGCGGGGCGAGGATGCGACAGGGCGAAGAAGAGTGTGAGAGAGAGAGAGAGGAAAGAAGGAAGGGAGGGAGGGACGGGGCTCAGACGCGGGCGCTGTGCGAGCGCGACCGGGCCTGCACCTCGCGCACGAGCGCATAGTCCTCGAGCTCGCACGCGCCAGCCTGCAGCCTGCGCGCGAGCTCGTCGAGCTCGGCGCGGCTCACGGCCGGCGGTGGCAGGTGGCGCTGGGGCGCCGCCGTGCCGAGGTCGAGCATGACCTCGACCTCGTCGTCGCCGTCGCCGTCGAGAGCGAGGTCCTCGTCCTCGTCGTCGACGTCGACGTCTAGGAGGCCGACGGGCTCGGCAGCGAACGGGTCCCCACGCGCCGCCTCCCAGCGGCGCATGCGCTCGACAAAGTGCTCCTCCTCGTCGCGCGTCGCCGAGCGCAGCTGCTCGAACGCGACGTGGTGCAGGCGCTCGGCCTCGTCGACGTCGTCGTCGCGGTTCGCGAGGCCGACGAGGAGCGGCGTCGGGGCCGCCGCCGGGTCGCACTGCATGGGCGAGGTGCACGACGTGGCGCGGCGGAGAGGCGGAGGGACGAGGGGACGTGGGAGCGCGAAGGCGGAGGAGGAGGAGGGAGGTGCGGCGGCCGCGGCGAGGAGGGCGGACGAGCCGAGGCTCGTGTCGGGCGAGGTCGAGGGCGAAGGGAGCGAGTCGGGCGGAGAGTCGGACGCGAACGACGAGTCGTCGAACGAGCCCTTTGACGACGACAGCGAGGCGTGCGACGGGAACGACGACGACTCGGTCGACGGGTTGCGGGTGCGCTCGGTGCGGCTCGTCGTCGTCGCCTCGTCGATGCCGGGGAGGGCGAACGCGCCTGCCGAGGCGCAGAACCTGGGCGGTGTTTGCGGCGCGCCGAACGAGGTCGACGGCGAGGAGGACGAGGCCGGGTCGACGGCGAGTGCTGGCCCGAACGGGTGCGGGTGGGTCCACACGAGGTGGGACTCATGCGGTGGTGGGTACAGTGCTGGCTGCGACTGCTTGAGCGGCGACGGCGGTTTGTGCATCATCGAGGCCGAGTCCCCACCCTGGTTCCCAAGGGTCAGCGGCGGTCGCGAGGGAGAGAGGGAGGGGGACAGCTGGGACGCACTCCGTAGCCCACACGAGTCCTCTTTGCCCGTTTGGCGTCGCCTCGAGTCGGCGAGCGGTACTGGGTCCATGCGGTTGGTGGAGCACCCTGGCGGTCGGGCGACGAGGACGAGGTCGAGGGGACGACCGACGAGAGGGACGACGAGCGTCGGCGAGTGCGGCACAGAGGTCTGAGCGGTGTCGGAGGTGCGCTCGTCATGCGGGACGAGCGCAGTGGTCGAGAGCGAGAGCGAGAGGAAGTTAGGCGAGAGCCGACGACGCTCGACTTGACGTCGCACCTCGACTCGCTCAGGGTCGAGTCGGGTTTCGGAGTAAGCTCTACAAGAGTGCATCACAGGGCGGTCCCACGGCACAGAACCCCGGCTGAGCGAGGTGAGAGTTGACCCTTGGTCTTCCGACTTCCCCGCCGCCGCCGCTCTCCGGTGTGTGCAACCACCAGCTCGCGCCGCTCGTCTGCCTCCTCCGTCGCTCCTTGCCAGCCCAAGCGGCTCCTTTGCGCCCGTCGCCCTCTCGCCCTCCCGTCCCTGCGCCTCGGACCCGCCCTCCTGCTCGCCCGATCGAACGCCCGTCTCTCTCTCGCCAGAAACCGCCGGCGATGAACTCATGGCGACCTTAGCCACTGTCGACCCTCTCGCCACGCGCACCGCCCGCCACCATCCGCACCAGCTCGCCGACGCCGCCGCTTTCCACGACTCGGCCGCCAACACCGCGACCCGGCCCGCCGCGGCACCACCACCACCGTCGCACGCCGCCTACGTCCTGTCGTGGACGCCCGACTCGCCCTGGAGAAAGGTCCCTCTCCCTCCAGCGAGCGCCTTCTTCGGTGAGCCCCCCCTCCCGTCCCACGCTCTCGCTTCCCCCACTCGACCCGGACGTCGCCCTGACCCTCTCTCCCTCCCCCTTGGTCTGCGCAGCCGGCGCCCTCGCAGGCGCAGCATCTCGCACCGTCGTGTCGCCCCTAGAGCGCCTCAAGATCATCCTCCAGGGTGCGCCCTACCGCTCTCTCGCCGGCTCGTCGTCCGTCCCAGGTTGACTCGCGACGCTGAACCCTCCCGGGGCGTTCCCTCGCAGTGCAAGGCGCGTCGGCGCAGTACAACGGCGTGTGGCAAGGCCTCAAGAAGATGTGGCGAGAAGAAGGGTTCAAGGGTGCGTCCTCGCGCTCGCTCCCTCTACCTTTCGGCGCCCGCGACGAGAGCCAGCTCTGACTCGCCCGTTCCCTCTCGCCGACAGGCTACATGCGCGGCAACGGCATCAACGTCTTGCGGATAGCGCCCTACTCAGCCGTGCAGGTGCGCCCCCGCTCTCTCTCGCTTCTCCTCGAGCCCGACTGACCCTCCGTCGTGCACACCGCACGCAGTTCTCGTCGTACGAGATGTTCAAGGGCGCGCTCAAGAGCGACGACGGCTCGATCGACACGCCGAGACGGCTCCTCGCTGGCTCGCTCGCCGGCATCTGCAGCGTCGTGAGCACGTACCGTGCGTCGCGCCCCGTTCTCTCTCCCTCTCGTGACTGGCGCCCGTCGCGCAGCACTGCGGCGCGCGCTCGTCTGGGTTCCTGAGAGTGGGGCTGACACCTCGCATGCGCGCAGCTCTCGACCTCGTCAGGTCACGGCTGTCGGTCGAGTCGGCGTCGCTGGGGATGCGGGAAGGGCGGACAGACGGGAGGAGTACGGGCATCGTGCGCATGACTGTGTGCGTCGCCCCCCCCCCTCGTTCCTCTCTCCTTCTCTCTCTCTCTCTCTCTGTGAGATGAGGTACTGATGAGCGCTTCTGGGCGCTGCGCAGGAGGGTCATGAAGGAGGAGGGCGGCGTCAGGGCGCTGTATCGAGGGCTCGTGCCGACTTCAGCGGGTGCGTCTCCCTCTCTCCCTTCCCCTCGGCTCCGTCTTTCTCGTCCCTCCCTCCCCATCTCGCGCACCTCCCTCTCTCTTCCTCTCTCGCACACCCTCCTCACCCGACCCTGACGCTCGCCCCTCTCTCCCCCTCGCCCGCCCCCCGCACCCACAGGCGTCGCGCCCTACGTCGCCTTCAACTTTGCGTCGTACGAGCTCCTCAAGCTCCACATCTCGGGCCTCGACCCGCAGCACCGCCCGCCCAACACGTTCGAGAAGCTCGTGTGCGGCGGCGTCGCGGGCGGCATCTCGCAGACGGTGCGTCTCGGCTGTCCCCCCCCCTTCTCTGCCTCCCTCCTTTTCTCGCGCTCGGGAGGAACGAGCGCGAAGGAGGGTAGTGCGCCTTGACGAGATGAGGGACTGACGAGCGAGCGAGTTTGGCCCCGCCCCGAAACAGCTCACGTACCCGGCCGACTTGCTGCGACGACGGATGCAGATGGTCGGGCTCAAGAGCCAGGCGCTCGGGTACCAGTACAAGGGCGCGTGGGACGGTGCGTCCTCTTTTCTCTCTCTCTCGCGGGACGCGTGCGCCGGTCGGGCGGCGGCGGCGGTCGCCAAGGCAGACCGCGTCGCCGGCCTGCGCTCAGACACATCTCCTGAGACTGACACCCTCGCGTGCGTGCGCGCAGCCGTGTTTACCATCATCCGCACCGAGGGCATCCGGGGCATGTACAAAGGGTGCGTTCCCGCTCGTTCATCCCCTCCTCGCCGCCCTCGCCCCGGACCTGACCACGGCCCCTCCTTCTTCGGCACGCACAGCATCTGGCCCAACCTCCTCAAGTGCTTCCCCGCCATGTCTGTCTCGTTCGCCGTGCGTCGTCGCCTCGCTCCCTCTCCCCCACTCTCTCTCGGCGCCCCTGAACGCGCTCGAGCCCGGCACTGACCTCGCCCCTGTCCCCCTGCCCTGCCCTCCTCCCGCCCTCGCCGCCGCCGCCGCCGCCGCAGGTCTACGAGGTCTCGAAGGAGCACATGGACGCGTGGAGTGCCGCACGGGCGGATGCGGATGCAGCTGAAGACGAGTAGGCTGCGAGGGCGCGGAACTAGACCGGCGACGAGGAGGAGGAGGAGGAGGAGGCCGACGCACATTCATCTGCCTCTTGCGCACCTGTACTACCCTTGTCGTCGACTGTATGCCACTGCCATAGAGCATCTTGTCCTCTCGCTCGTCTTTCTCCCGGCTTGCGACGAGAGAGAGACAGAGAGTCGCTCGCGGCCTTCTCAAGTTGAGCCACCTCGGCGGGCTCGCGTCGTCCGCTCGGGCCTCTCTCGCTGCTCTCGCCGCTCTCGAATCAAAGAGCACGCTCTGAACGACCTGTCGTTACAGAAGAGAAAGCAGCGACGACCAGCGAGCTGCGGGAAAGCCTCCTCCCTCATGCCCCTCCTCCTCCTGCTCCTCCCTCGCGACCCGCCTCGACAAGTGCCCTGTCTGCCGAGCAGGCGTCAGGCTTCGGCGCTCGAGAGGCTGCGAGAAAAAGGGAGAAGAGAGAGAGATAGAGAGACTGGGACGCACCTCAAGCCCTGCACCGAGCGACGAGGCGCTTGAGGTCAAAGTTCTCGAGGTCCTCGTCGGCGCGCTCGACGAACCCGTCCCAGTCGACGCCGTGCGTGATGCGCGCCACGTCGCTCGCCGCCTTGATCCACTTGGGCGCCTCGGCGTCGCTGGTGCGGCCGGCAATCTTGAGGAGCGAGCGCTCGGCGAGCGAACGCTCGGCCGGGACCGTGTACGGCGCCGAGACGACCTCGACGCGCTCGCCGCCGTCGGGCGTCTCGCGCACGTCGGCGCCCGAGGCAGAGATGGCCTTGAGCTCGTATACGTTGGCGAGGCGGTTCGAGTTGGGCAAGTGCGGGTGGCTGAGGACGTGCGCGCAGATGTGGTACGGCCCGACGAGGGCGTGGCGGTACGAGCTTTGCTGGCGGCGCGAGTAGGTGCCCTCGAGCTGCTCGATGGCGCGCTTGCGCGCGACAGCTTGTGGATGCGGGCGGGCAGGAAGTCCTGGTCGACGTCGGCCTCCTTGCTGATCGTCTTGCAGCGCACCAGGAGCTCGGCACGGCGAGCGACCTGCTGCGGCGTGTCGCGCCGCTCGTCGACGCAGTAAGCACACGTGCACCCGTTGGGGAAGTGCAGCTTGAAGAGGCTGTCGCGCTTCTCGGGCGCCGAGCTGGCTGGCACGTAGGCGGCAAAGACCTCGTCGCCGGCCTTGACGGGCGCGCGCGCTCGGACGACCTGCACGTCGCCGTACAGGGTCCACGAGGCGTTGGGCGTGCACGAGTGGTTGAAGAGCGAGCCGCCGAGGAAGAGCGCCGAGCCGCCGTCCTCGACGAGGTCGTGGCCGGCGTCGTCGTCGCACATGTTCGTGCGACGCAGGCTGAACCTCTGAGGGGCCTTGAAAGATTAGAGAGGTGGATGAGAGGGGGGAAAGAGAGAAGAAGAGGAAGCATCGGCGACGCACGCGTTGACGAGGCAGATGCCCTCGATGCGGGCGATGTCGGCAAAGGCGGGCTGCGACGACGAGTCGAGCTCGCGGTCCTGCTGCGCCCCGAGGACGGCCGCGCCGACGGGCTCGGCCTTCTCGCCGCCATGGAGCGCGTACAGGAGCGCTGCAGCCGACGGGTCGTCCTGGACCTTGGCGGCGCACGCCTCGACGAGCGCCATCTTGGACGCGCGGCTGGCCATGTTGCGCGTGAGGTCGTAGCCCATGACGAGGCGGCCCTTGGTCGCCTCGCCCGTCGCGAACGCCTCTCGACTGCGAGCGAGGGAGGCGTCCGAGAGGTCAGTCCACGTCGACGAGCCGGAAAGGGAGGGAGGGAGAGACGGCGAGGACGCACCGAGGAGCAGCTCGCCCGCCTTGATGTCCCTCGTCGCGACGATACCGCGACCGCCACCGCGGCCCTTGATCTCGACGACCTTGACGGGCCCGACGTAGTCGCCGAGCGACAGCTCCTTCTCGTCGACGCCCTCGTCCGAATCCTTGACGATCTGGCGCCAGTCGTACTCGCCCGTCGCGCTCTCGCGGAGCATGCGCTCGACGCGCTGCACGCACTCGCGACCCTCGGCGCTCGTCGGGTCAAGCTCGACGACGCGAGCGAACGCCTCGCGCGCCTTCTCAAGCTGGCGCAGGCCCTCGAGCGCCCTCGCGCGGCGCAGCGTCGCCTTAAGCTCGGCGAGAGCAGGCCCTGGGACCTCGCTCGACAGGAAGCCGAGCACGGCCGACGTGTCGCGCAGGGCCGAGGCAAAGCTGCCGAGGCGGAGGTGGGCCTGAGCGCGGTTGAGGAACAGGACGAGGCGCGTGGCGGCGTCGTCGGTCGAGTCGAGCCCGTCCGAGTAGGCCTTGACGGCGAGGAGGTCCTTTTTGGCGGCGAAGTAGCGGTTGCCGAGCGCCTTGTAGTCGAATGAGGCCGAGCGAGGCGTCGCGAGCGAGGACGTGGCCCACCTCGCACCCTTGACGAGCGGGTGCTGCGGCGACAGGACCTCGTAGTCGGTCGGCGTCTCGATGCGGACGACGTAGCAAGTGCCGGTCGCGTTGGGCTTGTAGGTCGACTCGCGGATGGCGAGGATGGTGCCGCGAGGGAACAGCAAGTCGAGGTCGGGCCCGGTGACCATGCCGTGGAGCGAGACGTTGTAGATGGCGAGCATGTCGCTGCACGACAGTCGATAAGGTCGAAAGAGAGTGGGAGGAAGGAGGTGTTAGTGGAGCGGGCGGGAGAGAAAGAGGAGGGAGAGGATGTAGGACGCACACGCGACCGTCCTGGTCCTCGACGACGCACGTGAGCCCGACGACCTTGACTGCGACAGGCAATTGGCGAGTCAGTATCCTGTGCGTCTGACCGTAACGGCTCTGGAGGGCGAGAGGACCTACTCGGCGACGAGACGATGCGGCAAAGCAAGAACCGACCCTGCGGGAGGAAGAGAGTCGGCTCGGCCTCGTAGACAGAGGCAACTTGGCTCGTACCGCGTGCATCTTGGTGACCATCATGTCCTTGAAGCGAACTGCGTCGGTACAACAGATCAGAGGCAAGCTCGAGAGGAGGGAAGACGTGAGGGAAAGCTGGACGCACTTGGCTTGAGCTGGTCGAGCGGCGTCGACGACGCATGTTTGCCGACGCCCACAAAGTTCCACAGGATCTGAGTGTCGTCTTGGACCTCCATCTTGGCCTGCTCGCTGCGCATGTGCTCCGTCTTAGCGATTGTCGAGAGGCGGTCGGCCGCGGGCGGGTACCGCTGAGGGCGCGCGCGCTCGAGGTCGAACTGGGCCCTGGCCGCCTCGATGTTCTGCTTGTACAGGGCCGCCCACTCGTCCGGGTCCTTGCTCGGCCTGAGGGACGGGCCTTGCGGGAGGCCGCCGCGGGCGGTGATGACCGAGCGGAGCTGCTCAGGGTTGCGGCGCAGGCGGTCGACCTCGTCGGCGGGCATGCCGAGGCTCAGAGCCATGTTGAAGAACACCTCGAGGTCGGGCGCGCTCATGGCGGCGAGAGCGAGGCAGGGTGGAGGAGGGAAAGGACACGAGGAGCGAGCACCGATGAAGAACGGCCGGTGTCTCGCCATTCTCAACCAGCGACGACCTCTCGAAAGCGCTTGACTGCCAGTGCGGGCTAGTCAGTACTCGTGCTCGAGACAGGCGAGCTGACAAGGCAAACCAGACGAGGAAAAAGAGGCCAAAGCGCACCTTTGCCGGGTCGACGACGAGGAGCTCACGCCGCGACGAGCGCGAAACAGCCGACTGCGAGCAGGACAGACTACGCGCAAGCGGTGAATGGCCGGCTCGACGATGCGCGCTCGACGTCTGGGGCGCACTGAGGCACAGCGCGAGCCTCGGACAGCTCGAGTCGCGGTCGAGCGTCGAGCGCTAGCGAGCACACGCAAGGACGAGCGGCGCGGCGATCCGTGCATCGTTGCGCCACATCTGCGGATGGTAGGCCGAGAGTTAGCAGAGGTTGCGGACGGACGAGCGAGAGAGAGAGTGAGGTCGACGTACGCTCGAACCGCGTCCTCGCCGCCGACGACCCGAGCGGTCTCGGGTCGCGCGGTACATACGAAGTGGAGCTGCTGACGAGTCTTTGCACCCTCGGCGCAGCAGCCTGACGCAAGCAGAGCTCCAGGCCGCGCAGGACGACCGCGAGCCGACGAGGGAAGCGGAGCTCAAGGGGCACGACGAGGCTGAGCGCGGCGGGCCGCAGCCTCGCGCTCGCCTCGTGCAGCACGTCGCACGCTCGAGCCAGCCGTCGGGGCGCCCGTGCTCGTAGGAGAGAGCGCGCGACTCACGCACGGCGGAAGGAAACGGGCGTGCCTGAGCCCACCGCCGTCGTCGCAGCAGAGGCCAGGCACCCGGCGCGGATGCTGCGAGCGAGCGGACCAGAGAGGACCAGGTGCACTTTGGCGAGGAAGCGATCAAGACAGCGAGAGACGTCAGGTGTCGAAAGCGAGTTGGCAGCGGAACGTGGGCGGCGGTGGGCTCGAGCGAACGAGCGTGGCAGCGCCCGTCGACGGGGAGAGAGACCGAGCGCAGGCAGGTGCAGGGGCGTGTTTGGAGCGAAGAACGAGCGAGAAGGGAGAGAGCGGCGGCGCTGGGAGGAGAGGGCGAAAGCTGCGCGAAAGGTGCGCGAAACGGCCTTCGGGCGACGGACGGCGCGTCGCTTCCCTCGTCCTCCTCGACCACCACCAGCTAGCACTTGACTGTGCTCAGCGTCCAGCCAGCCCAGCCAGTCCAGCCGACCCACCGGGCCCACCCCCTTCGTCCGCCGTCGCTCGCTCGCCAGCGCTCGCGCCAGCCGCAACCACCTCGCCCCTCCCCCGGACTCTGCTTGGTCGAGGGACCACCCTCTCGCGCCCAACGCCCACCCGACCTCGAGCGCGTCCAGCGGCACCACCACCGGCGCGACAGCTCTACCTCGACTCGGCACACCCGACTGCCCTCGCACCACACGCCGTCGAGCTCGAGATCCGCCCCCGCTCCCTGCACCCCACGAGGCGCGCGCTCGCCCTCGACCCGTCGGGCTCTCGTCCACCATGAACGTCCGCAAGGTGCGCCTCGCCTCGCCAGAACTTCCATCCCTTCTCCTGCAAGCCCGACCACTGACCGTGCCCTCGCGCGGCGCTCGCAGGCCATCACCATCCTGGTGATCCTCATTGCCCTCATCCTCGCAGGCACCGTCGCCGTCCTCACGACCGTCGTGCAGTACTTTGGCGTCGACCAGCGCGATGTCATCACCGAGCCCGAGATGCGCCTGTACGAGCGCCTCGCCGCCGCCGCTCGCTCCAACCTCCCGATCCCCGACAAGGGCCAGAAGGTCGTCGGCGGCGGCGGCGGTGCCGGCGACCCCGAGCCGCTCGCGCAACCTGTCGGCGACGATGAGCAGCTGTCGCCCGTGCTCGTCGTGACGCGCGACGACGCCGAGCGCGGCGACGAGTCGGTGCAGGACCTCCTCAACCGCCTCGACGAGCGCGGCTGGTTCTCCAACTCGTCGTCGACGTCCGCCGACCTTGAGGCCGTCGCCGAGCCCGAGCACAAGCAGAAGATCCCCAAGATCATCCACGCGACGTGGAAGACCGACACGGTGCCCGTCCGCTGGGCCGAGGTCCGCCAGGGCTGCATCGACCTGCACCCCGACTAGTGCGTCCAGCCTCTCTCCCTCCCTCCCCGTGTCTCCCTCATTGACACTCGCACGCCCCGCAGCGAGTTCAAGCTGTGGTCGGACGCGGCGTCGCGGGCGTTCATCGCCGAGCACTACCCGTGGTTCCTCTCGACGTTCGACGGCTACACGTACCCGATCCAGCGCGCCGACGTCATCCGGTACTTTGTCCTGCACCATTTCGGCGGCATCTACATGGACCTCGACATCGGCTGTCGGCGCAACCTCGACCCGTTCCTGTACTTTGACGTGATCCTGCCCGCGACCATCCCTGTCGGCGTCTCGAACGACCTCATGTTCGCCGAGCGCGGCCACCCGTTCATGGACCTCGTCATCCACAACCTCATCACGTTCGACCACTCGTACGGGACCAACTACCCGACCGTCATGTTCTCGACCGGCCCCATGTTCGTCTCGGCCGTGTACGGCATGTGGCCCAAGGATGTCGACGAGGGCGTCGAGCGCCAGGTGCGCATCCTCCCGCGCAGGTGGTACGGCAAGAACGCGCCCGTCAACGAGATGCACGAGTCGTACTTTGACCACTTTTACGGCTCGAGCTGGCACGCGTGCGTCCTCCTCCCTCTCTCGCCCACCCTCGTACCCGCCCTAACCCTCTCGCCCCCTCCCCTCTCCCTCTCTGCAGCGACGACGCCGGCTTCATCACGTTCCTCGGCAAGTTCGGCATCGCGCTCATGTACGTCGGCCTCGGCATCGTCGTCCTCGGCGTCGTGCGCCTCGTGTGGAACAAGCGGCCGGCGGCCCTCAAGACGCCTCGCACGATCGGGCCCATCGCCCTCCCGTACGAGGCCCTGCCGTTCGCGCGCCCGGGCACGCCCGGCAGCGGCAGCCGCCCTGCGAGCCCGAGCCACGGCGGGCCCTCGTCGTCGTCGTCCTCCGGGGCGGGCTCGCGCTTCGGGCCGCCCGCCGGCCGGTACCGCGACGACGGCAAGCCGAGCGGCCTGTTCTACATGCCCGTGTGGCTGTACCCCTCGGGCTCGTCGGACCGCGGTTCGCCCGGTCCTCGCCCCTCGAGCGGCGGCGGCGGCGGCGACGGCGCGAGCCCGAGCGGCGCCGGCGGGCAGCAAAACTGGTCGCAGTACTTCAGCAACCTGTCGTTCATCAACGACGAGGCGGCCGCCAATGCGCACCGCCAGCACGGCCACGAGCACGGCGGGTACGCGCCCGTGCCGAGCTTTTCGCGCCCGCCGAGCCCGAGCAACAACTCGATCCTGCACGCGCCCGGCTCGACGCACGACGGCGCGTTTGACGGCATGCCGCTGCACTCGATCCATGCGCCTCGGGCGCACAAGGCGTCGGCCTCGACGTCGTCGTCCTCTCCTTCCTCCCCCTCTTCCTCGTCCCACTTCCCCTCCTCCCCCTCGACCACCACCTCCAACCCCCCTCTGTCCCCCAATCCTCCGGCGTATTCGTCCCTGAGGAGCTGGGGGACGTCTCTCTTTCGCGGCGGCGTGGTCCCAACTTCCTTTCCCGTCGCCCTCGGCGGCGGGTCGCCCTCGTCTGCCGCGAGGGAGCCGCTCCTCCCGGTCGCCCACCACCCCGGGCACGGGCACGACCTCGAGGCGCGTCGCGTCCATCTCGACGCCGCGCCAGGGCCTGATGGCGGCGGCGGCGGACTCGGCCTCGGCGGACCGCCAGAGTACGCCGACACACTCGCACTCGTCGCTCCGGGTCCCGGGTCGCCCGGGTCGCTCGTCGACCCTCGAGGCGGACCAGCTCGAGCAGGGCGCGGCGGCGGCGCAGCAGCAGCAGATGCCGCTCGGTCGGATCGGCGGGGCCGTGCACCCGCTGCGGCAGCTGCGGCGCCGCCAGGGGACCGGGCCCTCGAGCGTCCCGCTGCAGGCGCCGCCAGCCGACGCTCCTCCTTCGACGGCAGCGGCGAGGACTCGCTCGAGGAGCAACTCGATCGCGAGCTCGCCGGCTTTGACGGGCGGCGCAGCGGGAGCGGGCGAGCCAGTCCTGCCCTTCTTGCCGCGGACGAGGGACGAGTGAAAGGGTACGGCTCGGGCGCGGGCGCGGGCGCGGTCGAGGAGGAGGTGGACCGGCTGCTGAGCGAGCTCGCGCCGGAGCAGGGCGACGAGGACGACGGTGGCGCGGCCAAGAAGGCCGAGTGAGCGCGCCCTCGCTTCTCCCTCCCTCCTTCTCACTCTCTCTCTCCCTCTTTCTCTCTCTCCCTTCGCTCTTCTCTCGCATCTCTACACGCACCGGCACCAGTTCTTCCCTCCTACCCTCCCTCGCACCTCCTCAGCCCCTCTTTCTCCTGCGCGCGCTCTTTGTGTACAACTCGCGGTCCTCGATCCCTCTCTCCCTCTCTCGCCTCTTTCTGGATACCCCCCGCACCCCTGGCATCGAGTGCAAACGGAGCGTGTCCGTATCCCGCGCCGTGGTGCGCGCGGTTGGCGCTGAGAGCAGTGAGGGTGGTCCGGCTCGAGCGAGGAGCTGAGCGCGAGGGCTGCGAAGCTCGGCTTGGGAAGGCCGACGACGGCCTCGTCTCGTCTCGTCTCTCTCTCTCTCTCTCTCTCTCTCTCTCTCTCTCTCTCTCTCGCTCCCTCTCTCCCTCTCTCTCTCCTCGTCGCGCCTTGAGCCGAGCCAGAGCTCGACACGTCGTTGCACACTGTACACGGAACGCTCGTTTTCATCGTCGTGACATGCGAGGGAGCGAGAGAGAGAGAGAGAGAGGGGGGGTATGCTGATGAACGAGGTGCGAGCGGGCGTGGCGAGAGAGAGAGAGAGAGAGAGAGAGAGAGAGAGACCTGCGCAACAGGCCACCGAGCAAGTCAGTCCTCTGCTCCCGTCGAGCCACCAACAGACAATGCGGGAGACCCTCGTCGAACGCACCAAGAGAGCGACGACCACCGACCATCGAGGAGAGAGAGGGAGGAGGCGCCCGGCCCCGCACTCAGACGGCGCGCTTGACCTCGAAGAAGCGCTTGAGGTAAAAGACCTGCCACGCGCAGACGGCAAAGAGGAGGACGGTCTGCACAATGGACCAGTACTTGACGCGGTCGTTGGTGCTCTCGGCGGCTGCGAGTGCGGCGTTGGCGGTTGGCGGTTGAGGGCGGAGAGGGAGAGGGAGAGGGAGAGGGAGAGGGGGATGGAGGGGAAGGCAAGGGAAAGGGGGGGGAGAGAGGTAGGCAGGAGAGTCAGTGCCGGGACCGAGACCGAGAAAGAGAGGGAGAGGAAATAAGCGACGACGCACTGTCGCGGTGCAGGCGCTCGCGCACGACAATGTACTCCTGCTCGTCCTTTACGGCCTCGAGCGCGGCCGACAGCTGTCGGATCTCGCGCTCGATCGGCGCCGTGTGGCCTGCGGGGTGGTGGAGCGGGTCAGCTCTGTGGGAGAGAGAGAGGGAGAGAGGGAGAGAGAGAGAGTGGGGCAACGCACCGTCGTCCTCGACGTACATGATGCCGTGCACGTTGAAGCTGGGAGGCGCGAGCGGTCGAGGGAGGGGGGCAAGCGTCAGGGTCCGTCGCCGAGGGCCCGCTCGCTCGCCCCACACGACACGAAAGAGGGAGGGAGGGGGGGACGCACCTGACCGTCTTGCCGCTGACGGTGCTCATCTCGTTCGAGAAGCAGTAGGTGAACCGACCGTCCGACTCTGCCGTGAACGAGTGGGTGCCCGTGTCCTTCTTGCGCTGCTCGTTCATGGTGCGGCCGGTCGGGCCCGTGAGCGAAAAGTCAATGTCGAGGTGGCCCCCGCCGGCGACTTGGTACGTGACGGTCATCTGGTTGCGGGTGAGAGGGAGAGAGGGAGGGAGGTGGGGGAGAGTGAGTGGTCGAGGTGAGCCGGGGCGGGTCACGGGGCAACAAGAGAAGAGAGGACGGACCTTGTCCTCTGTGTGGAGGTCCTCGAAGAAGCACTCTTTGGCGCCTGCGTCGAGGTCGATGGTGTGGGCGCGTGCCGTCGACGCGGCGAGGGCGACGAGGGCGACGAGGGACGAGAGGAGCGACCAGCGCATGGTGGGCGTGTTTGGTGGGAGTGGCACCGGGCCGGGCACACTGTGGCTGTGGTGGTGGTGACAGCAGTCGAGCGGCGCGCGGTGATGAGATGAGGACGAGAGAGTGAGACCCACCTCTGCTCCTCCTCCTCCTCCTCCCTCATCTCTCTCACCAACGACACAGAGACCATGAGCGCACGCAAGTCGGCCAACCAGCTCCCCAACACGCTCGACCGCTTCCTCAAGAGCCGCGCCCTCCTCAAGCAACCCCCGCCCGCTTTTTACCCCATCGTCGCCCACCCTCCCGCTCCCTCGCTCGTGCGCGCCTTTCCCTCGAGGAGTGACGACGACCTGCCCCCGACTGCCACCACCACCCGTGCCGCCTCGCTCGCCGACCTCGCACGCGACAAGCTCAACCGCGGCGTGCGCCTCACCGCCCAGGAGGACGCCGCCCTCGTCTCGTCTTCCTCCCAGCCGCAAGCCCGCCGCAAGCCCCCGCGCCCGGCCAACACGCGCCACCCGCGACCCTGGCGCATCGTCTTCCCCGAGGACCCGGTCCGCGACCGCTTCTTTGCCGACCACCCGTTCGAGGCGCACCGCCCACAGTCGCTCGTCGAGGGCGAGCTCGTCGCAGAGCCGAGCGGGCCTCGGGGCAAGGAGTGGACAGAGTTGAGGCAGCGCACTGTCAACCCGACTGCGGACGAGTGCGTCCCACCTCTCTCTCTCTCTCTCGGGGCGACCCTGTGCCAGTAACTGACCCTCGCGCCGCACCACCCCCAAAGCTGCATCGCCTTCATCACCAACCTGACGACCTCGCACGCGCTCCCACTCGCCGTCGCCTACCCGCACGGTGTCGCCCAGTTCCGCACCCTGCGCGCCGAGCACGAGACGGCCACGCGCGCGGCCCAGCTCGAGGCCGAGTCGCACGGCGCGCGCTTCTTTGGCGCGCTCGACCGCGCCGTTAAGCTCGAGGAGCGCGTCCTCGACGAGTGGACGAGCGCGAGGGAGATCCAGGAGGGCTTTGCGGCCGCCGGGAGGAACGGCGCGCAGGGAGCGCAGGCCCAGACGCAGGTGGCGCAGGGCGTCGCGGCGCCGCAGGGGAGCGTGTGGGCGCCTGCCGAGGCGCGGCCGGCGTTTGGCGGCGGCGGCGGTGCCGACGAGAGCTTGTTCTCGGGCGGGGTCGAGTACCTGGGCCGGTTTGCGAGTGCGGGTGCGAGGAGCGTGCAGGGACAGGGACAGGGGGAGGAGGGGACGAGGCCCGGTGCGGTGGTGAGGGGGGATGGCCTGCTCGTCGAGGCGCAGGCATAGAGCGTTGCAACTGTGCAAGCGTGGACCGTCGCACTCGCCGCGAGAGGGAGAGGCTCGAGAGCCGCACAGCTGGTCGGCGGACCTCCGTCGTCGAGTCGCGCGCGGTCGAGACCTCGCTCCTCCTCTCGAGCTCGTTCACCCACCTACGAGCACACCGCCGCACTGTGTGCACCGCTGTACCGCCCGCTCGCTCGAGCCACGCACCGCCCCCGACGCGCCCACGCTTGCGCTCTTTGCCCGCCGCGCCGTCCCTCCCCCCACCCGCTCGCTCGTCACCTCGCTCGACCCACGCGCCCGCACGCACACGCACGCACCATGGCGTACGAGTACGACACCAAGGGCGTCCTCCTCGAGGTGAGCTCTTTGCCCTCCTCCCTCCTCTGCACCGTGCGCGCGCACTCGTTCTGGAGCCCGAGACCCTGACCCGCGTCCCTCCTCGACTCTCGCAGTGGATGAAGGAGTGAGTTCCCCTGCCACACCTGGGCAACTCGACAGGGCCCGAACGGTCTCAAGTACCGCGAGCGCTGACTGTTTGCCCCCACCTCTGTCCTCCTCCTCCCCTCCCCTTCTCCCTCCCTCCCTCTCCCTCTCCCTCGCTCCCCCTCTCCTCTCCTCGCCTCGCCTCGCACCCGGCAGCGGCGCCAACAAAACCTGCGTCGAGTGCGCGACGCCGCACCCACAGTGGTGCTCGCTCTCGCTCGGCGTCTCGCTGTGCCTCGCGTGCAGCGGCACGCACCGCAGCCTTGGGTCGCACCTGTCGTTCGTCAGGAGCCTCACCATGGACAAGTGGACCGACAAGCAGATCGAGCGCATGAAAAAGGGCGGCAACAGCCGGTGCAAGGAGTTCTTTGAGGCCAATGGGCAGCCGTTCATGAGTCTGCCGATGACGGAGAAGGTGCGCCCTGCTCTCTCTCTCTCTCTCTCTCTCTCTCTCTCTCTCTCTCTCTCTCTCTTTGTGCCCTCGTCCTCCCTCGACGAGCACCGACTGACGCACTCTCCCCGCCCCCCGCCGCCGCACCCCGCACGCAGTACAACACGCACGTCGCGGCCATGTACCGCGACAAGCTCGTGTGCGACGCCGAGGGCCGCCCCTGGATCCCGTCCGACCCGCCCGCGCCCACCACGACCTCGTCGTCTTCGTCGTCGCCCTCGCCCTCTTACGGCGGCTCGTCCAACGGCGCCGGCGGCGGTGGCGGGCTCCGCAAGCCTCGCCTCGGCGCCCTCTCGTCGTCGTCCGCCTCGTCGCCGCGCTCCGGCTCGCCCTCGTCCTCGTCGCACGGCGGCGCCCCAGGCGGCGGCGGGGGCGACCAGGGCGCGCGGCCGACCAAGGCGCAGAACGAGGACTTTTTCTCGCGCATGGGCGCGGCCAACGAGGGCAGGCCTGAGCACTTGCCGCCGAGTCAGGGGGGACGGTACGGCGGGTTTGGCGGCGGTGGAGGGCCGAGCGGTGGTGCGGGAGGAGCGGGGCGAGGGGGAGGGGGAGGGGGAGGGGGAGGGGCGGCCAACCCGCTCAGCAGCAGGAACTTGCCCGGGCTCGACGACTTGAGGGACGACCCGGTCGGAGCGCTCGGCAAGGGGTGGGAGTTCCTCGGCGCGGCGCTTGGGGCGGTCGGAAAGACGGTCAACGAGTGCGTCGCTGGGCTCTCTCTCCTCTTCATCTCTGTCTCTCTCGAGAGCGCGCGCACGGTGGGTGTGGACGAGTCGACGACGAGCGTGACCTGACCTGACCGTCTTGCTCCCTCTCCTCCTCCTCCCTCCCTCCTCGCCTCCCTTCACTCCGCCGTCCACCCTGCCCCAGGTCCGTCCTCCAACCGACCCTCGAACGCGCTCACGACCCAGCCCTCCAATCCCACCTCTCGACACTCTCGACCAAAGCCCTCTCGCACCTCTCGACCGTGACCCGCGCCGGCGGCCAAGCCCTCTCGACCACGCTCGACTCGAGCTCGACCTTCCTCCGCACCCAGGCCGGCGTAGACGTCGGCGACCTCGGCGCCCGGTACGTCGACCGCGCGACGGGACGCGGCGCCGGGGAGGGCTACGGCAGCGTTGGGGAGGCGAGCGCTCCTGGCGGACACAGCGCGAGCGAGCCGGGCAGGGGCGACTTTTTCGGAGACTATGGCGTCGGTGGGCCGAGTGGTGGGAGCCCTGAGCTTGGGCGGTCGCGGTTGGACGGCCCGGCGCAGGATAAGGGAGGAGGGTTGCGCGAGGCGCCGACGGCGCCGGCGCCGGCGCCGCAGGTGACGGGCTCGTGGGCCGACCTCGCGCCTCAGGCGGCGGCGCGCAAGGCGGCTGCTGCCGCCAAGGCGCAGACTGGTCCGGCGGCGGCGACCAAGAAGAAGGACGAGGACGAGTGGGAGTCTTGGTAGCTCGTTCCCGCTCGGTCCCTTGCAACTCGTTCGCTCTCTCTTCTCTCTCTCGCTCTCTCTCGGGTCGCGAGGATAGCCGCTCAGAGAGAGAGTCAAACTGCCTCGTGGTACTGCAGAGGCGTCTTTTCCGATGCGGGCTACGGCTTGTGCGGCGTGGGCTCGATGCTGATGCGAGAGCGAGAGAAAGAGAGAGAGGGAGCCGTCGTCCGACAACACGTGTTTCTACCTGCGCCCCTCGCCCTCTCACAGCTTGGCGAGCAGCGCCTCGTCGCTCCGCCACGGCTCGCGCTCGCGGAACAACTCCTTGGTGTCGCGCGCCGGCCTCGCAATGGCCGGGTTGGCCGTCCCACCCGTCGCGCTCCCGCTCGCCATGCGCACGACCCGGTCGACCGTCGCGGCGCTGTCGCGCTCGTACAAGACTGCGGGCGCCTGGTCGACGAGCTCGCGCAGGGCGAGCGCAGAGAGCTGCGTCGGCGGGAGGTCGGTCGACGTGCCGAGCACGAACGAGTCGAGAATGAAGTCGAGCGACGAGGGCGAGTGCTGCGCCGTTGCGGCGACGAGGCGCGCGATCGCGGTCGCGTACGACTCTGCGTGCGAGAGAGAGAGAGTCAGTGACGTGCAGGAGGAGAGAGAAGAAAGAGAGAGAGAAGCAGGGAGAGGGGGCGCACCCTTGGGCGACTCTGCGAACGCCTCTGAGATGATGTCGACGACCGACGACACGCTCGCCTCGCCCATGTTGCTGCCGCCGCTCGAGACGGTCGCGGCGAGGCCGTTGACGACCGAGTCGCGCACGTCGCCCTCCTCGCTCGCGACGAGGTTGACGAGCTCGGTCACGAGCGGGTCGACTCGGGGCTGGTGCCGCATGAGGGCGCCGAGCGCCGCGACGCCCCGGTTGCGCACCGACAGCGACGACGTGTCGACGAGCGACTTGACAAACGTGCGCTGCAGTTGCGGGAAGAAGGGCTTGACGTACGCCGACACGCGCACGAGGAGGATCGTGAGCGTCGACAGGATGGCCGACTTGACGGGCGCCGGGAACCGGTCGCCGATGACGCGGATGAGCGGGCCGACCGTCTGGATGCAGTAGGCCTTGAACGCCTCGGGCGAGGTGCGCTCGACGAGGTCGCCGAGGCCGTACGCCGCCTGCTCGCGCTGCTCGGCCGTGCCGGCGAGGAGGCCCTGCAGGAGGATGGCTGTCGACGATGGCGGCAAAGAGTCAGTTTTGAGGACGCAGTGAGAGAGAGAGAGAAAGAGAACGAGGAAAAGGCGGGACGCACGCAGGATGGGCTTGAGGCCGTTCGGGCGCGAGAAGCCGTCGACGGGCTTGCCGACGATGCCGACGCCCTCGATCGTGCGCCGCAGCGGGACGACGAGCGCCTCCATGTCCTCCTTGTCGATCGTCTTGACGAGCGCGTCGAGGGCGGTCCATGCGGCGCCGACGACGTCGGGCGTGCGGTCGTCGAACAGCGACACGAGCTGGCGGATAAAGTCGACGACGTAGTCGGCAAAGTCGGCCTCGGTCGCCTTGCAGAACCGGGCGTACAGGTTGCAGCCCGTGATGCGTTTGCTCGGCACCTCGTGCTTGCACAGCGACAGCATGTGCATCTGGAGGCTGCCGAGGCCGCTCTCGTGGTCCTCGACCGACGCGAGGACGGCGTTGAGCGCCGAGTCGAGCGCGTCGAGCGTGTCGTCGTCCTGCTCCGTCTCGAGCGCGTTCTGGAGCGCGTCGACAATGTTGGTCAGGCGCCGGCCGAGCGCCGAGCCGGCGACGCGCACGAGCGCCGACAGCGCGCGCGCGTTGAACGCCGTGATCGGCTTGGCCGTGAGGCGCGGCACGAGGATCGGAAAGATCTTCTCGGCGCGCACCTGCATGACCTCGCGCAGCGCCTCGAGGGCGGCGTCGGCCGTCGGGCCCGGCGTCTGGAGCGCGTCGAGGAGGGTAGGGATCGTCTCGTCGATGGCGCGCGTGCCGATGACCTGCTGCGCGACGTCGAACGCCTGGCCCGCAGCCGAGCGCACGTTGGCGTCCCGGTCGACGAGCGCGGTGCGGACGGCGGCGATGACGGCGTCCTCGTGCGCCTCGAGCGCCGTCTTGCCCGTGTTGGCCATGAGCTCGGTGAGGGCGAGGCAGACGCCCTCGCGCTGTCGCCGGTCGTCCGAGCGCATCGCCTTCTGCAGGCTCGCAATGACCTCGCCGAGGACCGACTCGCCGAGGCGGCGGCACGTGTCGGCCAGGCACCGCGCCGCCGTCTCGCGCTGCTCGAGCGCAGGGCTCGCGAGGATGCGGACGATGATCGACACTGCGCGAGAGGAGGAGAACTGTGAGCAGCTGTGCGACTGGGTCGCAAAGTGAGAGAGGGAGAGAGGGACGCACTGAGGATGGGCAGGATCTCGCGGACCGTGCGCGGCGTGTTGGGGACGAGCGCCTTCCACACGCCAATGGCGGCCTGGCGGACACCGCCGACGGCGTCCTGGCGCACGATGTAGATGGCGGCGAGGACGCGGTCGCGGCGCTCCTTGCCGAGGCCGTCGATGAGGGCCTTCTTGGCCGCGTCCATGCCGGGCGCCGCCTCCTCGGCGGCCTCGTCCTCGCCGTCCTCGTCCTCGCTGATCTTGCCGCTGATGCCCGAGATGCGGAACAAGAGGTCGCCGATGAGCTGCACCGAGCTCTGGCGGATGCGCCACGACTCGTCGAACAGGCCCTGCTCGAGTTCGGGGAGCAAGAGGTCGATCGCCTTTGTGCTGTGGTTGGCGACGATCATGCGGCCGGCGCGCATCGACGCCTCGCGCACAAAGTCCGAGTCGTCGGCGAGGCCCGACAGGACGGGCTGGATGATCTTGCCGAGGTACGGCGAGAAGCGGTCGCCGAACGTGACGGGGAGGAAGACGAGGAGCGAGATGTGGCCCTCGCGGATAAACACGCGCGGGCTCGACAGGTTCTGGAGGATGGTCGGGAACAGCTCCTCGAGGCGGTCGACACCGAGGCCGGCGAGGACCTCGGACACGCCCTGCGCCGCACCCTGCTGGTCGACCTGGGCCGCCGGCGACTTGAGGACCGACATGAGCGACTCGATCAAGTCGGGGAAGTTGTTCTCGCCGAGGCGCTCGACGAGGCCGCCGAGCGACTTGGCCGCCGTCGAACGCGCCTCGGGGACCGGGTCGACGAGGACGTCGCGCAGGAGCGGCACGAGCTGGTTCAGGTACGGCACGAGGTCGCGCGCCTCGGTGAGGGTCGCCATGTTGCCGACGATGGCGGCCGACTTGCGCTTGATGTCGGCGCTGCGCTCGCGCAGGCCGCGGTCGAGGATCGGGACGAGGAGCGCGAGCGACGACGCGTCGATAAAGTGGGCGAACGTCGTCGTCAGGAGCGTGTCGAGCGCCTGGGCCGTCTTGCGCGCCGGGTCGACGAGGGCGTCGAGGAGGACGCTCGTCATCTCCTGGATCTCGGGGTTGGTGACGACCTCGCCGAACCGCTTGAGGCTCGTGTTGGCCGACTCGCGCACCTGCTTGTGCGTGTCGGTGAGGACCTCGGTGAGGCGAGGGAGGATGGTCGGGAGCGAGGCCGACAGCTGACGAGGCGCGAGGAACGCCATGGCGCCCATGAGCTCGATCGCGCCCTTCTTGGCGCGCCACTGCTTGTCGTCGAGGCCCTCGAGGAGCGTCGGCAGGATGAGCTTGACGGCGTGCCCGCTCAACTTGCTCATGATGGCCTTGGCCGCGTCTTGCGTCGCCTCGCGCACGTCGGGCGACGAGTCGCCGAACGCGGCGAGGAGCGTCGGGAGGATCTCCTGGATGTAGGGCTCGAACAGGCGCCCGAGGACGGTCGACAGGACCTCGTAGCCAAAGACGGCGCCTTGGCGGGCCTGCATCGTCTTCTTGTCCTCGGCGTTGTCCTGCAGGCGGCCCATGACGCCGAACTCCTGGATCGCCGACAGGCCGCGACCGGCGACGACGCCGGCGAGACCGTACGCGGCGCCGCGGCGCTCGGCGTACTTGGCGCCGTTGAACAGGTCGTTGAGGAGCTGGTCGGCGAGGTCGGGCACGTCGTCCTTGATGACGCGGATGAGCGGCGGCAGGCAGTCGCACACGGCGGCCTGGACGACCTCGGACGGCGTCTTGAGCGCGTCGACGAGGCGGCCGATGACCTTGGCGACGCGAGGGTCGGCCGGGTCGAGGTGGCGCGCGAGGCGGCCAAACAGGACGACGAGCGCCTCGGTGATGTGGTCCTGCGTCTCGTCGCCCGTGCTCGGGCGGGCGAGGTACGCCTCGAACGTCGCGATGAGGTCCTGGAGCGTCGCCTTGCCGTGCAGGTCGATGACGGCCTGGGCCGCCTCGAGCATCTCGCTGCGCACCGACTGGCTGCGGTCGCCGAGCGCCTTGCCCTCGATGAGGAGGTCGAAGAAGGTCTTGACGTCGACGGGCGACAACAGGGGGCCGAGGAGGCGCAGCGTCGTCGCGATCGCCTTGCGCGCCTTCCACGGGTCCTCGCGCGAGAGCGACTCCTCGATGAGCATGCCAAACCGGTCGTACTCGGGCAGGAGCTCCTGCGCCTTGTCGTCGTACTCGGCGACGAGCTGCATGAGCGCGTCGGCCATGTGCTCCGGGTGGATGCTGACGCCCTCGGCGATGGCGGCGGCCGTCGCCTCGCGGACCGAGGCCGACGAGTGGCTCAGGAGCGGCAGGAGGCGCTGGAGGAAGTCGCCGGGGACGCCGAGGCCGTTCTCCTGCCACACGGTCACGGCGAGCTCGCGGTTGCGCTCGTCGACGTCGTGCGCGAGGACCCACAGGCTCGCGGGGAACTCGGCGTCGGTGAGGTCGAGAGGCTGCAGCGGGCGAAGGAAAGAGCGAGTCAGTGCCACGCTCCTGGACTAGTGCAGGAGAGAGAGAGGGCGAGAGACGCACCTGAAGAGCCTGCAGCGCCGCGAGGCGGACGAACGCCTCCTCCGTGAGCGCGCCGTCGAGAATGGCCGCCACCTCGTCGACCGACGCGTTGTCCTGGATCGCCTCGCCGAGGTCGGCGAGCGCCGTCGCGGCGACACGGCTCAGGGCCGGGTACCCGGTGAGGGCCGCAAACAGGTCGCCGACGAGCGTGAGGCGCGGGAACGCCGTGTCGGCGCACTGGCGCGCGTGGAACGACACAAAGTCGAGCGCGAGCGCGAGCTGCTCCATGGCGTTGCTGCCCTCGGCGCCGGCGACGATCCCGACCCCGCCGGTGCGCAGGATCTTGCTGACGAGCGGCGCCGCGTAGGCGAACGTGCCGGCGTCGAACGGCTGCTGCTCGGCGAGGTAGCGCAGCTGGAACAGGACGCGCGACACGAGGTCGGGCAGCGGCTCGGCGCGGAACTCGTCGGGCACGACCTGGGCCTCGACGCTGCGCAGGACGGCGGTGCCGAGCGCGACCTTGAAGACGCCGAGCCGGTCCGAGCAGATGTCGGCCAGGCGCTGGTACGTCTCGAACGCCTCGTGCGCGACGAGCGTCGTCGGCTGCATCGTGATGACGGCGAGCGTCTTCTCGATCATGGACGCGAGGTACTCGCGCACGAGCTCGGCGCGGCTGCGCACGAGGCACAGGGCGAGCTGGAACCCGCGCTTGAGGCGCGCGAGCGCGGCGGCGACCTGGGCGCGGATCTCGTCCTCGAGCGCGAGCTGCTTCTCGAGCGCGGCGCGGTCCTGCTTCGAGAGCTGGGCCGCGACGGGCTTCTTGCGCGCGAGCGACTCGCGCAGCTCGGCCTCCCACAGCGCGATCTGGTGCTCCTTCGAGTTGGCCTTGCCGACCGGCGCCGCCTGCTTGGCCTTGTCCTTGGCGGCGGCGAGCACGTCGACGAACGCCTGGCCGGCCGGCGTGCCCCACACGCCAAACTCGGTCGCGCCGATGAAGGCGAGGTGCGCCGGCTCGAGGTCGTCCTCGAACTGGGCAAACAGGGCCGGGACGGCCTTGGCCGGGTGCACGAGCGCGAGCGTCGTCGCGGCGCGGTACGCCGCCGCCGTCAAGCCCGGGTCGCCTTTGGGCGCGAGCGACGCGTCGGCGAGGACGAGGTCGAGCAGGTGCGCGAGGCGCTCGTCGATGAGCTTCTCCGGGTCGACCTTTGCGCGCATGACGAGGTCGACCCAGAAGCTCGCCTCGCTCGTCGACAGGCGCGGGTGGTGCGCGACGACGACGAGCTGCGCGACGAGGTCCTCGCGCGTGTCGAGGTCGTCGTCGGCGCCCTCGGCGTCGAACGAGACGAGGGCGTTGAGGAGCGGGCGGAGCCGACCGGCGCGGTCGATGGGCGCGTCGGGCGCGTCGTCACCGGCCGCGACCTTGGCCGTGAGGGCCACCTTGGGCTTGCTGTCGCCCGCGACGAACCAGGCGCGCAGGCCGTCGCGCAGGGCGAGGTGCACGAGCTTGGGCGAGTGGGCGACGCCGGCGCGCACGAGGTCGACGGCCTCGCGGCGGATGTCGTGCGACGCGCCCTCGGTCGCGCAGTGGATGACGGCGGCGGCGAACGCGGCGCGGAGCTGGTCGTCGGCGGCGAGGTGGTCGGGCGACGAGACGAGGTAGGCCGACAGGGCGCGGCACAGCCACGTGCCGTCCTCGACGGTCGCCGCCTTGCGGTACACCTTGTCGTACAGGAAGAAGTTGGGCTTGGCGCCCTGTTGGCCGAGCGTCTGCATCGTCGGGTTGGCGGCGATGAGGTCGTCTGCAGGCGAGTGACAAGGTCAGGCTCTCGTTCCTCGTCCGGCTCGTCCGCCTCGAGAGAAAGAGAGAGTTAGAGGTAGACGTACTGATCTTCTTGCTGTCCCACTTGGGTGCCCGACTCTTGAGGACGGCGACAGCGACGTACCCCTCGAGCGGCCCGCTCGGCGAGTTGAGCAAGTTGGTCGCGACCGTCTTGAGCGCCGCCTCCCACGCCGGCGCCAGGTCCTCGGCAAACGCGCGCTCGGCGCCCGTCACCTGCGCCGCCGCCTCGCCATGCTCGAGCGCCCAAAAGACGCTCCCGAGCGCGGCCTGCGCGCGCCGCCTCAGCGCCGGCTTGGTGTCGCCGAGGCTCTTTACGAGCGCGGCGACGTGCGCTTGCGGGACGGCAACGTCGGCCTCGAGCGCCCTCGGGAGGTGCACCTCGAGGGCGCGCATGAGGGCCGCAAACGTCGCCTCGTTCGATTCCTTTGCGAGGGCGCCGAGCGCGGTCGCGACCACCTCGGGCGAGACGGTCGCCGAGGCGGGCAGGGCGCCGAGGAGCGTGTAGAGCGTCGTGCGGTGGTCGGGCGAGGTCGTCTTGCCCGTGCGCAAGGGCGCGTACACCTGCTCGGCGACGGGCAGGAGGTCGCTCTCGCCGCCCGACGACGACAAGGACGGCGACGAGAACAGGGTCGCGAACACGCGCGTCGCGGCGGCGCGCGTCGGTGCCGAGACCGACTTGGTCGGCGCGAGGACGGCGGGCGCGAGGCGGGTGCGCAGGGCCGGGTCGGACGAGATCGAGGTCGGGAGGGCGGCGAGGAACGCGTCGAGGTTGACGAGGCCCGGCTCGGCGACGCGGTTGATGGCCTTTTCGAGCGCGGGGACGAACGTCGTCGTCGCGTCGTCGAGCGTGACGGTCGCGGCGATAAAGTCGTCGAGCGCGCGCAGGACGTGCGGCGGCGGGGCCGTCTTGGACAGGGCGACGGCGGCGAGGTAGTAGTCGTTGACGGCGGGCTTGAGCTCGTCGACGCACGTCTTGGCGACGTCCTTGTGGCCCTTCGAGTCGCGCAGGCGCAGGGCGACGTCGAGCGCGACGCCGACGAGGGGTGCGTGACGGTACGGCGGGTCGACCTTTGCGGCGACGAGGGTGCGCACGAGGCGCGCGAGGGACGCCGGGCGGTTGCGGATGGCGCGACGGGCGAGGACGAGGGTCGAGTGACGCAGGGCGGGCTTGACCGGGTTGGCCTCGTCGAGGAGGGTGTAGACGAGGGTCGACAGGGACGACGCGAGCGACGAGAACTGGGGGTCGTCGAGCGGGCGGTCGGCCGGCACCGACTGGTAGATGGTGACGGCCCACCCGAGGAGGGCGAAGCGGGTCGACGCGGCGCCCGTCTTGTCGACCTTTGCCGCCTCGCCGTCGAGCCACTTGATCAGGCCCGACGTGAACGGCGTGGCCGACTTGGTCGCTGCGGCCGCCGAGGGCTCGGCGGCGTCGGTCGCGGCGATCGCAGGTGCGGCGGCGGCGGCATGGTCGCGGGCGAGGATGGCCGACAGGACGTCGAGGACGGCGGTGCGCGAGGCCGAGTCGACGTAGCGGGGGACGGTCGGGAGGAGGAGGCGGACGAGGTCCTGGACCTGGCTCGCCTCGAGGGACGCTGCGGGGGGTTGGCGGGATCGGGGTTTCAGTGAGTGGCTCTCTTAAGAGAGCACAGTCGACGCACGCTTGGCTGCGGTGGCTGCGAGGTCGTGGAGGGTCGAGGTGCGGTCGGCGACTCGAGGCGACTGGAGCTGAGCGCGGGCATTTGTGCACAGGGCGGGCCAGTCGTGCTGGTGCTGCTGCGGGTCCATGACGGGCTGGTCGTCGTCTGCGTCGCTGCTCGTGCTCGCGGCGGAGCGGTTCCACTCGAGGACCTTGGAGGTGGCCTGGCGGGAGCGCGACGACGACGAGGGCGCGCTCTTTGCGAGCTTGTCGAGGGTGCGCGGCGTGAGTCGGGGCGGAGGAGCCACGGTAGCTGTGCAGCTGGCAGTCTAGTGCGTGCGAAGTGGGGGTCCAGCTCGCCCTCGTCTCTCTCCCTCGAGCTTGCTCCGCGGTCGAGTCGATCCTCTCGCTCTCCTCCTCCCACCTCCTCGTGCTCCTAGCCGAGGTCTGCTGTGCCTCGTTCAACCTCGCACCAACCTGCAACCATGCCCAAGCACCGCGCCAACAGCAAAAAAGCCGCCCCGACCACGGCCCGCCTCGACCGCTCGGCTCAGCTCGACCAGCCCTTGTTCGAGATCGACACGGCCGGCAGCTCGTCCGTCCGCCACCAGCTCCTCGCCGACCAGGCCCCCGGTCAGGCCCGCCTCCGCAAGGGCCAGAGCTTCAAGAAGCCCCTCCGGTCCGACCTCATCCTCGCCCAGCGCTCGTCCGTCCCCGCCCTCAACAGCCGCGTCGTGCCCTCGGCCGACGCCCAGGCCAAGCGCGTCAAGGCCCGACTCGGCAAGGTCGACCGCGACACCAAGGACAAGCTGCGCCGCCTCGCTGGCAAGGACGGCCAGGGCGACGGCCTCTTTGCCCTCAAGTCGCTCAGCGACAGGCCCGAGGCCGTCGAGGGCGTCAAGGACGCTGGACGGTACGACGCGTGGGACGCGGCGCAGCAGGTCGAGGCGGGCGAGGACGACGACGCCAGCATGCGCGAGGTCCTTGCCCTGAGCAACCCCAAGACGCGCCCGGTCCCCAAGGTGCGCCCCCTTCTCTCACTCTTTCCCCGAGCCAGATCCTCTCTCTCTCTCTCGGGGCCGCCACTGATTCGACGGTACCGTTCCCGCAGGCGCCCTCGACGCTCGCCAACCACTCGCTCCTGTCGACGGCCCAGCCCCGCGCCGTCACGATCCCGCACCCGGGCTCGTCGTACAATCCGTCGCACGAGCACCACCAGGCGCTCCTCGCCTCGGCGCTCAAGCACTACGAGGCGGCCGAGGTGCGCGACGAGCGCGGCCAGGCGGCAAAGGACGCCATGGACGCGAGCCGGGCCCTCGCGCGCGGCCAGGAGACGTGGGAGGCCTACGCCGACGAGGTCGGCTCGGGCGAGAGCGACGCCGAGCTCGACATTGTCGACCCGGACGCGCACGCGCACAAGGAGCTCTTGAAGCGCCGCGCCGCCAAGCGCAAGACGACCAAGCAGCGCACGACGGCCGTCCGCGTCGCCCAGGAGGCGCGCGCGCTCGCCGACCGCCGCGCGATGAAGAAGCGCGTCGCGTCGGTCCAGAACGTGCGCGACGTCGAGGGCTCGATCACGCAGGCCGAGACGCTCTCGCTCGAGGACAAGGCGCTCGCGCTCCGGGCGCGCAAGGTGCGCCTCGCCGACCGGGGCCTGACCCGGTTCCGCTCGGGCCCGAACCGCGTCCCCGATGCGCCCGTCGCGTTCCAGCTCGGCGACGAGCTCGCCGACAACCTGCGCACGCTCCAGCCCGAGGGCAACTTGTGGAAGGAGTGGGTCAGCAGCGGCATGCGCAGGGGTCGCGTCCCGGTCGAGCGCGCCAACGAGGGCAAGAAGGGCGGCAAGCGTGGTGGGCGCGGTCACGACAAGGGCCACGGCTACAAGGAGAAGGAGAAGTGCGTCCCTCGTTCCTCTCTTCCTCGTCCCTCGTCCGCGTTCTGACCCTCTCCTCCTCGCGCGCACAGGTTCGCCTACAAGAACTGGTCCGGCTGAGCGTGCGCGCTATCAACTTGTCTCCCCTCGCTAGACTCTCCCTCGTCGTTCCCTCCCTCCTTCTTCTCGCCGCCTCGTCGTCCTCGGGTTGTACTCGTCCTCTGTTGCGGTCCTCGCTCGCCCTCGCACCTTGTAATGTACGCCTACGTTTCCGTCCCTGCCTCTGGCGCGTCGAGAGTGAACTCGCCCGAGAGCTAGGCCGACGCGCTCGTCGCGCGAGCCGAGAGATCTGGAGCTCTGGCCTTCGTCGCTCTCTCGCATCGCCCGCCGGCGTGCGAGCGCGCATAAGAGCACGCGTGCCCTCTCGCGGGCTCTCTCGACGCCTGGCTCGCACCGCCAGAAGCTCGACTCGCCTCGAATCCGACTCCCCACCTCGCGCGCCTGATGAGGGCTCCACGGCTCGCAGGTGCGTGGGCTCTCGCTCTGCGGCCTTGCACTGGTACTGACCCGCCCTCTGTACACAGTACCCGTCCTCGCAACCGGCCACGAGTACGCCCCGCTGTCGACTACGCCCTCGACGTTTCCTGGCTCTCCCGACCTCTCGTCGCCGCCGCTCAGCGAGCCGCCCGGCACCCCTTGGCGCTCGACCTTCACGCCTCAGCACCTCAAGCCGCCACCTGCGCAGCCTTTGTCGCCCGCCAGAGCAAGACGCGCCCTCCCTCTCGCCCTCGCCCTCGCCCTTGTCGCCCTCACCCTGTACCTCCTCGCCGCGCCGCTCCACCTCTCGTCCCTCCTCGACCACACGCGCCTCGGCTCGCAGTACCGACCCTGCACCGCCGTCGAGTGGTCCTCGGGCGCGTGGGTCCCCAAGGACCCGCCGCTAGCGCCCAACGCGTCGACGGTCGACGTCCTCGCCGCGTCCGGGTTCGAGGGCGTCACCCAGTCGTGGTTCAAGCCGGCGTGGTTCCTACACACCAAGCCGGGCGACTGGCTCAACATGGGCGAGGACGGGTACCGGTGGAGGGCGGCGCAGTGGCGGTGGGAGGCGGGAGGGAGAGACGTGTGTCGCGACGAGGTCGGACCGACCCAGGGCGAGGAGCTCCTGCGCGAGCTCGTTGAGCATGGAGGGTGGCTCATCGTCGGAGGTGCGTCCCACTCCCTCTCTCTCTCTCTCGTCGCCCGAGGCAAGCGCCCGTCCACCCGCAGCTGACCCCTCCCGTTCCCACCCTGCGCGCAGACTCGCTCGCCGAGCAGCACTTCTTCTCGCTCGGCTGCGTCCTGTTCCCGCACGTCTACGTCGTGTGGGGCGCCGGCTGGCAGGAGCAGCACATGTACCTCTCGCCCGACTCGCCCCTCGTCGCCTCGCTCGACCTCCCGCCCTCGTTCGACCTCGCCAAGACGCCCCTCGTCACCAACCTGCGCTCCGACCACGGCTTCACCAAACCCGAGCTCGTCGACATCTACGAGTCGACGCCGCAGAGCGCCGAGACGCCCTCGGCGCAGCTCTTCACCGACTACCCGGTCGACTCGCCGCCCGTCGAAGACTACCTGTCGCGGTTCGTCAAGCGCGAGAACCGGTACCGCGCCCTCGTGTTCAGCACGGCGGCGCACTTCACGCCTCGCGAGTTTGCCTTCCCCGCCGGCCAGAGCGCGATCGGGACCTTCTTTGCCGCCGTCGCGCAGCGGTGGGTCGACGTCGCCGCGCGGTACCTCGTCGAGCATGGGCAGGACGACGAGGGCGACGGCATCGAGCGCGAGGTCATCGTGCGCGGCGCGAGCAGCGGGCACGACGCGTGCCACGAGCGGGTCGGTGGCCCGCTCAACGCGACCGAGCGGCCCGAGCAGGAGAGCTACAACTGGAGCGAGATCCCGAGGTACAACGGCATCTTTGCGGTGCGTCCTCCTCTCTCCCTCTCTCTCTCTCTCTCTATGTCCCTCTGTTGCGGGCAGGGCGAGCGCTCACGAGCGTGCGCACCGTGCAGGACCTCGTCCAGAAGGCGGGCCACCCGAGGTTGTCGTACCTGTCGCTCGAGCGCCCGAGCCAGCTTCGCCCAGATGCCGTGAGTCCCTCTGCGCTTCTCGTTCTGCTGTCTCGAGTCGGGTCGACTCGGCGCAGCTTGAAGGACGGGATGGGGAAAGCTCACGCTCTGTCCCCTCGCGCAGCACTCGGAGGACTGCCTGCACTACGCCGTCGGGACCGGCGTGTTCGAGGGCTGGACCGACTACATCGCCTACTTCCTGCGCTCCAGATGGCGAGGAGGACGAGGAGGAGGAGATCTCGCGCCGGTCGACGCATAGGCGAGCGAGCGAGGGAGGAGCTGGAAGTCTGGGTTTTTCCTCGCCATCGCTTCTCTCGAGAGCGCCGAGCCGGGGAGAGAGAGAGAGACGGTGGCAGCAAAGTACAACACGAACATCGACAGCACGCACAGACAGCTACAGACCCGCTCGCCCGCTCGGTCCCCCTCCTCGCCTCGCGCTCGCCCTCGCCGACTCACCGCTTGCGCCCGCCTCGGCCCTGCGCCTTCATGCGGGGCTCGCACTGGGAGCAGTACCACGAGCCCTCGGGCGACTCCTTGAGGCCGATGCAGTTGAGGTGGAACCACTCGATCTTGCAGTCGGGCGCGTCGCAACCGATCATCTGCGACGACGACGAGGGGCGAGGTTGGTCAGTGAACAGGTTGGAGGAAAGAGGAAGGAAGAGGGGACGCACCTCGCCGAACGACGGCCGCTGGCAGAAGCAGTACGGCGTCAAGTCCTCGCCCTCGATCTCGGTCTCGACCTCCTCGACCACCTTCCTCTCCTCGTCGCCCCTCTTGCGCTTGTTGCTCCCTCCCCCGCCGCCGCCGCCCGTCGCCGCCAGGTGCGCCGCGAGTGCCGCCCCGTGCTGCGCCATCTGGTGCGACATGCCGCTCGCGCCTCCAGCTCCCGCCCCACCACCGCCGCCGCCGAGGCCGCCGTGCTGCTGCGCCGCCTGGAGCTGCGCCATCTGGGCCTGGCTCGCGAGCTGCTGCTGCGCGAGGTGCTGCGCCTGCTGCTGCGCGATCCGCAGCTGCTGCTGCTGCATCTGCTGCTGCTGCTGGAGGAACGCGAGGTTGGGCGGCTGCCCCTGCCCGCCGCCGCCGTGCTGCTGCCCGTGCTGCAGGTGCTGTTGCTGCTGCTGCTGCTGCTGCTGCAAGTGCGCATGCGGGTGCTGCCCGTGCTGCCCTCCCGCACCCTGCGCATGGTGCCCGCCGAGCCCCTGCGGCGTCCCTCCCGGGCCGGGCGACGCGTACGCGACGTTGGCGAGCCGCGAGGGCCCAGCACCACCGCCGCCGCCGACGCCGCCGCGCCGTGCGCCACCGCCGCCGCCCGACGCGCCGAGGGGCGTGCCCGGCGCGCCGCTGGTGCTGCTGCTCCCGCCGGGCGAGTTGGCGAACGCGTAGCCGGCGGGAAGGCCGTTCGGGCCCGGCGTCATCTGGGCCGGGAGGAGCGGGACTTGGCCCGCGCTCGCTTTGCGCTCTGCGGGAGGAGGGAAAGAGGGATGTCAATGAGGGGCTTGGTCGGTGACGAGGCGCGGGGGAGAGAGAGAGAGGAGGGGGGGACGCACTGTCGGCGTAGCCCGGTGTGCCCGGCGTGCCGTACGGCATGTACGAGTTGTAGGCGGCGCCACCTGGCGTGCCCGTGTACGACGGCTGGGCGTTGTACATGGCGGCGGGCGTCGCGGCGGCCATGTTGGGCGCGAACGAGGGCAAGGTCGGGAGCGGTGGGACGCTCGACGTGAGGAGTTCGAGTTGGGCTTGGAGGCGGTTCAGGTGGCGGGACAGCTGCGAGGGCGGCGAGAGAGAAAGTCAGGTTGCGCGCTCGTCGGGACGAGGAGCATTGGGCGGGTGAGGGCAACGCACGAGGTTGACGCCGCGCTCACTGAGCGCCACCTTCTCCTTGGTCGTGATCTCGGCATTGTCGAGGTCGAGCCTGTGCGCACGCCGTTTCGCCTCAATCAGTCTGCGCTCATCTGGGCAAGCACAGAGAGTAGATAAAGCGCGCGGGACGCACTTGATCTTCTTGGTGCTCGACTCCTCCTTGACGTTGGGGACGAGCAAGCCCTGGCCGCCCTGGGCGACCGGTCTCGCGTGCTTCTGGATGGCCTGGTCGCGCTGGAGGGCCCTCGAGCGCAGGTCCGACACGCGGCCCTCCTTGTGGCTGATCTCCTCGAGGATGTGGCACACCTCGGAGGGGAGGTTGTCGAGCGACGAGACAAAGTCGGCGAGGAGGACGGCCGCGTCCTCGGTCGACATGGCGAAGCGAGGGTCTTGAGCGCGTTGATCGAGTCGGTCGAGGTCCAAGGGGAGGTGAGGTCGAGGTACAGGAGGTCGAACACCCGGGTTGCTGATGAAGCTGGCGGGGGTGAACCTCGACGCGTGGGCGGTTGGTCGCGAGTCGAGTCGACGCAGACGAGTCCACAAGCTCTAGTGAAGTGCAGCTGGTGCCCTCACGTGGCCGTGAAGGAGCGGTGCGAGGGGCAAGTGATGAGGAGAGTGGGTCTCGGCGGAGGAGCGGCGGCGACGAACCAACTCTCGCCAGCCTCGCTCGAGGCTGTGCTGCAGGTGTGCATAATGCTAAAGAGAGTATCACAAGGACACTTCGCCGAGCATCGACCCGCTCAGAGGCCGTGGAGAGACGCCGACTCAACTCCGCCGAGCTCTGTTCTCGACGAGCTCATCTCGTCTCGCTCGCCGTCCACGCCCAGCTCGCCTAGCCGAGCCTGCACCCACTTGCAGCACTCGCTCCCTCGACCGTGTGACTGGCGCGCGCCACCCGGTAGCCCGTCCACGAGCCGCCGTCGTCGCTCCTCCCTCTTCCTCCTCCCCGAACCTCATCTCGCACCCAACCACCCGCCATGCCCGGCATCGCAACCGCCCCCGTCCCGGCACCAGTCGCCGGCCCGTCCAAGTCGGCCGCAGCCTACAAGGCCCGCACGGGCTTTGCCCCGACCTCGTTCCGCACCCTCGACCGCGAGAAGGCCTTCTCGCACCCGTCGACCGACGCGCACAAGTACACGGCCGCCCAGGAGCTCGTCCAGCCCCACGTCGACTCGTTCAACGCTCTGTTCGAGGGCGCACCGAGGCCAGACGGCTCGCTCGACGGCAGCAAGGGCCTCCTCGACCTCGGCGTAAAGGACCTCTTGCCCAAAGTCGTCTACGACCACAAGGGCGACGATGGCTCGCTCGGCAACCGTCTCGAGTGTGCGTCCCCTCTGTCCTCTCGTCGTCGTGAGCCAAGCGCCGTACTGACATTCCCCCGCCCCTCGCTCGCGCAGTCAAGGTCCTCGAGGTGTCGGTGGGGCGCCCGACCGGCTTCATGAAGGGCTCGCAGTCGCGGGAACGGAGGATCTACCCGACCGAGGTGCGCCCTACTTTCCCTCTCTCTCTCGTCGTGTCGCCCGAGCTGACCGATACTCGTTCCCGCAGGCGCGAGAGCGGTTAGCGACCTACGCCGGCCGCATGACGGCCAAGGTCGCCTGGTCCGTCAACGGCGGGCCGACCCAGATCGAGACTCGCGACCTCGGCAACCTCCCCATCATGGTCAAGGTGCGCCCCAACTTTCCCCGTCTCTCGTTCGCAGGTCGAGAGACTGACCCTTCCTCTCCCTCGCGCGCACAGTCGGCGCGGTGTCACCTGCGCAACCTGCCGCCAGCCGAGCTCGTCAAGCACCACGAGGAGGCCGAGGAGATGGGCGGCTACTTCATCATCAACGGCAACGAGCGCCTCATCCGGTTCCTCATCGTCCCGCGCCGCAACCACGTCACGTCCATCATCCGCCCCTCGTTCGGCAACCGCGGCGCGGCCTACACGCAGTACGGCGTCGCCATCCGCTCGGTGCGCGCCGACCAGACGTCGCAGACCAACACGCTCCACTACCTGTCGAACGGCGGCGCGACCTTGCGCTTCTCGTGGCGCAAGAGCGAGTACATGATCCCGGTCGTCATGATCCTCAAGGCGCTCACGGGCGCGACCGACAAGGAGATATTTCTCGGCATCCTCCAGCAGGACTTTGACAACACGTTCGTCACGGACCGCGTCGAGCTCCTCCTGCGCGGCTTCAACAAGGCGTACGGCCTCTTTACGCGCGAGCAGTGCCTCGACTTTATCGGCGACAAGTTCCGCGTCGTGCTCAACTGCCCCGAGGACTGGGACAACCTGCGCATCGGCCAGCACATGATCGACACGATCGTCCTCCCGCACCTCAAGGACCCGCGCGACAAGCTCCGCCTCCTCTTGTGCGTCCTCGCTCTCCTCTCTCTCTCTCGCTCTCGTCGAGCAGTCGAGCTTACTCTGGTCGAGCCCACCTACGCAGCTTCATGTTGCGCAAGCTGTACGCGCTCGTCGGCGGCGAGTGCTGCGCCGACAACCCCGACTCGCCTCAGCACCAGGAGATCCTCATGCCCGGCTTCCTGTACGGCATCATCCTCAAGGAAAAGGTCGACGAGTTCCTCAACGCCGTCGCCGGCCAGATGCGCCTCGACCTGCGCCTGCAGCAGCCCGGGACCGACCTCACCGACGCCAAGTACATCGCCAAGACGGTCGCGCGCGTCAACGCCGACGTCGGCGCCAAGCTCGCCTACTTCCTCGCGACGGGCAACCTCGTGTCGCCGTCCGGCCTCGACCTGCAGCAGGCGTCGGGCTACACGATCGTCGGCGAGAAGCTCAACTTTACGCGGTACATCTCGCACTTCCGGTCGGTGCACCGCGGCGCCTTCTTCGCCGAGCTCAAGACGACGACGGTCCGCAAGCTCCTGCCCGAGGCGTGGGGCTTCCTGTGCCCGGTCCACACGCCCGACGGCTCGCCCTGTGGCCTCCTGAACCACTTTGCGCACAAGTGCCGCCTCGTCCACCAGCACCTGCACGTCGACCACGTCCCGGCCCTCCTGTCGTCGCTCGGCATGCTCCAGCCGCTCGACCCGGCCATCGACAGCCGCAAGCACGTCGTCGTGCAGCTCGACGGCCGCATCGTCGGGTGGGCGACGCCGCTCCTCGCCAAGCAGCTCGCCGACGCCCTGCGCGTGTGGAAGACCGAGGGCGAGCACGACATCCCGCTCGACCTCGAGATCGGCCTCGTCCCGACGAGCCACGGCGGGCAGTACCCGGGCCTGTACCTGTTTGCGTCGCGCGCGCGCATGATGCGCGACGTCAAGCTCCTCGCCAACGGCAAGACCGACTCGGTCGGCCCGTTCGAGCAGGTGTACCTCGACATTGCGTGCATGAGCGAGGAGGTCGAGGAGGGCCTCACGTCGCACATCGAGTTCTCGCCGACGCACGTCCTGTCGCTCCTCGCCAACCTGACGCCGTTCAGCGACTACAACCAGAGCCCGCGCAACATGTACCAGTGCCAGATGTCGAAGCAGACGATGGGCACGCCCTCGACGGCGCTCCAGCACCGCACCGACAACAAGCTGTACCGCCTCCAGTCGGGCCAGACGCCCATCGTGCGCCCGGACCTCCACAACACGTACGGCATGGACGGCTACCCGAACGGCACCAACGCCATCGTCGCCGTCATCTCGTACACCGGGTACGACATGGAGGACGCCATGATCCTCAACAAGTCGGCCCACGAGCGCGGGTTCGGCCACGGCTCGATCTACAAGAGCCACATTGTCGACCTCAAGACGGTCCGAGGCGACAAGGGCTCGGGTGGGCAGCCCGAGGTGCACTTTGGGCTCGGGCCCGACGTGCGCGCCGACGACGACAAGTGGGCCTCGGTCGACTCGGACGGCCTGCCGCTCGTCGGCTCGAGGGTCAAGTCGGGCACCGTCATCGCCGCCTACTTTGACCGCACGGCGGGCAGGACCCGCGTCGAGAAGTACAAGGGCGACGAGGAGGCCTACATCGACGAGGTCCGGCTCATCGGTGAGCTCTCTCTCTCTGGGTGTCCTCGCTCTCGAGGCGCCGGTCACTGACTCTCTCTCTCTCTCCTACAGGCGACGACACGGCCGACGCTGCGCCCAAGAAGCTGCACATCAAGCTGCGCGTCCCGCGTTCGCCCGTCATCGGCGACAAGTTCTCGTCGCGCCACGGCCAGAAGGGCGTGTGCTCGCAAAAGTACCCGGCCGTCGACATGCCCTTTACCGAGTCGGGCATGCAGCCCGACGTCATCATCAACCCGCACGCGTTCCCGTCGCGCATGACGATCGGCATGTTCGTCGAGTCGATCGCGGCAAAGGCGGGCGCCATGCACGGCCTCGCGCAGGACGGCACGCCGTTCAACTTTTCCGAGGACGACACGCCGCTCGAGTACTTTGGCGAGCAGCTGCGCTCGGCCGGGTACAACTACTACGGCAACGAGCCCATGTACTCGGGCATCACGGGCGAGGAGTTCCACGCCGACATCTACATCGGCGTCGTCTACTACCAGCGCCTGCGCCACATGGTCGGCGACAAGTGGCAGGTGCGCACGACGGGCCCGCTCGACCAGACGACGCGCCAACCGGTCAAGGGCCGCAAGCGCGGCGGCGGCATCCGGTTTGGCGAGATGGAGCGCGACGCCCTGTTGGCGCACGGCACCTCGTTCCTCCTCCAGGACCGCCTCATGAACTGCTCCGACTACTCGACGGCGTGGGTCTGCCGCGACTGCGGGTCCATGATCTCGCTCGGGTACGACCAGGTCGCGCTCGCGAGCTCGCTCGCCGGCGGCCACGGCGGGCGGCACCCGGGCCTCGAGCTCAACGCTGGTCCCGGCGGCGAGCACTGCCGAGTGTGCCGCGATCGCGCCATCGAGGAATACGAGGCCGAGCAGGCGGCCGACGAGGCGCGAGCGGCGGCGGCGGCGTCCAAGTCCAAGGGCGGCAACAAGGCGATGGCGGTCGCCAAGGAGGTCAAGGTCAAGGGCGGCGAGCTCGACGTCGTCGCTGTGCCGTTCGTCTTCCGCCTCCTCGTCGCCGAGCTCGCGGCGATGGGCATCCAGGTGTCGGTCGGCATCGACTGAGGGAGGGCTCGCTGAGACAGCGGAGGGCAGGACCGGTCGCCTGCAACCCGAGCACGATAGACACGCACTCTCGAGTCGTCGGTCGAGGAGAGAGTATTGAAAGCGTCAAGAGGCCGGGGCAGCCAGGGAGAGCGAGGAGAGAGAGCAAGCCCGTCCTCGTCGACTTGAGAAGGTCGCCCTCGAACCTGTCACCTTGTCGCTCTCGCGCTCTCTGCTGCTATGACAGTGTTTTGGACGTCTGCGAGCTCTCGTCTGCGTTCGACCCGTGCCGGCGTGGAACGAGAAAGCGACGCCGTGGGCTGCAGAAGCGCTCGCAAGCCATTTGCGCGTTCAGGCCTCTCGAGCGTCGCGGTCTCTCTCCCTGGACTGCGAGTCGGCGTCGGCAGCGTCCGGCCGCTCTCAGTCGATGCACGCTCGACGATGGAGAGGCTGGAGCTTCGAGGCGGTCGTCGCTCGCGCTCCGAGATGTGCGAGAAGCTCTGACTGTAGCGTGGTCGACGCTGGCTCGTCAGCAAAGACTCTGCACGCTTGCGGCCGCTGCCCCAGGTCAAAAGTACAGGCCTCGGGCGCTCCGAGCAAGCTTGCTGCGGGTCCGTGCGAGGCGGCAGCAAAAGAGAAGAAACGTGCGAGGTGCTGTGGCCGGGAATCGAACCCGGGCCGTTTGCTGCCGCGAAAGGGTGGAAGGCAAACATTCTGCCATTGAACTACCACAGCATCGGTAAGCTGCAATTCCAAAAGTTGCAGCCACGTAAACAAGTCCGTGAGATGCCCGCTCGGACCTCCTTTTTTCGCCATGCCCGCTCGCGCTGCTTCTCTGCTCGGCGAGCACTCGAGCCAGTCGTCTGGCAGCCTGAGATAGCCCCACGAGAGTCAGCACAGGGGCGTTCGAGTCCGAGCGACACCGACGTCGAGGAAGGGCGCGAGGCTTCCGGCTCACGGTTTCTCTCGGCCGCACAAGTGCGCACAAGAGCCGGTCGACGCAGGCAGAGACGGAACGACAGTCTCGATAGCAGGGTAGCTACGTCTCGCGAAAGATCCCTCGCGCCGTCCACTCGTCCTCGCAACGGAACGCCGACGAGCGCTCGGACCTCTCTCCTCCTCCGTCGCCGACGCCCCCTCCGCCGCCGCACTCAGCGTCAACTGCGCACCTGACGTCGCCCCTGACCGAGAGGCGCATCTCGCCGCGCTCCGTTGCGGCCTTGTGCTCCCTGCGGAACAGCTCGCCGATCGTGTCACACTTGTGCGCCTCGAGCATGGCCCGGGCGACGTCGTCGGCAAAGGGGGCTGTAGAGCCATAAATCAGCACTATAGCGGGGCCAGCTGCGCGAGGTGCCCGTGTCGGACATGGCCTGGGAGATGTTGTCGAGGAGCTGGTCGGCAAGGTCGAGGAGCGAGGTGGCCCCTGAAGTCGACTCTGCGCGGCCTGCGCGGTGCGACAAGTCAGCTGTACGGTTCAAGAGAGGGTTCGTGCGAGTGAACGCACCTGGAGAGGCCTGCAGCGAGCTGAAAAAGCTCATCTTGACGACAAGAAGATGAGGAACTGGAAGTCAACGAGGCCCTGTCGCGCGCCCGCAGGAGGCTCGACTGGGTGCTTGAGGCCTTAGAGGTAGCTCTAGAGGGCCAGCAAGTGGCAAGGAGCTGTAGCGGGACTTGAAGGAGAGCTCCCTCCCTGCTCGTCGCCAAGTCGCGCCATCTGGCGGGGCAGAGCTCCTCCTCCTCGTCTCGCTGCGTCTGCCACGGCTCAGTCCTACGCGCAAGTCGCCCAGCAGTCGAACGGCAACCACCACCCGAGCACACACCGCTCTTCGCCGCCGCTCTCCCCTCCTTCCCTTTGACCAACCTCCGACCCGGGCTCGCACCTCGGCACTCGCCCTCGGCAGACTCGTCCAAGCAGCACACGAGCCTACACGCCACACGCTCTCGCCAAGCCGCTACACCTACCAGCCGCGCCCGCCAGCATGCAGCGCTCCGAGATGCCGACCCAGCCGCCGCCGGCCAAACGACCCGCCAGCACGGCCGCGAGCCTGATTGCCGGGTCCGCCGGCGGCATGTGCCAGGTCATCGCGGGCAACCCGCTCGACGTCCTCAAGACTCGCGCGCAGCTCGCCAAGCCGGGCCAGTTCAAGGGCACCATGGACATCGCCCTCCAGACGCTGCGCAACGAGGGCATCCTCGCCTTCTACAAGGGCAAGTCCCTCCCTTTTCTCTGCCACTCGTCCCCTAGAGCTCGATGAGAGGAGCGCACAGCTGACAGCACGTGCGCACACGCAGGTGTCACGCCGCCCTTGGTCGGCATCGCCGCCGTCAACTCGCTCCTGTTCGCCGCCAACACGGCCGCCCGTCGCCTCCTGTCGCCCTACCCGGACCAGCTGTCGATCCCGCAGATCATGGCCGCCGGCTCGATGGCCGGCTGCGTCCAGGCCGTCCTCGCGAGCCCGGTCGAGATGTTCAAGGTCCGCCTCCAGGCCCAGTACGGGCCCAACCCGAAGCGCCTGCGCGACATTGTCGGCGACATGTACCGCAAATACGGCTGGAAGAACGGCATCATGCGAGGGTACTGGGTCCGTCGTCTCGTTCCTCCTCGTCCCTCAACTCGAATCGGTGGTTTGACTCGCCGCATCCCCCCAGATCACGTTCGCCCGCGAGATCCCTGCCTACGCCGGTGCGTCCCCTCTATCTCTCTCCCGCACGTCACGCAGGTCAGCGACCGACGACGTCGAGTGCGCGCAGGCTTCTACGCCGGCTACGAGTGGTCCAAGCGAGCGCTGCAGAAGAAGCTCGACACGCCGTCGCTCCCCGTGTGGGCGACGCTCACCGCAGGAGGCGTCGGCGGCCTCGGCTACTGGACCGCATGGTGCGTCTGCGCAGTTCTCGAGACGCAGAAGGGCCTACTGACACCGTCTCTTCCTACAGCTACCCCCTCGGTCCGCCCTTTCTCGCCCTCGTTCCCGCGTCCGGCGTTCGAGCCTGACCTCGTCTCCCTCTCGCAGACGTCCTCAAGTCTCGCATCCAGAACGCCGAGCAGCCGCCTCGCGGCGCCAACTACATCATCAACACGTTCAAGCAGATCTACCGGCAAGAGGGCGCGCGCGCCTTCATCGCCGGTCTCACCCCTACTTGTACGTCCCCTCGGGCCCTCTCGACGTCTCGACGTGTCACTGAAGCGTCCTGTCGCTCGCAGATCTTCGAGCGTGCGTCTTCCTCTCGTCGTCGCCGGTCGTCGAAGCCGCACTGACCTCGTCCTTCCTCGCCACAGGGTCCCGGCGGCGGCAGCGACGGTACGTCCCTCTCTCCCCTCTGGTCCTCGCCCGGTCCCGAAGCGCGACTGACGAGCCGTTCCTCTGCAGTTTGTGGCGTACGAGCTCACGATGGAGTTCCTCGAGGAGCACACGTCGATTTGAGGACCCCTCTTTCTCGGCCACCTGGCGCCTCTCCTTCTCCCGTCTCGTCCCGAGAGAGACTCTCGCTCGTTCACTCGCTCTCTCGCTTCCGTTCTCGTGCAGCGAGAGGCGAAGGGAGCCGCCGCGGACCGCATCTCTCGCTCCGCGGACTTGCCCCCGAGCCGACTCGCGCTCGTCGCGCGCTCGCTTCTTCGCCTCTCGCTCTTCCTCTACTGCTCGAGGAGCGACCTTGGTCCTGCTGCGAGCGATCCTGGTCATGCCGTTGCCCTTGGGCCGGCCGTGCGACGCCTGTCGCCAGCGCCAGGTGCGTCCCCTTCCCTCTTTCCCTCCCACCTCTCTCTTTCGCCCTCCCTGACCTCGAGCGCCGGCGCAGGTTCGGTGCAGCCGCAGTCGACCGATCTGCGCCGCCTGCATCAAGTACAGCAAGAAGCGCCCCAACCACCTGTGCACCTTCCCGACGCCGGCACCTGTCCCTCGCTCGCCCGTCAAGCGCCCCGAGCGGACCGGCGCAGGCGCCGACAATGCTCCGGCCCTCTACAGCGTCGAGGAGGGCGGCTCGGCGGCCGCTGTGGGGCGCGACGAGCGGCGCGGATCGGCGGCTGGGCGTGTACTGAGGGCGGTCACGGTCGAGGTCGGGACAAGCTCAAGTGCGTGCCGCTTCGATTCCCTCTCGCTCTCCTTTGAGCCTCGAGCCCGGCGCCGACTTGATCCTGATGTATGTCCTGCAGAGCGCTCGTCCAAGGTCGCCAAGGTCGACCCGGGCGCCCCGACCGTCGAGCAACGCGCTCCAGTCCTGCCAGTCGACATCCCTCCCTCCCTCGTCCTTCCCGTCCTCCCCACGTTTCCCTTGACGCTTTCTCAGCACGTCACCGCGATGCCGGCCGACCTGGGCGCGCCGTCGCTCGTGCACCCGTACCTGTCGCCGTCGCCCGCACCTTTCGGTGGCCCGACTTCGCCGACGCCGACGAGGCTGGCTGCGACCGCCGAGCAGTACCCGCTGTCGCAGCAGTCGCTCGCGGGCCAGCCGGTCCTGCCTCCATCGCCGCCGCCGTCCGCCGTCGACGAGCAGCCGTGGTCCGTCGCCTCCCTCCTCGACTGAGCTCTTCCCCTCCTCCCTCCCTGGCTTATTCGCCTCTTCGTACCTCGACAGATACTGTGTTCGTCGCTCTCTCCCTGTCTCGTTCCCTCGTGCCTGCAATCGGACCTCGTTCTGTTCGCTCGACTTGGCGCTTCGACCCGGCGGCGGCGGTGCGCATGCAGACGACCCGCCTGCTGGATCGCCCTGCGTCTGCAAAAGCTCAAGAGAGAGCTCTACGAGGACGAGAAGCTGCAGGGACGCAGAGCTGGTCGGTCCGCAGCCTTCTCGGCCGCGCTTTCTGCAGCTGCAGGCCCGGCCCGCTCGCCGCCCGCCTCGTCTCCCGCCCTGCTACACCGCTGCTGCGACACGCCCGCGCGCTTCTAGGGCTTCCGACAGCCTGTACAGCCCAGCTCGGCGCCCTCACGAGCTTTTACGGCCGCGCCTCGCTGCGCTGGACCTCCCACCATCGACTCGCCATGATGAACTTTCGAGGCCGGCGCACGCCCTCTCGCTGGGCCAGCCGGCTCACGATCGAGGCCCAAGCTGCTCAGCATGCCCCCAGGCGGCGGTGCGGCGCGGCTGCGCGTCATCGCGCTCGCTGTGACCGGTGACCGCTGGCGCCATCTCGCGCGACCGAGAGGGTCCTCTGGCTCATCTCGCCGCGGGCCCTGTCGACGACGGGCCACCTTCCCTGCTACCTTCTCCGACCTCGACAGTACGGCGACCATGCATCTCGAGCACCCGTGCGTCCCCTCGTCTCCCTCCCTCCTCGACTCGACGTGAGCTCACTCTTCGCACGCTCGCAGCCCTCCTTGTCCGCCGACCTGCACGCACTGCCTCGCCTTCGACAATCACGCTCGCACCATCTGCTCGCTACCGCCCTCGCCCGGCTCGAAGTGGTGCCCGGTTCACGAGGAGCTCCAGGTGCGCCCTCATCCCTCCTCCCTCCTCCCCGACCGTCCTGTCGAGCTGAACTCATGCCCTTGCACAGGCCAAGCTCCTCAAGACGTACAAGCGCCTCACGGTCGCCTTCGAGGCGCACGACGAGACGCTCCTGCCCCCGTGCGTCGAGGACGTTGTGCGCGAGCGTGACCTTGCGAGGCTGCGGCTGTGGAGCGAGGCGGCGCGCCATCGGTGGTCGCTCGCTCGGCGGGTCATCGTCTCGAGGGCAGAGCATCACGCGCAGTTCTATGCTGGAGGAGATTGGGGCCATTGCCGCTTCGTCGAGACTGTGTACGTCCCCGTCGCCTCCGTCAGGCCTTCCTTCCGGGCACCTCGAGATCTAACGCGCCAATTCCTGCAGACGTGCCGAGAGCGCCCGTATGGAGCGTCTCCTTCGTGTTCTCGATCAGCAAGCCTACTCGGTGCGTCTCTTTTCTCTTCGTCGAGCGGCCGAGCGTGACTGACCGCTTTCCCTTTCGCAGGTCACCCTCGTCCGGCAGTCGGCCTCATGGGTCCTCGACGTCCCGACCGGTCCCGCCTTCATCTGCAACGACTCAAAGCCTGCCTCGGACGCCGACAAGCTCGCCGATACGCCCCTCACGCCGCCGCCGAGCCCGCCGAGCCCGGCAGGGCGCAACCTTCCTCGTCGCGCGAGCGGGCCGAGCACAAAAAAGGTCCGGCGGCGTCGCGCCAGCTCGACAGCTCAAGTTTCGACCCAGGCGGCCGACCTCGACACGTTCTTCGCGCCGCCGTCGCCAGCCTCGCCGCCGCCGAGCTCTCGCGACCTCCTCGCTCGCCTCCGCACCTATCTCGTGCCGCCTGCCGATCTCCTCCCGAACGTCCCGGGCACGACCTGGACGCGCTTTGTCGAGACCGTCTTTCGCCATGTCGTCCTGCGCGTTCCCGCCCTCGCGACCCTCGCCCTCGCCGCCACATCCGGCCCCGACTTTTCGCCTGCGCCATCGCTCGACACGGCCACGACGCCTACCGCCCTCGTCATCGCAGCGCCCACGAGCGTCCATGCCTTCCTGGACCTGCTCGAGTCGCGCCTCGCGCCCGCCTTTCTGCCCGCCGGGTCCGTGCCCTCGAGCGAGGTCGGCGAGCGCGAGGTCGAGTTGCTGTGGCGCGCGCTCAAGTTCGCCCGAGGCGCGCCGAGCAGTGCCACCATCACGAGCGCCGACGACGCGCCCGAGGGCGACGACGGCTTGCTCGGCGTCGGCGTCCTGGCGGACGCGCTCGACATCGTCTTTGGCGAGGCGGCCGACTCGGACGACGACAAGTGCGCCCATGACGGCGGCGGCGACGCCTCGAGCTTGGTCGTTCTCGGTGCGAGGATGCGCAAGGACCAGCAGCTCAAGGTGGAGTGGCCTCGTGCGGGCTGGGACCTCTTCTATCAACTCGTGAGCCCTCTTCTCCTTCCTCGTCTCGCTCTCCCCATGTCGGGCTCTTCCTGACGCCCCTTCTTCCCGTCTGCAGGTCGCCTGTCCGGGCTGCACCCTCATCGCGACCCGCTCCTTCGCGACCTGGACGACCAACCGCCGTCTCGCCGCCCTCGGCCACTTTCCGGCTTGGGCAGCCTCGTGCGAGTCGACCGCCGAGCGCGTCTTTCGCCTCAGCCGCGTCGTCCTCTGCACGAGCAACAGCTGTACGGCCGGCAAAAAGGTCAAGCGCGTCGAGCAGAAGGACTCGGCGGCGAAAAAGGGCAAGGGCAAGAAGACGATCTTCCTCGAGGAGCTCGAGCGCAACTGGATGTACATCAAGCTTGTGCGCCCCATCTCTCTCTCTCTATCTCATGCACTTGCGGTCACTGACCGACTCCCTCGCGCAGCCTGTCGACGACGGCCGCTCCGCCGAGATCCTCGACCGCCTCTCGTCGCTCTCGGACCGCTTCACCGTGCTCGCCCGCCGCACCGCCATCGACGAGGTCACACACCGTCCGCCGAGCTCTGGGTCGTCGTGCAGCAGCGCTTGTCGGTGCTCGTGCTGCAAGGACGGCGACATGTGGCTCAACCGCGTCCGCTCGGGATTCAGCCCAGTCGAGCGACGCGCCGCACGTTGGACCACCTCGAGCTGTGCGTCTTCTGTCCTCCTCCCATTCTCGAGCCGAGTGCAGCTCACTGACTATCTGCGGACGTCCCTATCGCAGTCTTTCCGCGCGACACGATCCTCTCGACCCTCCTCAAGTCGTCCTCGCCCGAGTCGCGCTTTCACGACGCGCCCTACGCCGACACGTACGACGCCGTCATCTTGGACTCGGCGCCCGCGACGCACGACAAGTGGACCGCCTTTGCCGACGACGTCGCCCGGGCCATGCTCGAGGCGCACAAGTGCGACACGATCGGCGAGCTGTTCCGCAGGGAGCACAAGGCCGCAACGGAGCGCGGCGAGATGCGCCTCTCGGTCAGGGGCGACGTCAGGTGCGCAGTTGACGCTGAGTGCGGCGGCGGAGGGGGCGTCGGCGACGGAGGAGGAGAGAGGTCCGAGCGCTCGTCGGCGTTCCGTTGCGAGGACGAGTGGACGGCGCGAGGGATCTTTCGCGAGACGTAGCTACCCTGCTATCGAGACTGTCGTTCCGTCTCTGCCTGCGTCGACCGGCTCTTGTGCGCACTTGTGCGGCCGAGAGAAACCGTGAGCCGGAAGCCTCGCGCCCTTCCTCGACGTCGGTGTCGCTCGGACTCGAACGCCCCTGTGCTGACTCTCGTGGGGCTATCTCAGGCTGCCAGACGACTGGCTCGAGTGCTCGCCGAGCAGAGAAGCAGCGCGAGCGGGCATGGCGAAAAAAGGAGGTCCGAGCGGGCATCTCACGGACTTGTTTACGTGGCTGCAACTTTTGGAATTGCAGCTTACCGATGCTGTGGTAGTTCAATGGCAGAATGTTTGCCTTCCACCCTTTCGCGGCAGCAAACGGCCCGGGTTCGATTCCCGGCCACAGCACCTCGCACGTTTCTTCTCTTTTGCTGCCGCCTCGCACGGACCCGCAGCAAGCTTGCTCGGAGCGCCCGAGGCCTGTACTTTTGACCTGGGGCAGCGGCCGCAAGCGTGCAGAGTCTTTGCTGACGAGCCAGCGTCGACCACGCTACAGTCAGAGCTTCTCGCACATCTCGGAGCGCGAGCGACGACCGCCTCGAAGCTCCAGCCTCTCCATCGTCGAGCGTGCATCGACTGAGAGCGGCCGGACGCTGCCGACGCCGACTCGCAGTCCAGGGAGAGAGACCGCGACGCTCGAGAGGCCTGAGCGCGCAAATGGCTTGCGAGCACTCCTGCAGCTCACGCCGTCGCGTTCTCGTTCCGCGCCGACACGAGTCGAACACAGACGAGAGCCTGAAGACTTTCAACGGACCGTCACGGCAGCAGAGAGCGCGAGAGCGACAGGTTTGACAGGTCCGAGGGCGACCTTCTCAAGTCGACGAGGACGGGCTCGCTCTCTCGTCTCTCTGATTCCCTGGCTGCCCCGGCCTCTCGACGCTCTCGAGACTCACTCCTCGACAGAGAACTCGAAGATGTGTGTCGATTGTGCTCAAAGAGCTGGCAACCCGCTCCGGCCACGCCTTGCTCGCGGCGCAGATTCGCCTCTTCGTGCGGTCGCCCTGCGGCAGCGAAGCTTCGAGCAGGTGAGAGAGAGAGAGAAGAGAGGCTTGCGAGCAAAGTGGAAAGAAGGAAAGAGCGGCAACTTGAACCGGCTCGACTCGGCCGGAATCGCGAGCTGGCTGGCCCGCACGCGGCCAAGTCCCAAGTCGACTCGACCGCTTCCTCACCCTCGCTCACGGCACTCGCTGCTCGAAAGCAACCTGCACAGACTCGCTCGAGCACGTATCGCAACATGCCCAGCCACACGTTCGCCTCGCCGCCCAAGCCCTTCACCGTCGACTGGTCCTCGCAGGTCGACGACCTTCACCGCCGCCTCGACAACGCCCGCTGGCCCGCGCAAGAGGTCGTGCCCACCGACGTGAGCGAGACCGACCACTACAGCAGCTTCGGCCTCGGCGCAGGGCCACAGCTCGCCCTCATGAAGGACCTCGCCCGGGGTTGGCGCCAGTTCAACCAGGAGGCGGTGCAGAAGCGGCTCAACAGGTGCGTCCTCTCTTGCAAGATGAGCCTACGAGAGCGTACTGACTCGCGGAACCCGTGCAGCTTCAACCACTGGACCGTCGACATCGAGGACCTGTCGATCCACTTCCTCCACCACCGCTCGACTCGCGCCAACGCGATCCCGCTCATCCTGTGCCACGGGTGGCCCGGCGCGTTCCACGAGTTCCTTCACGTCATCTCGAGCCTCACCGAGCCCGAGTCGAGCGACGCCCAGGCGTTTCACTGCATCGTCCCGTCGCAGCCCGGCTTCACCTTCAGCTCGCCGCCCAAGACGGCCAAGTGGGGCATGGACGACACGGCGAGGGTCTTTGACAAGCTCATGACGGGCCTCGGCTACGACACGTGCGTCCCCTCTCTCCTTTACGTCTCTCGAGCCGAGCCGAGAATGACCTCTCGCCCCCGCACGCAGGTACGTCGCGCAGGGCGGCGACTGGGGCTCGATCACGGCTCGCTGCCTCGGCTCTGTCCACAAGGAGCACTGCGTCGGTGCGTCCTCCTCCACCTCGAGCCCGATCTCTCTCGCATGCGCACTGACCCTCGTTCCCGATCCAGCCGTCCACCTCAACTTCTGCCCGGTGCCGCCGCCGTTCTCACGTACTAAGCTCTCATGTTTGAACAATAAAATTAATATAAATCAGCAACTTAAATAGCCTCTAAGGTTTTAAGTTTTATAAGAAAAAAAAGAATATATAAGGCTTTTAAAGCTTTTAAGGTTTCACCCTTTTATTCGACGAGCCTGACACCCCTCGTCTCTGCAGCTCGTCCTACTACGCCATGCAGCAGCTTACGGTGCGTGTCGAGCTCGCTCTGTACGAGCGAGAGAGAGGACCGACCGCTCACGGACCTTCTCCTCGTCGCAGCCGCGCACGCCGGCGTACGGCCTGAACGACTCGCCGATCGGCCTGCTCGCCTGGATCGGAGAAAAGGCGCGCGCTCGCCCTTCCTCTGTACCTCTCGACGACCGGATACTGACCTCGAGACGTCGCGCAGATGGTCCCCGGCATCGAGGAGGCGCGCAAGCACCCGAACCCGACGTGCGCCTCTCGCCGTCTTTCCCTCTCTCTCATTCGCCGTCGACTGATCCACTTTGCCGCCACAGACTCGATCACGATGCCCTGTACCTCACCCTGTCGCTCTACTGGTTCAGTGCGTCCCTCGCTCGCCGTCCTCGCCCTCCTTCGCAAACTGACGCCTCTGCCTTCCGCAGCCGGCTCGATCGGCTCGAGTTTCCTCCCCTACGCCCTCAACCCGCACTTCAGCACCTTCCTCGTCGCGCCCAAGTACCACCTGCCCAACTTTGCCCTGTCGTCGTTCCCGCACGAGCTCTTCTGCCCGACGCCCAAGGACGCGGGGAGGTCGGGCACGCTGCGCTGGTTCAAGGAGGCCGACGACGGCGGGCACTTTGCGGCGCTCGAGAAGCCCGACGTCTTTGCCGAGCACGTCAGGGAGGCGGTCGCGGCGATGCTCCCCAAGCAGTAGCGAGGGCTCGAGCGCGCGCGCTTTCGAGAGGGGGGGATCTTTCCGAGGCCAGCTTCTCTTTCGTCCATTCTGTGCAGCGACGACTTGCAGTGAAACAATCTCTTGACGTCTCTCGGCGAGCGAGCGTGACTGGCAGAAAGGGAAAACGAGAGAGGAGGACGACGACCAAGTTACACGCGCGCGTCTGCGGCCTGCTCCTGCTGCTGCGCCACCTCGGCCGCGACGGCATCTGCCAGAGCGGCCTGTGCCTCGCCCTCGAGCTCTGCCTCGTCAAACTCGAACTCGTCCTCGGGGTCAAACGCGTACTGCTCGACAAAGGGCCCGTACGGGTCGACGCGCTCGATGACCTCGTCGACGGCGCCGAGCTCGATGACGACGTTGCGCCGCTTGACAATGTCCCACACCGTCAGGTCCTGCACGTCGGTGACGAGGGCGACGTCGGGAATGTTGCCGACGGCGAGCTCGAACGCGGCGCGCGACTGGACCGTCGTCGCGTCGTCGGTGCGCGCCGCGTTGCTCGCCGTGACGAACAGGGCGTCGGTCCAGCCGCGCGTGGCGAGCTTCTGGCTCAGGACGCGCGTGCGCGGCTCGTCGAGGCCGAGCTGGTCGACGACGACGAGGTTGCCCGAGCGCCACTTCTCGGACAGCGACACGCGCAGGCCGAGCTGCTCCTCCTTGCGGTTGATCTTGCGCATCCACCCGTCGGGGCCCTTGGGCCTCGGGCCAAACGCGCGCCCGCCGCCCTTGAGCATCGGGCTGCCGCGGTCGCCGAGGCGGGCGCGACCGGTGCCCTTTTGCGGGCGCATCTTCTTGCCGCTGAAGGCGACCTCGGCGCGGTTCTTGGTCGAGGCCGTGCCGGCGCGCAGGGACGACAGGTGCGCCGTGATGATCTTGTGCAGCAGGGTCGGGCGCGCGGGGACGTCGAACAGGGGAGCGGGGAGGGGGACGACCATGGGCTCGGTCGCGGCGGGCGAGGTCGAGTCGGGCGAGGTGGCGAGCTTGGGCGAGTAGAATCGCCGCAGGCGGACGTGGACGAAGGCATCGCCGAGGGACGACTCGGCTGCGGGTGCGGAAGAGGCGAGGCGAGGTCAGCTCTCTCGAGAGGGAGATGAGGACGAGGAGGAGGAGGGGGAGCGGGGGCGCACCGTCAAACGGCAGCGAGTCGCGGGTGGATGGCGCAGAGGTCGACGATGAGGCTACTGGTGCCGCCTGGGCGTCGCCTGCACCGCTCAGAGGCGCCGCCGCCTCGGTTGCGAGCGCCCGGGAGCACGAGGCGAACGAAGGCTGCGGGCGAGCGAGAGGGGTCAGGCGGGTGCGCGCGCGCAGGTGGTACAGGTGTGACGCACCCTGACAGCCCTCCGTGTTGCAGCAAGGAACGACATGGTGCGAGTAGCGGCGAGTTGAGGACGAACGACCCTCTTCCGCCCGCGATTTTCCCAAGTCCAACTTCACCGCAGAGGTGGAATCGCTGCTTGCGCTCTCGACTCTCTCGCAAAGGGTGGATACTGATGAGAGCTTTTGCACAGAATGAGAGTCGTCTACGCGCAGAGATAAAGAAAGAGAGAGTGGGAACCCGCGTGACCTCGCCCTCGAGCTGTTCTCGAGCCTCCTTCAACCGACACTCGCTCCTCCTCCTGGTCGTCCTCACACTCGAGCGACGTCACTCAGACCGGGCTCGGCGGGACCTTGAGGTGCTTGCTCGGCGCGTCGCCGTCGCTGTCGCCGCCGCCGTCGAACCGGACGGGCAAGTCGACCAGAGTCGGCGCGTTCGACAGCGCCGGGCTCGGCAGGACGCCGCCGATCGACGACCCGTCGCTCGCGAGCCTCGCCCTGCGGCCCCTCGGGGTGGCCGACGAGTGGCCAGGGGGCGCGCCCGAGCCGGCGGCAGGGTGCGACGGCCGCTCGACGTCGCAGTAGGCCGCCTTGTCGAGCTTGAGCGAGATGGCCCACACGGCCCACGAGCCGTACACCTGGGTCGCGAGCAGGAGCGCGCCGACGACGTAGACGACGACCGAGAAGTAGACGTCGCGCGGGTCCGAGTGGAACTGGACGAGGCGCAGGCTGTGCTCGACGAGGAGCCAGATGGCGGCTCCGAACTTGAACAGGCTGCAGGACGGCGTGAACGGTCAGCGCGAGTCGGACGAGAGCGAAAGAGAGAGAGAGCGGGAGACGCACAAGGACTGGACGGCGGCGAAGCGAAGCACTCGGCGAGTGTTGCGCGCGCCGCAACCGAGACGGTCTGGAGGGTTGAGCACGTCAGTATCGTGCCGACGACGAGAAGCGAGAGGAGGACGCACACATGAGGAGGCCGATGAAGACTGACTGCTCGGTCGTCGCCTGGAAGAGCCAGATGGCGCCGACCGTGACGATGGCAGGATGGACTGCGGCGACGCGCTCGAGGTCAGTGGCGGTTCGGGCGACGAGGAGAACGACGTAGGGCACTCACAGGTCTGCTCCATCGTGACGAAGAGCGACATGATGGCGAGCAACGTCTGCGAGAGAGGAGGAGGGTCAGGACGAGGGGGGAGGACGAAGAGAGAGGAGAGGCCCGAGCGGACGCACGCAGAAGTGGTGGGCGAGCAGCGACGGCCGCATCGACTCGCGGTACACCATCTCAAAGATGTCTGTGAAGGAGAGAGCGTGAGTGAGGTGTGGCGCGAAAGGCGAGGGCGAGAGGGAGGACGCACAGAGGGCAGAGACGATGGCGGCCGTGAGGGTGATGGCCTGGAACGCCAGCTGCGAGTACGAGCGGACAAAGACTGGCGATGCGACGAGCTGAAGGACGAGCGCGATCGTCGTAAAGACCGTGTTGAGCAGGTCTGCGCGAGGGAAAGAGAGAGCGTGAGCGAGGAAGGCTGAGGGGTCCAGAGGAGGCGAGAGGAGGACGCACAGGTGACCGTGTTGCGCTGGTTCGCCGGCGACAGCTTGCGGTACTCGCTCGAGTAGCGCATGAAGCACGACTCGGTCGCCTTGGCCGACAAGTACAGGATGATGAAGAAGATGAAGAGCGGGACCGAGAACTGCTCGAACGGGGAGAGAAGGACGAGTCAGTCTGGCTCGGTGTAGGAGAGAGAGCTATGGGACGCACAAAGGCGACCGTCGTCGGGAAGACGAGCGTGAGCTTGGCCTTGGCGAGCTCCGAGATCGAGTGGGCCGACAGGCCGCGCATGTCGCGGTCGTTCCACGTCGTGTTGGGCGCGACGAACGTCTGCTTGAACGGGAACGCGCGCGTCGTCTCGTAGTAGTCGCGGTCGACTGCGTGTGACGACGAGAGTCAGGACGAGGGGGCGGAAAGGCGAGGCGAGAGGGGCCGGAAGGAGGGACGCACCGCACATGTCGCCGCCCGAGGGACCGATGTGGGAGCAGTGGACGTCGGGGCGGAAGGGCACCATGTTGAGGTGGACGTAGCGGCACCAAGTCGTCTGCAAGGCCGACGAGGTCGTCAGTCGGGGCTCGAGATGGTTGGCGGGAGGGAAGGGAAAGGGAGGAGACGCACGTCGAGCCCGCCCTCGTAGATCTCGCCCCACCGCCTCTCCTCGGTGAGGAACTCGTAGCACTCGTCGTACGACTCGTACTGCTGGTTGGCGCCCGTGCAGTGCTGCATCGCCGTTGGGCAGATCTGGCTCGCCGCCTTGCGCGACATGAGGGCCGAGCGGTTGGTCGTCGCCGGGTCGTACGTCTCGCCGAGCTCCTGGGCAATGACGGGCGCGATACTTTCCTGGACGATCTCCCATGCTTCTGTGAGAGGGAAAGAACAGGGCCAGTCAGGTCGCGCTCGAAGGAGAACGGGAGGTCGAGGGAGAGCTTCAGGGACGCACGAGGGAAGCGGCGGAACGACGCGTCGTACGAGATCATCTTGAGGTCGTCGTTCCACGCCGTCATGACGTCGATCTGGACGGGCACGCGTTGTCCGACCGTGTCGTAGGCGAGTTCGAGAACGGCCGAGAAGTAGACTTGCGGCGGCTCGACCATGAGGCTCTGGATCGTCTGCGCCGCCGGGTAGCCCAGGATGGACGTCGACGACACGTTGCGGATGCCGGCGAACAGGCCAAAGAGGTACTCGATGTTGAGCTCGGCGCCCTCGAACGCTGTCGGCGAGTTGAGAAGGTCAGCGACGGCGGCGACGACGACGACGACGAGAAGAGGAACGGGGACGCACTCGTCGTGACGTCGACTCGTCCCACCATGTCGTCGATGAACAGGTCATAGTGGCCATCCTGCAGGACTGGTTGCGGGTCGAGGAAGCTGCAGGCCGTCGAACGAGGTCAGTGCGCGGGCTCCATCGTGTGGCTGAGACGAGAGAGACCGAGGCGACGCACGCCTTCTGGAACCGCTCGAGGGCCTGTAGGTACTCGTAGGGCTGGCGGATGGCGGCGACGCTCGAGGCGAGAGCGGCGGCAGCCGTGAAAAGAGCAGCTCGGCGCATGTTCCGGGCGGCGAGAGCGGGAGCAGCGGGTGGAGGGTGCAGAAGGAGAGCAAGCGGTGCCTGTCGACGCCTCGAAGGGCTCGCGCCCGCAGCTGCGCCACAGCTGCCCGAGATCCACGGAAAGTGCGGCGAGGAGGCGTTGGCTCGAGCCTCCCGACGAATCTCCTGAGCGTCCGTCCGTCGGGGCCAAAGCCGCCTCGGTGTCGGTCCGCCCACGCCATCGGCAGCGATAACGACGTGCACGTGGAGCGCTAGACGCTCAGGAGAGGGTCTCGCTCGCGGGGCGTCTTCTGCCGGGCGGAGGAACACAGGGTCGGCGTCGGCGAGCGAGCCATCGTCTGCCTCTCTCGCCACCGAGGAGGCTGAGCGACTCGACAACCGAATCGCCGCGATGGCGTAGCCAGTGTGGCTCGGCCGAGGGAAGAACGTGGTCGGCGGGAGAGGGAGTGCGGCGGTTCGAGGTCGGAGGAGAGGGAGAGACGACACCGCGCGCCGAGCCTGCGCCGCACCGGGCAGCGAGAGAAGGAGAGAAGGAGCACAGAGAGCACGCGAGCAGCACTTGCCCCGCCGTCGGAGCGGTGTGGTCGAGAGCAGCAGCCAACCGCGACTGCGCCCAAGTCGAATCGCTCGCCTCCTCAGGCCTCATCTCGCTCACCAGTACTCTCGCTCGCCCACCATGTTCCGCGCGACCCGCATCCTCCTCGCCGCCGCACCCCAGGCCTCCAAGGCCGCCCCCTCGTCGCTCCGCACCAAGCTCTCGACCGGCATCACTGGCATCGCCGTCCACCCCGAGCCCCTCTCTGCGCTCGTCGACTCGTACAAGTCGACCCTCAGCGTCCTCGACATGATCCCCGCATCCGCCGTCTACCGCCAGAGCGCAGAGGCCATCACCCGCGAGCGGCTCGCGGCCGTCGAGCGCCTCGGAGGCGACGGCGACGAGGCGAGCATCGAGCAGGTCGAGCAGGCCATCGGCGCCGGCATTGTCGAGGAGCTCCTCATGCAGGCCACCGACGAGCTCAAGCTCGCCGCCAAGATGATCGAGTTCAAGTCGTGCGTCTCTCCCTCTCCTCCTCCTCCTTCCTCCTCCTCATCTCGTCCCCTTGACTGACCCGTTCCCTGCCCCGTGCCGCACAGGTGGGAGGAGCTTGAGGAGGCGCCGGCACCAGGGCAGTGGGAGCCCTTCCGCGTCACCCCGTCCACCACCACCGCCGACGACCTCCACCCGAACTAGAGCGGCATGGGCGAGGGCGGCGGCAGTGTACGAGGAGGGAGCGGCGAGGGTATGTCGACGGGACCGGCAGTAATGGAACCTCGGCAGTCTACGCAACAGTCGGCCTCGAGCGCGCGCGAGAGAGGAGACGCTTTTGGCTCGAGGCTTCCTCAGCTTGCTCGTTCGTGCCTCGCTTGAGCTCTCTCGCCTGCGACGAAGCGCGTGTCGCACGACCGAGTTTGCATATCTAGACACAGGCTGCGCATCTACAGCTGCTCGCCGTGCCCGCCGTTCCCTCGTCCCGCTGCGACCCTCGAACCCGCTCGTCCCTCCTTCGCCCGCCTCCGCCTCGCACCGCCGTCGCCCTCGCCGCTCAATACACCTCGACGACGGTCGCGACGGCGACATGGTCGCTCGGCTCGACGCCCTTGCGCGGCAAGCCGGGCTCGCACGTCTCGTGAAAGTCGTGCATCTCGAGCAGCTTGCGCCACCTCGGCTGCGGCCTGTTGGCGGGCGAGGTCGAGGTCGATGTTGAGGGCGAGGGTGGCAGGAGGAGGATGTAGTCGAGCGTGCAGCGCCACAAGGGCGTAAAGTTCGAGTACCGCGGCTCGAAATCGCCGCGCTCGACGCGCTCGGCCCACGAGCCTTCGAGGCGCGCCGCGACGTCGGCCTCGGGCTCGGCGACGCGCCACCCGTTGCCCATCTGGACCTCGGGCTTGCGCGCGCAGTACCACCGCTGCGACTCGGACGGCACGAGGCCGTACGACTCGCCGTACGCCGACCGGACCCGACGGCGCTCGGCGGGTGCTGCTGGCGGCGCCGCGGCGGCGGCGGCGGCGTCGGTGGTCGTCGACGAGTAGTCAGGGTGGCGGAACAGGTGCTGCAGCTGCTCGAGCGTCGCGAGGCCGTCGTCCTCAGTCGGCGGGCGCGAGTTCTTGATGATGCGGTCGGGGTGCTGCGAGAGGTCGTCGGACGTGACGTCCTCGCCCTCCTTGGGCTCGGGCGCAGGTGGCTCGGGAGGCACATAGTCCGGGTCGTAGCTGGAGGAGAGATGAAAGTCAGGTCGGGGAGAGGAGAGAGAGGCTCGAGCGACGAGGACGCACATCTTGTCGACGCTCTGGTGGACGACGCGCGAACGCTCAAAGTCGGCGACGAGGTCCGGCGAGATGGACGCGCCCGTCAGCAGGCGGTAGGTCATCTCGCGAGGTTGCGTGTTGAGGTCTGGCACGAGGAAGGAGGGGCGTCAGGTCGGTCGAGGAGAGGAGAGACAGAGAGCGAGAGGACGTACCGCCAGCGAGGAACAACGGCCAGTCGTGCCACTTGTCGTCGCTCGCCCTGAAGCGCTCGAGCTCCTTGACGAGCAGGGCTGTCTGCCGCACGCGCTCGTAGACGTGGCTCGGGTGCCAGAACGTGTGCGACGTCCCGACGACGACGCCTCGCCCGGACGCGTCCTTGAACTCGAGCGCGACAAACAGGCCGACGTTGCGCGTCGCACGCGACAGGCCGGCGGCGCGACGAGAGGCTTTGCTCGACGTGCTCGAGGCGTCGGGCGGACGGGCGCGGATCTCCTTCTCCTTCTCGGTGAGCTTCTCGGGCTCGTCGGCGGCGTTGGCGGCCGACACGTCGCCGTCCTGCGAGTCGACCTCGGGCTCGACGGGTGGCGGGTCCTGCGCCTCGAGTTCCGAGTCGTCGAGCGCGAGGTCGTCGAGGCGGATGCCGCGCTCGCCGACCTTGTTGAAGACCGAGTTCTTGTGCGCAATCAGGAGGCCGTGCGACTTGTTGCGGTACCCGACGAACGACGTGTAGCCGTACGAGAGCGTGAGGGACGGCAGGTGCTCGGCGAGGCGGTCGACTTCTTGCAGGCACGCGATGTCGGGGTCGTAGTAGAGGACCCTGCACGGGGGCGAGCGAGGTCAGTAGCTGCGGCGACGTCGTCGACGTCGAGCTCGAGACGTACTGCTCCATGAGGGCGGGAAGGCGGTCTTTGCCCTGCAGGACAAGGCAGAGCGTCAGCGCGTGACTCGAGGAAGTGGACGAGGGGGACGGCGAGCGCACCTTGAGGCAGTCGCTGCCAGGAAACAGCTCTCGCCCTGCGGAAGGAGAGGCACGTCAGTACGTCGTGGGTTGAGGTGGATCTTGCGCGAACTCACGGACGAGGGCCTGGGCGAGCATCTGTTGAGGAGGAACAGAGGGGGTCAGTGAACGTCGATGCGCAGCTTCGCAAGCGCGGCGCCGAGCGACGATCGCCTCTCGGGAGCCGCACAATGACAGGAGAGCAGACGACGCACATTCCACGACAGGATGGCGACCTGCTTGCCCTCGCTCGCCCCGTCGACCGGGCTGTCCTCGTCGCGAGCCGGCACATCGACCCACTTGCGCGGCAGAAAGCCCTTGGGCTTGGCGTCGCCGGGCCCTGCGCCCTTCTTGAGCGCGCTCGCGACGCTCGGTGGCAGGTCGGCCGGGTCGACACCGTGCTCGTCGGCAAACTGGCGGCGCTCGTCCTTGCGCGCCTGCTGCTCGGCTTTCTTCTGGGCGCGGTGCGCGCGCTTGCGGTCGGCGGCGTCCGAGCTGTCGCTCGACTGGGCCGTGCTGGTCGTCGGCGTGCTCGTCGAGGGCGTCGCGGTGGTGGATGACGACGAGGGAGATGAGGACGAGGTGGGGGGAGGAGCGGCGGCGGACATCGTGCGGTGCGTGCGGGTGTGCTGCAACGTCGTCGAGAGCAGTGTGCGCAGTCGCAGAGCCAGCTTGTGGCGGCGAGCGTGGTGTGAGGAGGGAGAGCAGGCGACCGCCGACGACCTCCGCGCCTCGTCCGTCGAGTCTGCTGCTGGCGTCAACGAGTCAAGCCTGGCCGAGCGTTCCCTGCGTAGCACAGCTCGCAGCTGGAGCATTGACCGGCGCGACAGCCTGACAACCGGCGCGACGGCCATGTGCCCGGTCCTCTCTCTCGCTTCGCTCTGTTTCTCGCTCTCGCTCTCTTCTCCTCTCGACGACGCACACGCTCGACAAGAGGTATCCGTCAAACGCCAGCAGGCATCGTCGCCATTGCGCGAGCGTACCAAGGCCCCAAACAACCGTCGAATCGGGCTCGGAAAGCGCGCTTAGGCCTGCGAGAAGACGACGAGGTCAGGAACGAGTTGTTCGACGACGACAGGCCCGACCGCCACCATAGGCCGAGGAGAGAAGAGAGAGGGTGACGCACGGTGTCGGCGAAGGTGAACGCGACGTTCTTGCCGGTGAGGCGGTGGTCTGTGGGCGTCGCGGAGTATGAGCGACTGAACGACGACGACCGCGAAGGGAAAGGGAAAAGACGGAAAAATGCCCGTAAACGTGTCAAGTTTGTACCTGCGTAAGCGAGAGCGTCAGTAAGCGTAACGAGGAAGAGGGAGGCCGAGGAAGAGGTAGAGAAGGCGAGGAGGGGAGGGGGAGGACGCACTCGAGGTTGGTCGCGTCCTTCTGGTCGAGGAAGCTGTGTGCGTGATTCGAGTCAGTCACTGATCATGTAGAGAGAGAGAGAGAGAGAGAGAGAGAGAGAGAGAGAGAGAGAGAGGAAGAGGAGCCCGTACACCTTGATGGTCTTCGAGCCGTCGACGGCCTGGCGGGTGCGCTTGCCGGTGATCTCCTGCTCGAAGCAAGGTCAAAGGTGGCGAGCGCAAATCAGCCAAAGGCCTCACATCCGCCTGCTCCACAGCCACGCCGTGGAGCCATCATCCAGCGCCCGTGTCCAACAAAGGAGCCCAGGTACCCTGTCCGGCGCCACGACCATCGCGAGGGGGATGACGAGACCGAGTGAAGCGAGCGGGGACGCACAGTCGGGAAGACGAGGTCCTCAAGGATCTTCTCGTGAACCTCCTTGAGGGTGCGCGAACGCGGGCGCTGCTGCTTGACGCGCGAGCCGCGAGTCGGCTTGCGCATCATGCGGCGCTGGCCGATGAAGACGACGTGGCGGTCCGAGAACTTCTTCTCGAGCTCGCGGGTGAGGCTGCGCGTGCGGTCGAGCGTCAGGGAGGGCGCAGGAGAAGGAGGGAGAGAGAGGACGGACCGGCCCTGGATCTTGTGGAAGGCCTTGACCTGGGGGACCGGGACGAAGACGACGATGGCCTTCTTGCCACCCTTGACGTCAACCTCGCGAGCCGCCGAGATCTGGAGCGGGCGGAGCTCGGCCTTGAGGTCCGGCACGTTGTTCTCGAGGTCGAGGAGGGCCTGGGCGACGAGGGTCTCCGTGGCGTCCGGCGCGGTGCGCGGCGCGTTGGCGGTCCTGAAGATCTGTGCGTGTGCGGTACAGGGTCAGTTTACTGCGCTCGCAAGGGGCGGCAGGGCGAGAGAGAGGGCGAGGTGACGGACCTTGGCGTTGACGGACTGTTGGCGAGGGGGGAACAGGGACGGGGACGAATAGTCAGCATGCGCCGCTTCAACAGCGACCTCGTGGGACAATGCTCGGGCCGTCCAGGCGAGCGCAGCGATATCGAACCGGCGGAGGAGCCTGGGTGGACCCCTCCTCGTCGTCGACGCCCGTCTCAGCTCGACCCGGCCGCCGCGCCTCGCCAACAACCTCCTGCGCCCTCTGCCGCCTCCTGCACCGCGCATTTCTGCCCAGGTACACCCTGCGACCTGTCCTGCCCGCCCTCGTCGACCGCCGGACGTCGTGCCGAGCCGCGTGCAGCGACGAGAACTTTGCTCGCTGTTGACGAGCGGCGGCGGCTCGCTCGCTGGGGCTGGTGGTGCGCGGGCGAGGTGTCGAGTCGAGGGGTACAGGGTGCGCAGCAAGGAGCTAGCGACTGACCATGGTGGGCGACGGGACGGAGAAAGCGAGAGCAAGTCGGGCTCGCGCTCTCGAGCCAGCCCTCCGCCTCGGCCACCGCGGCGAGCCCTTTTCTCGCTCCTCTCGCTGCGACTTGCTGCGCTCAAGCTGCTCGTACTGCTCCGTAAGATACAGGTACTACTCGCTGGACCGCTCTCGGACTCGCGCTGACCGAGGGAGCACTCGAGCCTTTCCTCGACCTCGCTGCGGCGTGTACACCAAGCTGCGTTGCATAAGCCCGTCTACTGGTACAGTCCCACACGTAGTCTATGTACGAGGCATCGTGTCGGTCGCATAGTGACGCTCTAGCAGGCGAGGGCTGCGCGCAAGCGAGGGAGGAGACAGGGTCAGGTCGGTCACGCTTCGTGTACATGAAGCCCGCCTCGTCGGCACGAGGCCGGCCCCGACAGGCACACGCGAGAGGAGAGCGAGACTGGGACGCACAACCTGCCCTCCCAGAAGACGGCGGCGCCAATCATGTCGGTCAGGACGCGCGTGAAGTTGCCGTCCGTCTCGAGCGAGTGCACGTCGCGCATGTCGACGCGCATGCTCCACGGTTCTGCGAGACCGTCGAGAGGAGCGTCAGGACGCGTACTTTCGCGAGATAGGGTGGGGAGGGAGGGGCGGGACGGACCCGTGTCGCAGTTCCAGTCGGTGGTGCCGGGCGACCAGTGCGTCGCGATGAGGTACCCGCTGCGAGACGTCGAGAGTCCGTCAAGTCTGCTCGTGCTGTCCGACGCCGAACGAGCCCCGACGCCCGAGCGGGGGACGAGAGGCCCGCGAGAAAGAGGAGAGAGTGACGGACCGGTCCTTGACGCGCTTCTCCTGCAGAGCGTGCGTCGTGTGAGCGACGTGCGGCGGCGTGAGGGCACGAGAGAGGACGAAAGAGGACGCACCTGGAACAACGAGCCGTTCCACCACAACGGCCGCCCGCCTGTGTCGACGCCGCTCGAGCACCCGTCAGTCTCGCGCTCGGCCCGACCGAGAGAAGCGCTCAAAGCGAGAGAGGGAGAGGCGGACGCACGGTGGTCGAGGTGGAACAGGTGGTCGCTCTGGATGAACGTGTCGATCGAGTGCGCCTTGGTGTCGGGATGTGTGAGCTGGCCGATGATGCCGGCGTACTCGCGGTCGAGGTGGTACGGGAGGCCCGAGAGCTCGAACGCCTGCGGGTGGCGGCGAGGGCGAGAGTCAGTTCGGCAAGGACATGAGAGAGGGAGAGAGGGAGAGGAGAGGAGGCCGGGCGCACCATCCAGAACGACTCCTTGTCGCCTGCGGGACGAACGACGAGTCAGTCTCCTCGCTCGAGCAGCCGCCACGGCGCAACACGAATAGAGAGCGAACCAGACGACGCACCGTACGTGTTCTCGTACGTGACCTCCTCCCTGACGACCCTCGTGTTGAGCCACGCCGTGAACAAGAGGCCGTAGACGACGGTCGTGCGGCGCTTGTCGAACACGACGACGCCGCTCTCCATCTCCTCGCGCGAGGCCTGGTCCATCCACCACCGCGAGCGCTGCAGCTGCGCCGACGGCTCGCGGTCCTTCATGACCGAGTGGAACCACTCGTGGACCTGCGGGCGGGCGCGCGCGCGCACACGACGACGAGGGTCAGTCTCTGCCTAACCGAGAACGGCCTCGAGCGCGAGCGCGAGGGAGAGAGAAGGAGAGAGCGAGGACGGACCTGGCCCCAGCCGGCAAAGATCTCGCGGTCGCGGAAGAAGAGCGTGCCCGTCGCGTTGTAGCCCGGGTCGTCGTCGAGCAACGTTTCCGGGTCCTGGACAAAGATGGCGTCGGCGTCGGCGATGATGACCTCCTGGAACGGGCTCGCGAGGACGGCAAACGACTTGATGGCCCACCCGCCGCCGTGAATCCCGACGTGCGTCTCGTCAAAGTAGTTGAGCAGGTCGACCGTGTCGACCGAGGGGTGGATCGAGCGCAGCGCGGCGCGCTTCTCGGGCACGAGGTCGTCCGAGCCGGCGTAGACGACGTGGATCGGGAGCGCCGTGTTGTGCACGTGCTTGAGCGTCGCGATGAGGTGCACTGCGCGGGAGAGTCGAGCGTGAGCGAGGGACAGCGGGAGGGGCGGAACGAGAGGGACGGACCGGCATAGATGAACTGGTCGTTGCCGCACGGGATGATGATGCCTCTCGGGATCTTGTACGACTCACGCAGCTGCAGAGGGTAGGCGAGGTCAGCTGCCGCCTCTCGACGCGAGCGAGGAAGGAGAAAGGGGGGGACGTACCCCGGCAACCGTGCGAGGCATCTTGGGCGACTTGTTGACGAACGGGTACAGCGTCTGGAGGAGCTCCTGGTGGTGGTGGTGCACCGAGCGGGCGTACAGGCCCTTGGTCGACTCGTTGAGGTGCGGGAACGTCTCGTTCAGCGTCGCGCCGAAGTGGTCGAGCTCCTGCGCGCGCACGCGGACGGGTCAGAGCGTGTTCCTCGTCTAGAGAGGTGAGAGTGGACGCACGAGGAGGACCTTGGCGCGGTCGGCGTAGGTTGCGAGGTCGTGGAACGACGTCTCGTCCTCGATCGCGTCCTTTGTGCGCACGAGCACGCCGAGGAGCGCCTCGTCTGCGCCCTCCATGTCGGCCGCGCTCCTCGCCGCGCTCTCGACGGCCTGCGCGGCGCCCTCGCGCTTGCGCAGCAGGACAAAGAGGGACAGGGCGAGGGTCGAGAGGAAGAGGAGGAGCGGGAGGCGGCGGCCGCAAGGGCGGCGCGAGGGACGGGACGGCGAGGGCCCCGAGGTGCGGAACGAGGCCGAGGTGCTCATGTCGCGCGCCATGCCTGGGCGAGGCGAGCCGGGGCGGGGGTGGGCGCGAGTCGAGCGAGGGTGTGTGGACGGCGAGGCGCGTGAGGTGGGAGGGTCGGAAGGGAAGGTGCGCCGAGCTGTGCAGGCGGGCAAGGTGTACTCAAGGAGCGTCGGGGTGCTCACGAGGAGCTGGTCGGTGCGGTGTGCGAGCTGAAAGGCGGACGCGACCAACGAGCCGAGCTGATGAACTCGTCGGAACCGGGCCGCGTCGTCTCGGCTTTCTCGCGCCCAAGCAGCGTCCAGGACCACAGCTGTCGAGCCCTCTCTGACGACGCAAAGAACCACGAGAGCGCGCGCGCGCGACGACACCGAGTTGCACCGCCCCGGCCTCACCCTCTCTGCGACACGGCCGACACGCTGAACCTCCTCCCCGCCGCGTCCCCTCCCGCCCTGAGCACCTCCCTGCACTCCATGCCGACCTCCCTCGCGCCCTCGACGCCCGCGTCCTCCCAGCTGCGCAACGCAGGCTCCCACGTGCCCCACAGCGCATCGGCGCGCGCCCGCCCCGACACCGGCGCCTCGCCTCCTGCGGCGGCGGTGGCGCTCGAAGGCGCGAGCAGCGCGCGCAGGAGCGTCGGGAGCGACAGGAGCGCAGAGAGGTGCGTCAGGGGCGAGAAGGGCTCGACGGGCTTGACGGGCGCCGTGGCGGCGACGGTCGTCGCGCTCGAGGCGGACCGCACGCGGCGCGTCGGCGTCGAGTCGGGCCCGTCGCGACTGGCCGGCGACGCGGGCGACTCGGGGAGCGGGTCGAGTCGTGGACGGGCGGGCGTCAAAGGTGGGCTGGCCGGCGAGCGCGGTGCGGCAGTCGTGCTGGTGGAGGTCGTGGACGACGGCGGCGGGGCGAGCGAGGCCGACAGCTGCGAGATGGACTGGAACGACGTCTTGAGGGCGTCGAGCGACGTGTCTAGGGCCTCGGCGCGGCTCTTCATCTGTGTCGGGGCGGGCCTGTGAGCGTGAGCGCAACCGAGGAAGGAGAGAGGGAGAGGTGACGCACCTTGCGGATCGTGTCGCTCGCGTCGATGAGCTCGTGGTGGTGGTTGTAGACGAGGGACTGGCGCTCGCCATCAAGCTCGCGGATCTCTGCGCACGAAGAAGAGGTGAGGGTGAGCGGGTCGCTCGCGTTTCGAGGAGGCGAGACAAGGGGGACGCACCATTGAGGAGGTCGATCTCGCGCTTGAGGAGGTCGGGGAGCGAGGCCGTCGATGACAGTGAGTGGAAGTAGCTGTCCGGGTCGAAGCGGTCGGGCGAGTCTGGTTGCGGCGGGCAAGGGGGTCAGCGGGGAGGGAGAGGGGAGGAGGAGGAGGAGGGGCGCACCGACGTCGAGGGCCTGCCCCTCTTTGGGCGTCGCGAGGCCGTAGTAGTCCCTGAGGCGGGTTCTGCGCTTGCGCTCTGACCCTGCCACCGAGGGCGAGCCACCTCCGCCGCCGACAGACGACACGGCCGACACGCGACGCGAGAAGGACGGGGGCGGCGACGCGACGTCGGGAATGGATGACGTGGCGTGACTGGGTCTGCGCGTTGGCGTGGCGAAGCTCATGGCAGCCAGTGCCGAGGTGTCGAGGCGAGGAGAGGGCGAGAGCGCGAGGAGAGCGAGGTGGGGAGGAGCACCCTGCTCCCTCTCGCTCCCACCACCAGCACCGATCGGACCAGCTCGAGGAGCACTCTCGAAAGCTTACCAGGCACCAACTCGCACGGCCAGACCGCCCTCAAAGCGTCTTCCCCTCTTCGCCCTCGTCCTCATCGTCCAGCCGCCGGAAATGCGGCTCACGTCTCGACCACGGCCACGGGCGCTTGTCCCGCTCGTGCTCCTCGTCCTGTCCCTCCTCGCAACTGCCGCACGAGCGGCTCGGCCTCCAACAGCCGCCGCCGCCGCCGTGTACCCCCTCCCCCTCCTCGTCCTCTCCTCCCTCTCCCTCCCCGCGCACGCCCTCCCCGGCTCGTCCCTCTCAACCCCAGCCCCAGCAGGCGGCATCTCCTTCTGTCGCTGCACGTGCTTTGGCAAGAACTCGACCATCATCCCGCTGTACCGCCCGGCCGTGCCGTCCAACCCGTGCCTGTCGTGCACGCGCCAGTTCTGCCTCGACCAGAAACTCGCGGCGTGCGTTGGGGCCCAGACGCCGGACGAGGACCCGGACACGGCGACGGGCGAGGGCGGAGACGTCGAGGCAAAGTGCTTCCGTGCGTCCCTCTTCCTCTCTCTCCCTCTCTCCCTCTCTCTCTCGCGTGCACGATCCCGTCGCTCACTCTCTCGCCCGACGCGCCAACAGAGCGTGACTCGCCCAAGTCGCACTTCATCGTCGTCCTGTTCCTCGTCATCACGGCGACGCTCGTCGTCGTCGCTGCCCTCAAGCACTTTGGGATCGACCTGCACGCCCTCTTTGTCCAGGCCGGCGTCAAGGGCATCGTGGCTGTGCGTCTGCGCCCGCCTTCTCCTGTCGGTCTCGGTGGACGTTGAACGTCGAGACTGACTGTCGTCGATCGACACCGTCGTGCAGGAGCTCGTCCAGGGCGTCAAGGTCGTCCTCAACCGCCGTCGAGGCGGGCCCTCGTACGCCTCCGTCTCGTCCTAGATCTCTTTCTCTCTCTCTTGCCGTACCTCCCTCTGTCTCTCAGTACTCTCTGCAACACGAACTGGGTGTACGGGGCTTCTATGGCAAAGAGTCCGGCGAGAGGTACGCTCTGAACACGCCGCGCACGCCGTTGAAGCACAGGATCTCGAGCGTGCCCGCCTGCGCGCGCGTGACAGACCACTCGTGAGTTCTCGAGTGCCACAGCGACACTCGAGAGGGGAAGAGAGCGCGAGAGAGAGAAAAGGAGAGCGCACCCTGGCCGCCGTTTTGACCTCGTCGACCGAGACGCGCCCCTCGCACACCTCGCCCCGCTCGAGCAGCTCGGCGCGCATGACGCCCTCGAGGAGGCCGCACTCTGCTGTGGGCGTGATGAACGGCGCCGAGGGCGCGAGGCGGAAGGCGACGTTCGAGATGGACGACTCGGTGAGCTCGCCCCAGGGGTTCGAGAGGAGGACGTCGAAGGGGGGAGCGGTCGGGTCGGGGGAGGGAGTGAGGGTCGCGCCTATGAGTGTGGAGAGGGCGTCAGACGTCGGGTATGGGGGGTCGAGGCGAGGAGCAAAAGGGGCGCACCGCAGCGCGCTCGAGCCGAATCGTACACCTCGCGCCGCGACGTCTTGCACCGCAGGAACGGGTCGTCGCCGTATGCCGTCGGTCGGTCGTCGAGGACGACTCGGACCTGGTCTGCTTGGCGTGCGTCGTCAGGTCAAGATTGTGCGGGCGCGGCCGAAGGAGAGGGAGAGAGGGGACGCACAATCTGGCATGGGCGAGAGCGGGAACGCTTCTGCTTTGGGCTCGCCGCTCGGGAGGACCGACAGTCGTACCTATTGACGACGCACGGCAGGTCAGGATTGGCGAACAAGGGGGGGAAAGGCTTCATCGCGAGTCGAGAGACGGACCCGCAAGTCTCCCTCGAGCCCCGCTCGCCTCGCCTCGTCGACAGCCCGGTCGAGCTCCTCTTCGAGCTGTGCGTCGGTCGGCATAGTAACGGTGGCGCACCACGAGCTGGGCAGGTCGGCGGCGATGCGGGCGTGGGCGGTTTTGAGGCGGGCGAGATGGCGGTGCAGGAGCGAGAAGCGGGCGTCTCGGAACCTCGAGGGCGAGTAGCTGGTCGAGGTGAAGATGGAAAAGGTGCTGGTGTGGTCCTTGGAGGTCATGGCGCTGCTGCTCGGTGCTGAGCGAGGTGCGTGTGTTGAGCGAGAGTCCGAGCCGACCCCACCTCCCTCTACAACAGCGACGAGGCCACAGAGAGCCATGCCTGCACCGACCTCCGAGTACCTGTTCGACCCAGCCCTCATCCCCGCCGACGCCGGCGCGCCCCTCCCCGAGGGCCTCACCCTCCGCCCGCTCGCCTCGTCCGACTACGCTCGCGGCCACCTCGCCCTCCTCGCCCACCTCACTGCAGCCCCCGACGTCGGCCAAGCCACCTGGTCCACCCGCTACAGCGACCTCGACCGCGTCAACCGCGCCCAGCTCACCTACCTCGCGCTCGTCCTCGTCGACGACGCGACCGACACCCTCGTCGCACACGCCACCGTCTTCCTCGAGCGCAAGTTCCTCCGCAACGCTGGCACCGTCGGCCACATCGAGGACGTCGTCGTCGACCCAAAGATGCAGGGCAACAAACTCGGCCTCAAGCTCCTCGAGGTCCTCACCGCCCTCAGCGAGCAGTGCGGCGCGTACAAGGTGCGCCCTGCGCTCTCTCTCTCGTCCCTTGCACAGCCGAACTGACTCGTTCCTCTCGCAGACGATCCTCGACTGTGACCCGAAGAACGAGGGTACGTCCCTCGCCCTTGTCACACGTCCACCGCGCTCACTCTTCCTTCTCGCCCCGCGCAGCTTTCTACGTCAAGTGCGGGTACGGCTCTCCCCCTCTCACTCGTCCACGAACACGCACTGACTCGACCTGGTGCGCGTGCAGCTACGAGAACAAGGGCTGCGAGATGGCCAAGTACCGCTGAGCGGTTCCCTCAAACTCTCGTACGTCCTCGCTCTTGCTCTCGCTCTCTACATCAAGCGGTACCCGCTCACCTCTCGAACTCGCAGCTCAGCCGCACAGACCCTGTCGTACCCCCCTCTTCGTATACCTCGCAATGCAAACCCCCGTTCTGTCCTCGTTCCCCTACGCCCCGCTCAGCTCCTCGACCTCGAGCCCGTCAAAGAAGTTGCCCTCGCCGCCGCTCCGGTGCTCCTTCCTCGCTCGACTCGCCAACGCCGTCGCCGTCGGGACAGCGTGCACGCCGCCACCGGGCACGTCGTCAAAGATGCCGAGCGCGCCGAGGCGGTGCGCGATGCGCTCGGCGCCGGGGCGGGTGCCGGACAGGTTGAGGGCGTCGGGGCCGAGCTGCGGGCGGGCGAGGGCGAAGAGAGAGAGGGGGCGAGGGGAGAGAGGAGGCGGGAGTCAGTGCGAGAGTCTGAGAGGGGCTCGACCGCTCGAGAGAGGACGGTCGGAAAGAGACAGAGAGAGAGGGCGCACCTCGAGCATGGCGTACGCCCCAGCGACGAAGAACGGCACGTCCTCGCGCCACTGCAGGTCGCTTGTCAACCTCGGCAGGCCCCGCACGAGCTCGACCGGGTGACACTCGAGCAGCGGTCGCACGCACTCGACGCCGGCGAGGTCGAGCGCGCTCCCCGTCGCGCACACGACGTGGTCGACGTCGGCGAGCGTGTCGGGCATCGAGGTCGGCGCGCCGGGCACGGCGAGGTGCGCCTTGTCGACGAGGCGCGTGCGCACTCGCAGCGTCCACTTGACGGCGGCGGCGTCGAGGTGCGCGTCCTCGACCTCGGTGAGGGTGCGCAGGTCGAGTCGGCCGCTCTTGACGTGCCGCTTGAGGATGCTGTAGAAGTGGGCGTTGACCGACCCGCCGTTGCGCGCCTGGCGGATCATGGCGTGACGCGCGTGCGGGCAGCTCTCGCCAAAGAACGCCATCTTGTCGAGATTGGCGTACCTGCAGCGAGGTGAGAGAGATCAGAGTGTACTTGTCGAGTCGAGAGGCCGAGGAGAGATTGGGCGCACTTGCTGACCCAGGAGAGCGGAAAGTCAAAGGCCGACACCTTGATATGCGAGCGGCTCAGGAGAGTGACGTGCTGCACGCCGGCCTTGATGAGCGAGTCGACGATCTGCGCCGACGTGAGGCTGTGTGCGTGTCGCGAGGTGGTCAGTCGGTGCGCTCGACGAGGAGGAGGAGATTGAGTTTGGGAAGGTCGGACGCACCCTCCTCCAAGCACGACGACGCGCGCCGGCTTGCCCTGCCGGACTCGCTCGCCGAGCAGGCCATCCATCGGCCCACACCCAGGCATCGCGAACGCCGTCGAGTGGCACCACCCCTCGCCGCACACGGCCTCCTTGCTCCACGGCCCCGCGCCCGGACCCTCGCTCGCCGCCCCTGCGCCGTCCCGCTCCTGCTCCTGCCCCGGGCGCGACACGCCGGCCGCCTCGCTGATGACGCGCGGCACGCTCGGGGTGCAGCTCGGTCCGATGGCGAGCACGACGGCCCTCGCGCCGCGCACCTCGTCGACGCCGTCGGGCCTCGTCGACCGGACGACGAACCCTCGCTCGGGCTCTCGGCCTGGCACGTGCACGACCTCGTACGAGACGGACGTGACGGTCGTATGGGCGACGAGCGGCGGCGAGGGTGAGGGCGGCGCGAGCGAGTAGCGGTCGACGAGGTCCGAATCGATGAAGGAGCGGAACAGGGCCGACGACGGGCGGTGGTAGTCCTCGCGCTCGCGCTCGTTGATCATGGGCGCTCGTCCGACGCGCTGCGGGCTGTACGAGAGGGTGGGCCGAGTCAGTCCCAGGCTCTTGCACGAGACTGCTCGTCGAGGAGAGAAAGTGCACGAACCGCTTCTTGCGCTGGTGCTTGCTCAGCTCGGCGCCGACGACGCCCTTGATCGGCAGGAGCTCGTTCTCGCGCCCTTCGCGCTGCGCGTACGCGACGAGCGCGTTGACGTCGGCCGGCGCCGGGTGGAACAGCATGGGCGAGCGCAGGTGCTCGATCGACAGGCCCGAGAAGAAGCTGTCCCACCGGCCGAGCCACGCGGACGACGAGCTGTCGAGGACCTGGATCGCCGGACGCGCCGACGAGGTGCCACCGGGCGAAGAAGGAGCGCGTTCGGGGCCGGGGCGTGCGCCGGCGAGCGTCGCCGTCGCAGGCTCGACGAGCTTCCTCGCCGCCCAGTGCCCCTTGACGCTCTGCCGCCGCACCGCCTGGTTGCGGCGCTCCCGTCCGCGCTCCTCGCGCTGCAGCCACGCGAGGCGTGCGTGCTCGAGGTCCGAGTAGAGCGCGGCCGGGTGCGGCTCGGAGAGGCGTGCGGCGAGCGCGAGGGCGTGAGGGCCGGCGCCGATGATGACGAGGGGCGAGAAGGACGACTCGGGGATGCCGATGGGGTATGAAGGTGCGGCGGTGGGTGGCGGGTCGGCGGTGTCGACGAAGGACGAGGGGAGCGGCTTGAGGTCGTCGTCGGTGGACGGCGGTGGCGGGCAGCACGACGCCGAGGTGCACGAATCGGCCGTGTCGGCCGTCGAAGACGCGTCGTCGTCGTTGTTGTCGTGCGCCCACAGCGAGGCGCGGTCGTCGAGCGACAGGTGCGAGAGGGTTGGCGAGGGAGGAGAGCCGGGGAGGCTCAGGGGCGAGACGGCGGGCGAGTTCATGTCGGGTGGGAGGACGGGTTGCGGGGGAAGCATGGTCGTGTGGAAGCGGATGCTCGAGCGAGCGCGGTGTGGAGCCAGCTCGTGGCCCGTTTGCCCGAGTTGAGGACCCTCGCGCCCGACCGTGGTCGTGCGGCGAGGTCCCCGATCACCAGCTGATCAGGCCGCGTAGCCACCGCGCGGCACGCCAGACGTCTGCAGTGGACCTGGGCCAAGCGGATCGAGCCGAGAAGCTGTGCTGAGGGCAGAGAGCTGAGGAGGAAGAGGAGAGGCACGAGGCGAGGAGGGGCAGCCTGCGCCCGGGTGCAGCGGCGGCTCGAGTCGGCGAGATACAGTGCACGGTCGCAGTGCAGCAGCCTGTGCAGGGCGAGCGTGTGGAGCGGACGCGAGCGAGCGCCGTCGTCGTCGTCGCGCGGAGCTGGCTCCTCCCCTCTTGCTCCCGCTCACGCATCCCTCCCCCACTAGGTGAGCCAGCGACCAGCTCAGAGTGCTCCCCAGAGTCGCAGCAACTGACTCGAGCCACTCGCGCTGTCCCCCGTCCCCTGTACAGCATCCACCGCCATCATGTCCGCTGAGGAGCCCACCACCGCCCAGGTCGAGGAGTCGTCGGCCCAGTTCGAGCCCGTCATCAAGCTCGACCAGGCTGTCGAGGTCAAGACGCACGAGGAGGACGAGGAGGCCCTCTTCAAGATGTGCGTCGTCGCCCCTTCCTCCTCCTCCTCCCTCCCTTCTCCCCGTCCAACGGCTGACACTCGTCCTCCTCCTCTCCCGCAGGCGCGCCAAGCTCTTCCGCTTCATCGCCGACTCGGCCGAGTGGAAGGAGCGCGGCACCGGCGACGTCCGCCTCCTCCAGCACAAGCAGTCCAAGAAGGTCCGCCTCGTCATGCGCCGCGACAAGACCCTCAAGGTCTGCGCCAACCACTACAGTGCGTCCAACCTCTCCCTGTACCATCATCACTGGCGCACGTACTCACTGTCGACAACGGCGCAGTCACGCCCGAGATGGCCCTGTCGCCCAACATCGGCTCGGACCGGTCGTGGGTCTACAACGTCGCGGCCGACGTCTCTGACGGCGAGCCCTCGGCCGAGACCCTCGCCATCCGCTTCGCCAACTCGGAGAGTGCGTCCACGACACCCTTTCTCTGTCTTTCGCGAGGCCTGCATGAGCGGGCTCGAGGCTGACTCGGGCTCGCCCACAGACGCCAACCTGTTCAAGGAGGCGTTCGTCCAGGCGCAGGACACGAACAAGACGCTCCTCGGCTCGTCGGCTGCCGCGCCCGAGGTTGCCGCGTCGGACGCGCCGGTTGCGGGCGACGCGACCGAGCAGACGGCGACGGGCGAGCCGGTCGCCAAGGGCAAGGAGGCGGCGCCGTCGGCCGACGCGCAGGACGACGAGCCGCCCGTGTACAAGGACGAGGGCGTCGCGCCCCCGCCGGAGAAGACCGAGGTCGTGCAGGGCGAGGAGGTCAAGGAGCCGACCACCGAGGTGCGCCCGGCCTCTTCTCTCTCGTGTCCTCGCTCGTCGACTGACTCTTCCCTTTCCCGCAGACCCCGGTTGAGAAGGACGCGCACGCTGCGACTAGCGAGTCGGGCCCGGCCACGTCGTCGGCGTAAAGCCGCGAGTCGCACCCCTTGAGCTCTCTCTCTCTCCCCCTTTGGCCTCGTCGTCGTCGTCGTCGTCGTTTGCAATCTCCTCGTTCTCTCCCCTCCACACCATCACGATCTAGTCACGCGAGGCCCTGCATGTCCCAAGTTGTGCACTCTGCAGCCTGCGCGAGCGAGAGAAACGAGAGACAGGCAGGTCTGTGGTTCGCCCGGCCCAGCGCCTCCGAGCCGGCCCTCGCTCTCGTCTCTCATCATGTCGTCGCCCGCGCCGCAAGCTGGGCCCTCGAGCGCACGCACACCCGACCTCGACCGCTTCTGGCACCCTCCACCACCCTCGACAGCCCGCCTGCCGGCCCTGCGCGCGACCCTCGCCAAGGTGCCCTCGCCCGCCCTGCGCATCTCGCGCGTCGCCCAGCTCGACGCCAGCCTGCTCGATGGCGAGCTCGAGGGCATCCTCCATGCGCCGGTAAAGGCGGCACTCGATGGCGTGCGCGTGCGTCCCCCTCTCTCTCCTCCTCCTCCTCCTCGCCGGAACCCGGACTGAGTGGGGGTGGGACGTCGCTCGCAGCCCGCAGGCGCACGCAGCTTCGAGCCCGAGTTCCTCGCGCTGTTGCGACTCGCCATCCTGCGCATGTCGCTGTGGGACCGCGGCGCCACGTACGGCTCGACGCTCCAGAACCTGCGGTACCGCAACGAGGGCCGCCATGCAAAGGGCTGTGCGTCCTCCTCTCTCTCTCTCCGTCCTTCCCGAGACCGCAAACTGACCAGTCCACTCAAACGCAGTGCAAGGCGCCGCGACCGACTCGACCCTGTCGCGCGTGCAGAAGTTCGCCTACACGCTCCTCGTCGTGGTCCCGCCCTACCTGCACTCGCGCCTCCAGGACCAGATGCTCACCTCGTCCTGGGCCGACGAACCCCTCCCGCGCTCGTGGTTCGCCCTCGTCGACCTGCGCCGGCTCCTCAAGCGGGGCGCGAGGCGTGACGACGAGATGATCCAGTGGAGGCGCGAGTGGAAGAGGACCGGGTGGGAGCTCCTCGGCGTCGCAGAGCGCCTGTCGGCCGTCCTCGGGCTCGCCAACTTTCTTGTTTTCCTCTACAATGGCCGGTGCGCCCTCTTTCCCTTGCGCCCTCGTCGTATTCGAGCCGCCCACTGACTCTATTCCTCGCCCCCGACGCAGGTACCGCACGCTCATCGACCGGGTCCTCCAGATGCGGCTCGTCTACTCGCAACGAGCGTTCGTGCCCAACGTGTCGTTCGAGTTCCTCAACCGCCAACTCGTGTGGGAGGCCTTCACCGTGCGTCGACCCGTCCTCTCTCTCCCTCGCGCTCGGTCCTCGGTCGCCCTCACTGACCGCTCGCATCGCCCGCAGGAATTCCTCCTGTTTCTCCTCCCGCTCGTCAACATGCATCGCTTGCGCCTGCGCCTCACCAAAGCCGTCTCGTCGCGCGCGAGCAAGTCGACCGCCCTGCGCCTGCTCGCGTCGGCCCTCCCCGCCCCGGTCGCCGGCACCCTCGGCCTCTCGTCCCTGCGGTCCTCCTCCTCGTCGTCGAACAATACAGGCCCTCTCGCGCCGAGCGACAAGCCGCACGGCCCGCTCGCGTTCCTCCCGCCGCACACGTGCCCCGTGTGCTACTCGCGCTCGACCGCCCCGCCGACGCACCTCCCCTCTGCGTCGTTCGCCGACCCGACGCTCCCCTCGGCGTCGCTCCTCCACCACACGGGCGGCGCAGGCGGTCCGGCGGCAGGCGACGGCGACACGTCGGTCAAAGTGCCCTACGTCGCCGACTGCAGGTTCGCGTGCCGGTACTGCTACTACTGCGTCGTTGGCGCGCTCGCAAAGGCCGACGACGAGGCCGACGACGCGTGGACGTGCCTCAGGTGCGGCGAGGAGGTGCATGGCGCGAGGCGGGAGGAGGTCGAGCCGGCGCAAGACGACGAGGAGGAGGAGGAGGAGGAGGACGAGCGAGCAGGGGGCGCGAGCGCAGATGGGCCCGAGCCGTAGAGCTTCGCTCTCTCTCGAGGGCGAGCAATGTATCTCAATGATAGATCTATGATGCAGTGCGAGTACGACGAGTCTACCGAGTCCACGTCCTCGCCGGCTCGCTTTAGAGCTTGACGACCTCCTTGTCCCGGTATCCGAGCTCTCGCAGGACGCCGCCGACCGGTCCCGACGAGAAATTGCGCCCTCGTGGCCCAGCGACGGCGTTGACCATGCTGCGGGTGTTGAGAGAGAGAAAGTGAGCCGCCGCGCTCGAGGATTGACGACGAGGCGAGGAGGAAAGGGAAAGAGGACGGGACGCACCCCTCTGGACCGCAGACGACGACGACACGCCGCTTCTCCGGCTGCCCTCCTCGCCCAATGAGCCTGCTGAGCACCTTGCTGTCGAGGAACCCGACCTCGGCGCCCGCGGGCGCGCTCGCGCCGCTCGCTCGCGGATCGGCATCGAGCCGGTCAACGAGGTAGTGGACCTTGAGCTGGCCCGGACGCTGCGCCGTCAGGGCGTCGAGCTCGTTGCGGAGGAGGATGCGCGAGGGCGAGGGCGAGGCGTAGACGACCGAGACGGTGGGCGAGGGAGCCGAGGAGGAGGAGGAGGAGGCGAGCGTGTCGTGGATGAGCTGGTAGGCGGGCGTGACGCCGGTGCCGCCGACGACCTGAGGAGGGAGCCTCGTCTCGGTCAGTACGACGGGTGACTGGAGAAGAAGGAGGACGACGAGGGAGAGAAAGTGGACGCACAAAGACGACCTCGTCCCAGTCTTGCGGGCGGTAGTACCAGGTGCAAGAAGGCCCTCGCACGCTCATCTCGTCGCCAGGACCGAGACGATGGATGTACCGAGACGCCTCGCCGTCTGGGTACCGCTTGACGACGAGGTCGAGCTCGGCGGGTCCCGATTCGTTGAACGACGAGGCGGAAAGAGGCTGCGTGGGCGGAAAATTTGAGCCCATGGTCTGCGCGAGGGCCGCGACTGGGAGGATGGGGCGCACCGTGTAGGCTCGCTGAATCTGGAGGCTCGGCTCCTTGACGAACAGGCTCAGGATCGGTCGCGCGTCCGGGTCGCCCGTGAAGGCCGGCGGGAGGACCGACCGCGGCACGTCGAGCTTGAACAGCGACGTTTCGGGCGTGAGCGCCGTCACCGACTTGATCTTGACGTCGGTCCACCGGTCGGGCGCGAGGTAGGCGGGCTCGTCGCGCGTGAGGAGGAAGGTTGCACCGCCTCCAAGGACGAGGGCGGCGACGCCCGCGATCGACAGTAGCGAGCGCTCGCGTGGTGCGGGTGCCGGTGCTTGAGGCGCCTTGTCGGTGTTGTAGGCGCGGGTAGGCGTCCAGGCGGGGGAGGGCGAGTGTGGGAGGAGGGGGAACGTCGCTCGTGCTGATGAGGCTGACGGCGAGACGAGGAAGCGGCGAGAGCTGGACGCGATGACCCGAGCAGGGCGTGCGACGTATGTGCTCGCGCTGGACGCCATCTCGAGCGGGCTCGAGCGACGCGGCGTGGTGGGACGAGGCAGAACCCGCTCCGGCTCGCCGCTCGACGAGAAGCGCCTTGCGAATCGCTCTCGGGTTGCGTACAGCTCGGTCGACTCTTCGCCGTACGCGAGCACGATCGCAAGAGCTTCTCTCGACCAGAACGCGCGAGAACTATACAGCCGTTGCAGGGCGCCGCCGTCTCCCTCGTCCTCGCTCCACCGTCTAGAAACGCACCGCCGCCGACTTCTCGACCATCTCCAGAGGGACCTGTCACCGCCAGACGAGCAGTCAGTACCGGTGCAGGAGGTGTGCGAGAGGAGGAGGGAGAGGGAGCGCACCTTGTGTCCGAGGAGGTCGCGAATGTTCGAGATGCCGTAGCTGCAACGACGTCGAGAGGGTCAGGCCGTGCGCACGTCGACGACAGGGGCAGAGAGTGAAAGAGACAGCGGACGCACCGGATCATGGTCGGGCGCTCAAGGCTGAGGCCGAACCCGAGGACGCGCACGTCGGCGGGGAGGCCCATCGTCTCGAGCATTTCGGGGCGGAACATGCCCGAGTTGCCAATCTCGACCCACTTGCCGAGGCCCTCGTGCCACGAGAAGATCTCGAGCGACGGCTCGGTGTAAGGGTTGTACGCCGGCTTGAACCGCAGGTTCTTGACGCCCATCTTGGAGAAGAAGACGTCGAGGAAGCCTGTCCGGCCGTGGGAGAGTCTAGGTTAGGGCGAGTCCGGGCGAGGGAGAGAGAAAGAGAGAGAGAGAGAGGCGCAGGACGCACCGATGAGGTCGGCGAGCGTGAGGTTGCGGTCGGCGATGACGCCCTCGACCTGGTGGAACTCGGCGAGGTGGGTCATGTCGACCGCCTCGTTGCGGAACACGCGGTCGATCGAAAACATCTTGGCCGGCTTGAACCCTCCCGGCGCGTTGGCGAGCTCGTACAGCATGGCGGCCGACACGGACGTCGTGTGGGTGCGCAGCACGAGGCGCGACGTCTCCTCTTTCGAGAACGGGTACCGGTACCCGGTCGAGCCAAAGTCGCCGACCTCGTGCACCCGCTTGACGCGCTCGTAGTAGTCTTGCGGGAAGCCGGTCGATGCGGAAGGCTCTGCGGGAAGACGAGGACGGGTCAGGCTCGAGGCTGGAGAAGAAAGAGGAGACTCGGACGCACCCTTGACGTAGAACGTGTCCTGCAGCTCTCGTGCAGGGTGCTGCTGAGGGACGTAGAGCGAGTCGAAGTTCCAGAAGCACGACTCGACGAAGCGGTTGGTCGGCATCTCGGTGAACCTGTCGCGCGCAAGTGGGGGAGAAAGGGTCGTCAGGTTCGGTCTGGCGCAGCAGCCGCATAGAGGGGAACCGAGGACGCACCCAGTCTCGAAGAAGATGTTGCGGAACTCCTCGCGGACCTTCATGAGCGGGTGCAGCGCACCGCCGAACGTCGGCGCACCCTCGGCCTCGAAGTTGTACTTCTTGAACGACGCCTTCTCCCACTCGCCACTGCAGGAGGAGCCCTACCGTGAGCTCGGGGTAGAGAAAGAGTGGACAAAGGGTGGCAGACGTACGAGTTGAGGAGCTCGACCGTCAAGTCCGTCTCGAGCTTCTGAATCGTCGTCGCCCAGTTGGCGCCCTTCTCGACCGAGTAGTAGAACGACTTCCTGCGAGCGGGCGCGCCGAGACTGTGTCAGAGGTCGTGCAGGGAATGAGGGAGACGCGAAAGGGGACGCACTTCTTCTCGACGAGCTTGCGCTTCCTCAGCTCGGCCAGCAGCTTCTCGTCCGGGTGCGCGCCGCTGCTCTGGATCACGCCCAAGTCCTTCTGCGTCTCGTCCACGACTGTCGGGGCCTGTTGTGCATGTGCTCGAGTCAGCGTTCGGTCGCAGAGAGAGAAGGGCGAGGGAGAAGCGAGACGCACCGCCTGGAGGAAGCCGTCGCCCTTCTTGGTCACCCACTTGTTCTTCATGGCCTTGCCCTGGCCGACCTTGGCGACGTCCTTGCCGACCTTGTCGGCAATCTGCTGCGCCGTGAGGCCCGCCTCGGAGCCGGGCGGCGGGAGCGCGGCCCACACGCGGTACTCGTGCGAGCCGGACTGGGCGATCTGGGTGCCCTCGACCGTGAGGGCGTGCTGCTCAAGGTTGATCTGCTTGAAGGTGACCATCTGCGAGGTGCGTGGAGCAATCGAGTCAGCACGGCGTTGTCTTCGGAGAGACGAAGCCGGGGAGAGATGGGCGCGAGGAGGAGGAGGAGGAGGACAGGGAGAGGGAAGGCAAGGGGCGCACCTCGCGAGTCGTCAGGCTGTCGAGAGCAGCCTTGACGGCATTCTGGGCCTCGGTGCTGGGCCCGACGGTGGTTGCGGGCGTGGCAGGGCCGACGTCGGCAGGGATGGAGAGGGAGCGCGAGTCGTCGATGCGGCCGGCGGGCGTGTCGAGTGCGGCGAGGATTATGAGCGCGAGCGACTCGGTCGGTGGCAACGAGGTGGCCATCTTGCTCTGGTAGCTGGGACGAGAGGGAGGAGGTTGCGCTCAGAGTCGAGATGAGGATTCGAGAGGAGCTCTCCCTCGCTCACCACGCTCGCCCTGCTTTGCCTGGGACAAGTGCTAGAGCTAGACTGCTCACTCTAGAGCATGGTCGCACAGCTGCGCCGCCCTCGCCGGCCTGCCCGCCGGCGCCTCTCCCTCCCCCGCTCCTCCTCGCCCTCGATGCGTCGCAGCTCCGCTTGCCGGGCTCAGTCCAGTTCTCCTGCGCCTCGACCAAGCTCGCAGCACGGTTAAAATACGACGCGGCGGCCGTGTGTCACTGCACACAGCGATCGCGCCCTGCTCGTCCCCGCTCGCCCACTTTCGCCGGCCAACCTTTAAGCGGGCCCACGACGGCTTCCACTTCTCCGCACCGCCGTCTTCTAGCGCCTTGCAGTCGTGCGGTGCGACCAGCTCGCCCGACCGTCTCGACCGGCCCGAGGCGGTAGCCCCCACGAGCCGGTCGTCGATGAGGTGCCGCTCAGCCGGAGCGGGGAAGGTGTCGCGTTCGCGGTCCAACAGCAGCAGCTCCGCCTCCTGCTTCCTCGTCGCACGCTCTCGTCGACGCACCTGCTCTCCATGCGCTTTACGCCCTACGCCCTCGTCCCGCTCGCGCTCGCTGGCTGCGCTCGAGCCGCCGCCGTCAAGACCACGTCGTGCTCCGACCTGTGGGACGTCGCGCCCAAGCTGCTCGCCGACCTCGAGGTCTACGTCGCGCAGGACTATGACGGTGCGTCCCTGTCCTCGTGCCTCGCCGACCGACGGCAACTGACGAGCTTCCTCCTGTCGCAGCTGGCACCAACTTTACCGCCGAACCCGCCGCCGCTTCGCCCGCCTACCCGCAGGCCGTGCCCGACCTGCCTGCCTTCTGCCGCTTCGGCGCCTACATCCACACGTCCAACTCGTCCAAGGTGCGTCCTTGTCGCTCACTGGGCCCTTTCGAGAGAGAGAGACAGAGAGACGCGCTCACTGACCCTTTTCGCCCTTGCAGGTCCAGTTCGAGCTCTGGCTCCCGACCGCCGATGAGTGGAGTGGTCGGTTCTCGATGGTCGGCAACGGCGGCGACGCGGGTGGCGTCAACTTCCCCGACATGTGGGCGCCTCTGAAGACCTGTACGTCCCTCCTCTCTCCTCGGCGCTCTCGCTCTCTCGCCCGGACCGCAACACGCGATCGTCGACTGACTCGTGATGGTCCCTCTGCAGATCAGATGGCTGTCGCGTCGACCGACACGGGCCACAAGGGTGCGCTCGCATTCCTCGTCCTTGTCGAGCAAGCGCACGGACCTGCCTTCCCTCACTGACCCTTGTCTCCTCCGACAGGCATCTCGGGCAACGGCACGTTCGCGATCAACGGGCCCGACACGCAGCTCGACTTTGGGTACCGGGCCGTCCACCTCACGACCGTCTACTCGAAGGCGATCGTCAAGGCGTACTACGGCCGGGCGCAGAAGAAGAGCTACTGGATCGGGTGCTCGTCTGGCGGCAAGCAGGGCCTCAAGGAGGTGCAGGAGTTCCCGGACGAGTACGACGGCGTGCTCGCCGCATCGGCTGCGTGCGTCGAGACCGTTCCCTTCCGCTCGACCGCCCGAGCCAGTTCTTCTCTCGGCGAGAGATCTGCTCTGACACCCTTTGGCCCTCGCGCGCAGTCAATGGTGGACTCATGTGCGTGTGCTAGCCGCCACGTTCAAGGAAGAGTCGCCTACTGACCTTTGGCTCGCCCTCCTCCCTTCTCGTCCCTCCCTCTCGTCCTGCGCATTCTGTCGCCTCGCCGCCTCGGCCTCGCCCGACTCGTCGCCTCTCGTACCTCGGTCGCCTGCAGCTCAACGCCGAGATCTGGTGGGTCAACACGATCGTCAACGCGCCGGGCTCGGCCGGCTACCTCAACACGTCCGACTACGAGCTCATCGGCGCACACGTCGTCAAGCAGTGCGACGAGCAGGACGGCGTCAAGGACGGCGTCATCACGAACCCGAGGGCGTGTCTGCCCGACCTGCAGCCGCTGTCGTGCGACTCGCCCGGCGCCAACTCGACGAGCTGCCTGAACGCCGAGCAGATCGTGACGATGTACCGCATCTGGAACGACTACCACAAGGAAACGACGGGCGAGTTCCTGTTCCCCGGCTACATGCCCGGCGCAGAAGGAATCCCGGGTTTCTCGGTCACGGGCGCGCCGTACACGCTGGCGTGCGTCCCCTCGCCCTTCCAGCCGCTCTTTCCTCCGACACTGAGCCCCTCTCCCCCCCTCGCAAACCCGACTTCTTCAACTACCAGGTCCTGAACAAGACCGAGATCGGCAACTTTACGGCGAACCAGACAGAGCTCGAGCGGCTCCTCGAAATCGCCGACGAGACGGATCCGGGTGCGTCCTCGTCCTCGCCCTCTCTCTCTCTCTCTCGGTCGACCCGCCCATTCATCCCTCGCCTCGCCTCACAGGCAAGTCGAACGCCATCAACCCCAACATCCAGCCCTTCCTCAAGCGCGGCAAACTACTCACCTTCGTTGGTCCGTCCCGACCTTCTCAAGTCGAGTTTCTCGCACCAGGCTCACGGACTGACTCTCCAAACCTCACACAGGGCTCTCGGACGTCATCATTCCTTCCGGCATGACGATCTGGTACTACGAGCAGGTCCGCAAGGCGCTCGGGTACCCGGCCGACCTCGGCGACTCGTACCGCATGTTCACGAGTGCGTCCTCTCTCCCGGTCACGTCCTGTCTTCCTTTCCTCGAGGTCGCACTGATGTTTTGACTCACGCAGTTCCGGGCATGGGCCACTGTCGTGCGGGACCGGGCGCGTGGAAGTGAGTCGCGCCTCCCTTTTCCCTTCCTTTCCTCCTCGATGTGCTCTCCCTCCTTCGTGCCCTCCCTCTTCCTCGTCGAGGCTCCTCATACGCACTCTGCCAATCACGCTCGAGCAGCCCTGACCCCTTGCCCACCTCGCAGCTTCGGTTCGACCGGCCAGCGCCAACTCAGCCTCGGCGGCGCTTCAACGAGCGCGACGTTCGACGCCAAGCACGACATGCTCCTCGCGCTCATCGACTGGGTCGAGAAGGGCGTCGCGCCCGACATGATCATCGGCGCCAAGTACGTCGACGACGACAAGCGCAAGGGCGTCAAGTTCGAGCGGCCCCACTGCGTGTGCGTCGGCTCGCGCTCTCTCCCTCTCTGTGGCTCTCGAACGTGCTGACGATGCTCTTCGTCGTTGTTACAGGTACCCGAAGCAGGCGACGTACATCGGCGGCGACGAGAACAAGGCGAGCAGCTTCCGGTGCGAGAACATGGCCTGAGCGTCGTCGAGTACCTCTCTCGGGCGCCACTCCCTGCCCCCCTCTCTCTCTCATTTCCGTCGGTCGTCGTCGGCGTTGTCGTAGTCAGTCGTACACGTGCCTGCAAGAAGGCTCAATGCCACTTTCCGTCGCTCTCGAGAGGCTTGCCGAGCTCGCTTCCACCTGCTCTCGCGAGACCGGCTTCTCGAGCTGTACTGCTTGACGGTCATGTTGCACCTGCGACACCGAGCGCTACTCCTTGAGCAGGCCCTTGCGCGCCAGGACACGCTCGACTGCCCGCTCGACCATGACCTCGAGCGCGCCGCCCGTCTCTCCCCCTCCCTCGAGCACGTTGCGCACGACGCTCTCGACGCCCTTGCCGACGACGTCGCACTCGACGTTGACCGACTCGCCGACGGCCTTCATGGCGACGACGGTGCGGCTCTGGGTGTGGACGACGAGCATGACGCCAAAGTGGCCGACGCCCGGCTCGTAGTGGTCGTCGCCCGGTTTGGGCACCGAGAGGTGCGTCAGGGTGAGAGAGGTGCCGTCGAGAGCGATGTAGCCCTTGGGGATGAGGGGCGTGTAGAACTCGAGCGGGAGGGAGAACAGGAGTCGGATCGAGTCGCCGTCGGGCGTGATGGACAGGATCTTGGCCGTCGTGTCGACGTGACCCTGCAGCGGCGGCGGGCAGCGGGCATCGGGTCAGTCACAGGAGGTGTGGTGGCCGAGCGGCACGTCGAGGATTGGCGGCAGAGAGGGAGAGGTCGCCGAGACGTACCTGGACAAAGTGACCTCCGAATCGACCGTGCCCTGCCATCGCGCGCTCGAGGTTGACCTTGCCGCCGACCTGGAGCTTGCCTGCGTCGGTCCAGAGAATCAGAACCGGTACGTCGCAGACAGGAAGAGAGAGAGTGGGCAGCGTAGCGCACCGAGGTTGGACCGACTGAGCGTCTCGTTGGCCAAGCCGACCTCGAACCAGCCCTCGTCGGCGTCCCACCGGGTGACGGTCAGGCAGACGCCGTTGACGGCGATCGAGTCGCCGAGCTTGCAGTCGCCGAGAACATCGCCCGCGTTGGTGATCACGAAGCTGAATCCCTCGAACTCGGTGGTCGGCGAGATGGACTTGATGGTGCCGAGCGTCTGCGATGGGAGGAGGCGGTCAGCTCTGGATGCGTCGGATAGAGGGGTAGAGAGAGGTCGCGCACCTCGACCAGGCCGGTGAACACTGCAGGCGGGACCGCGGCAGGGCCGAGGATGGGTCAGCGAGGCGCGGGGAGGAGGACGGAGCAGCCACGGCCTCGGGCGACAAGAGGGCAGGACGAGGGGGTAGGGACAGGCACACTCACTGTTGCTGCTGTGCGATCGAGCGTGCCGAGAGGGTAGGAGGAGAGAGAGCGAGACCAAGAGCGAGCTGGTTCCGATGAGGGTGAACCTCGCCGTCTCGCTTCTCCACACCTCTCGCGCTGCTTGCGACCAGTGCCCGACAGCCCTCACGCACGCCTGCGACTACGCCCAGCCCGTCAGCGCGCGTCCCCCGGTCATGGCCGACCCCGACTCGCGCTCGGCGACGCTCCCTCTCCCCACGTCGGCCAGCCGCGGCCCTCGCCCGCACAGAACCAGCAGCGCCTTCTCGAGACTGGCCAACATCGCCCTCTCGTCGTCCGGGTCCGCCTCGTCCTCGTCCCCCGCCTCGGCGTCCATCCCCTCTTCCGCGACCACCACCTCGCGCAATGCCCTCGACGTCCTCGAGAACATCGCCAACGCCGACCAGGGCCGTCTCCGACACGGCAGCGCAGAGCCGGCGCTGTCGGGCACGGCGGCCGCGGCGGGAGCGAGCGTCGGCCCCCCGCGAGCCGACCGCCGCAGGTACGGCAGCGCGAGCGGGCGCAGCTGGTACGCCCGCGACTCGAGCGAGTCTCGCTCGCGCGAGCGCAGCTTGAACCGCAGCGACTCGCGCTCGTCGGCGAGCGTCCTCGGCGGCGGCGGCGGCGGCGGCGGCGCGAGCGTCCTCGAGGCGCGTGGCGGCGTCGACTCGCCGGGCAACATGTCGTTCCGCGCCGGGTCTGGGTACTGGGGCGCCGAGTCGCTCCCGCCCAACGCGTCGCAGAGCGCCTTTTCGGCCTACTCGGGCAACCCGAACGACAGCCACTTCTTCCCGGCCGGCGCGTCGGGCTTCTCGTTCGAGGGCTCGCCGGCGAGCGGCGGCGGCATCTGGGACAGCTCGTACCGCTCGTCGACGACGGGCTCGCCGTCCCTGTTCGACGACCACCGCACGCCGTCGTTCGTCCTCCGCCAGGCGACCGCCGAGCTGTCGCCGCTCAACCCGCGCACCTCGTCGTCGGACGGCTCCGGGCCCAGCTCGGGCTCGCAAGGCGGGCCGCACCCGGTCCAGCTGTGGGACCTCCCGCAGGCCGCGTCGAGCCGCACGTACGGCCCGAGCCTCGTGCGCACGAGCAGCCCCGTCGGCGGCGGCCGCAAGCCCAAGGAGGCGAGCCGCCGCCTGCGGTTCCCGGTCGCGACCCCGGCGCGCGACAAGGGCCTCGTCGGGCTCGCCAAGCCTCCACGCGGTAGCGCAGAGCACGACGGCCGCGTCGCCGTCGCGGGCAAGGCGTGCCTCAAGCTCCTCGCCGTCCCGCACGGCGCGCGCACGAGCCGCTCGGCGTCGGCCACGCCCCTCCCGACGCCGTCGACGTCGGCGTCGTACCGCGCGAGCTCGATCGCGTACCGGCGCTCGAGGAGTCGAGGGTCGCCGGCGCCGATCCGCGACGGGTCGGTCGGGCGCATCGACGAGGAGATGGTGGACGAGGAGCGAGAAGATGTGCGCGAGGTCATGGACGTGCGGCTCGGCAGCCGGCTCGGGCCTGCCTACCTCTTCAGCGATGTGCGGTGGGGCTACGGCGGTGCGTCCTCGACTCTCTCCTTCTCTCTCTCGGTCGTTGTGGTCCTGACGGCGTGCCTCTCCCACAGCGACCTCGAACAAGCTCGCGACGAGCTTCACCAACGGCGCCGTCGTTCTGTGGGACCTCGCCAAGGAGGGCGGCTCTCGCGTCGAGCAGCTCAAGTACGAGCACGACCGCGCCGTCAACCGGGTCGTGTTCGGCGGGCAGACGGGCAACTGGCTCATGAGCGGCGGGCAGGACGGGCAGATGAAGCTTTGGGTGCGTCCTCTCGCTTCCCCTCCCCTACTCTCTCGTCGAGGCTCGAGGGCACTGACACCTAGACGCGCCCGCAGGACATCCGCGAGGCGAGACCGGCCAACATGGTCCTCAAGGCGTCGTCCCCCGTCCGGCACCTGTCCTTCTCGCCCTCGGCGTCGCAGCCTTTCACCCTCCTCGCCGCCTGCGCCTCGGGCACCCTCATCCGCTACGACGTGCGCTACATCTCGAAGCAGAACGGCGGCGCGACCGACCGCGTCGCCGGCCACCTCGGCGCCTGCCTCGCCATGGACTGGCGCGACGGCTTCTCGTGCGAGCGCAACCCGGCGGGCGGCGGCGGCAGCATCGGTCCCGGCTCGAGCGTCGAGACGGCCGGCGGCGGGCGCGAGGGCGGCTGGGTCGTGACGGGCGGCGTCGACCGCACGATCAAGATCTGGGACTTTTCCCTGTCGACCCTGTCGACCAAGCCGGTCCGGACGCTGTACACGTCGCAGCCCGTCAGCGCCGTCGCGTGGCACCCGACGCGTGCGACTGAGCTCGTGTCGTGCCCGATGCCGAGCCTCGGGCTCGGCGGGGCAGCCGGCGAGGGCAGCGCGAGCAGCCTCGGCGACGAGCCGCCGACGACGCCCGTCACGGCCGGCGACTCGACGGCGGCGGCGGCAGCGTTCGTCAAGGGCGAGCGAGGGGGCGGGCAAGGGCGCTTTGTCGACGGCAACGCGTGGAAGAACGAGATCGAGGTGTGGGACGTGCGCCGGCCGTACTTCCCCAAGGTCTCGATCAAGGTCGAGGCGCCAACAGCAGGTGCGCCCTCTCCCTCCCCTCGTCACCAGAGTCGTGGTCAGTCGCAGGCACTGACCATTTTGCCCACCCTGCAGCCCTCTTGTGGAACGACGACGAGACGGTCTGGTCGACCTCGAAGGCGTCGCCGACGTTTTCGCAGCACGACGTCGCCGCCGACTCGTACTCGCTCCTCGACAGCATCGACCGTCCGACTGCCGCCTGGAACGTCGAGGGCGACCTCGCCTTTATCGACGACGCCCGCAAGCTCAACGACGTCCCGTTCGAGCGTCCGTGCGTCGCCGTGTCTCTCTCTCTCGCTCTCCTCCGCAGCACGTGCCTGACGAGCGTTCCTCCCTGTAGCTCTCGCGACATGCCGCCTGTCGATGCACCCGCGTTCCGGCCCGACGCCTTCGTCAACACGGTCGCCAACCTCGACCCCGACTTTTCGCCCGACGCGTTCGCCTACCTCGCCAACAACCTCAAGGTCACGGGCAAGATCGGCGACGTGTGCGCGCACAACGCCCAGGTCAGCCACCTCGTCGGTCGCGCCGACGCCAGCCAGGTCTGGATGACGATCCGGGCCTGGTTCGACGACGACGACTGCTTCTTTCCCCCCGACTCGCCGCCACCGACGCCCTCGCCGCCCGTCCACGAACAGCGCCGCTCGTCGTACGTCGCTCTGCCGTCGGCGCACTGGCCCACGTCGCCGCACTCGACCACCGCCGCCGAGCCGAGCCGACGGCGGGTAGCATCGGCGCAGCGCTCGGGCCGGCCCTCGTTCTCGTCCGTCTTTGGCTCTCGCCCCTCATCCGCCGACGCCACGCCCCGCCTCACGTCCAACTCGTCGTCGAGCGGTCGAGCCGAGGCGTCCACCACCGCCAATGGGTCGGCCCTCACCGTCTTTACCGAGGAGGCGACGGCGAGCGAGACCGAGCCGTCGGACGCCCACAGCGAGGACTACCCGGAGCTCAACACGACCTCGTCCGACTCGGAGCACGAGCTCGTAGCGCGCGCCCGCAAGAACAACCTCCTCAACCCGACTCGACTCGCCGCCTCGCTCGGCGCCCTGCGCGAGAAGGCCAAGGACGGCAACCAGTCGCTCGTCCTCTCGCGCTCGTCCACGATCGAGTCGCAGGCCATCGACGACGACGAGTCGGCGACGAGGCCCTCGCGGCCGACCTCTCGTCACGCCTCGCGCCGCAACTCGTCGAGCTCGAGCAGCGGGTCCGACCTCGACGACGGCGACGGCGGCGGCGCCAACGACAGCACGCGCCGCTCGCGCTCGGCGAGGATCGCCTCGATGCACGCGTCACTCGTCGCGACCCGCTCGAGGCGACCCAGCTCGGGCGCAGGCGCGCGTCCGAGCGTCGAGCGTCGTCCGCTCCGCTCGCGCGAGAGCACGCTCGGCCGGTCCGGCAGTCGGCATCCCTCGGCAGAGGGTGTCGACCCTGCACGTCGAGCGTCGCTTCCGCTCGCAAGCCGGGTCGGCCGCATTGGCTCGCTCGACGGCTCGGCGGGCTCGGTGCCAGTGCGGCGAGCGTCGCGAGGCGGGCCTGCGGTCGGTCCGGCGACGGCGAGGGAGCTGCAGCGCGAGGCGGGAGCGCGACATGCTGCAGATGCACGCGACATCGTCAAGAAGCAGCTCCAGGCGACCTTGCTCGAGTACGCCGACCGAGTGCGTCCCTCTTTTCCTCCCTCTTTCCCTTTCTCGTCCCGGCCTCTCTCGCTCACGTTCTTCCACGTGTCACAGGGAGACGCGCAGCTGTGCGCCACCGTCTGCTGTGTCCTGCGCGACAAGGACCTCGAGGTCGAGCCGCTGTGGACCGCGCGAGTAATCAAGACCTACATCGGTCCGTCCCTTCTCTCTCTTTTTAGCCCAAGACTCTCACTTTGACACCTCATTCCCTCACAGATCTGCTACGTCGCCTGCGGCTACACGTTCCGGCTGCACAGGTGAACAAGTACTGCGGCGTCGAGTCGCTGCAGGCCCTCACCCAGGTCCGCACCCTCTCTCTCTCGTCCTCGTCGCTGCGGCTCGTCCCTGACTCGGTTCCTCGTGCGCAGAACACGGTCGTCATCCACGTCGCGTGCGGCTCTTGCGGCAAGGCGGTGGACCAGCCGCCGTTTGGCCACTGCTCGCGCTGCTCGTCCCAGGTCACCAAGTGCTGCGTCTGGTGCGCCCCCTCTCCCTCTCCCACTCCTCGCGCAACTTGGCCGCCTCACTGACGCTCTCGATCGTCGCAGTCACCTCGCTGTACGGTCGCTGTACGTCTTGTGCGCGGCGTGCGGCCATGGCGCCCACGCGTCGTGCCTCGAGTCGCTCGCCCAGTCGATCTCGAACGGCCTCACCTCGTCGGGCCCGCACACGCCGCACGACGCGTCCTACCCGTCGACGCCTGGGATCGCGACGCCACTGCGCTCGTGGCTGTGGGGCGAGGAGCCGGACGACGGGACGTCGCCGCTGGCCGGCGACGAGCCGGCAGCGTTCGCGAGGCACCTGCGCGACTTGGTGTCGAGCTGTCCGGCGGCGTGCGGGTGTCGGTCGTGCAGCCTCATGGCCGGCATCTTCTGACTCGTGCTCGTCATCGTTGTGGCACCCTCCTTTGCCAGTAGAGCTTTTCGCAACGCAGCCGATTTCTCCCTCGCGCTCGCCTTCCTCTCTTTCGAGAGCGTCTGTCAGATATGTGCTCGCAAGATCTTCCGCATCGTGCTTCTGCAGCGCGAGCGCATCGAAAGGGCAAGTTCCGAGAGCGAGTTTGTCACGTCGCGTGGACCTTCTCGCTCGACGCAAAACGTCGCACGACGTCGGACGACGAGAGGGACCGCTCGGAGGAGCTCTGCTCGTCCGCGACCGTGGTTCCGAGCGGCGATCGCGAGCAGATTCTGCGTGGTTTCCTCGCCTGGCAAAGGCGCGGAACATGCCGCGAGACTGTGGCAACCGCAGGGTGCGCGTTGCACTGCCCACCTCTCGGCTCGCGAGCGGAGCCGCGCTAAGGATCCGCAGCAATGGGGACGAGCGAGGCAGACGAGCAGTCTCACCTCGAGCTGCGAGTGTGGTTACGACACGAACGAGGTCGAGCGTCCCTCTCGCAACGGCTCTGCAGGAAGCGTCGAGGAAGAGAAGGTCGTTTGAGAAGAGGCTCGAGCGGAAAGAGGCTTGCGCGCCACAGCCGCCAGCGCTCAGGCCGCCCACCGACGCAGCGTCGGCTCGAGCAAGGTTGTCGGCCGGCAGTCGTCCGCATCGCAGTGCAATTAAGCAGCAGGGGCGCAGCCATGTGCGTCGAGCAAGCGTGATTCTTCGACGTTCGACCATCTCGCGCTCAGGGCGCAACTTGTCAAGGGAGCTTCACCGCGCCGCGCACATGTACCGACTGGTTTGCGATCTTGGCCGGGGACGCCCCCTTTTACGCAGGACTGGGACACGTCGGGCGAGCAGTACGAAACCGGCCGCTCGCACCGGACTTGCCGCTCTCGCAGAGTTTCGAGCGCGCGAAGGAGCGGCGGAAGGGAGGCGCTGGCGCTCTCTTTCGTGCCGCGAACGCCATGCGGACAACCGTCTCTCAGGCGAGGAGAGAGGAGCGGAGGAGAGCGTCAAGCGCGAGCCGCGCAGGAGCAGCGTTACGAAAGATTGTGGCGCCGACTTGGGAGAGCCAATCTCGCGCACGGTCCGATCGACCCTTGGGCGCGAGAATTGAACGCGCAGGAACGCGCGTTCCGTCGGTGCCTCGTGGCCACTCGCTCGGACTGGAGAGAAAGGTGGAGACGGGCGCGGAGTGGACTAAGGTGTCTCGCCACGATCGCTTTCGGCCAAAGTCGCCGTCGGGCAGCAGCACCCTCTTCTCGCCAGCTCGGTTCGTTCGGCCGACGGCAAAGGGTCACACGCCCAGCGCAGCGGTCGCCCTGCGCACCGTTCGCCGCGCTCCACTCGCCCATGCTCGAGCCCGACCAAGCTGCCGCGATGGAGCGCGAGCGGCAGGCGAGCAGCATCAGCAACAGCGGCACCCGGCACCCGCACCACCAGCTTCTGCAGCAGCCCGGCCCGCCGGACGCACCAACGGCGAGTCTCTGCTCCCTCTCCTCCCGCGCCCCGCTCATCGACTGACGACTGTACCTCTCTCTGTGCCCTCCTTGCAGGTCTACAGCTACGAAGGTGAGCCTGCGCACACACTCTCTTCTCTCTGGGCCTGAGCGCACCGGCTGACCTCGTTCAACAACAAGCAGCACCGTCGTTCGACCCTTCCTCGTCGCATGGAGCGTCGCACAGCTACGCCTCGGGCATGGGTGCGTCGCCTCTCTCTCTCTCGGTCGACTGTACACAGAGCCGGACACTGACTGCCCTCGGCCCTCGCAGCCGCCGCGTACCCGTCGGCGACGACGTGCGACTGCGCCGACTGCTTCTCCGGCGCCGCGCCGTCGTGGGCCCTCGAGCACCCTGTCGAGCAGCACATCTACGAGTCGCCGTACCCGACACCGTACGACCCGTCGCAGGCCGGCGTGCCGTACCAGTTCGAGCCGTCGACGTCGGTCCTCCAGCAGCCGACCTTCGAGTACCGCCCGCAACTCGAGTCGTACGACCTCGCGCCCGCCCAATTCGCCTACGCCCCTCCTCCTGCCCCTCTCCCGTCCCCTCCCGAAGAAGAGGCGCAGTACGCCTCCTTCGCTCGCCCTCGACCCGCTCCCTCGCCATGGACCCAGCCTTTCGCCGTCCCGTCGTCCGCCTCGTTCGTGCCCGCTCCGCCCGGGCCCTCTCGACCACCGCCCTACAAGCCGTACACGCCCTACCGCTTCGAGGAGCCGGCGGCGCCGGTGCCGACCTACCAGCAGGCGCCGTCGACGACCCTCCAGCCCGAGGCGCCTGTCCTCGACCGGCGGCGCAGCAGCGGCCAGAGCAGCGGCGTCTCGACGGTGCCCACGACGTCGAGGTCACGTCGACCGTCGAACCAGTCGACGGGGAGCCCTCGTGGGAGCGAGGGCAGCGGCGGGAGCGATGCCGGGCTCGACGAGCGCACGACGACGCCTTTCATGACCAAGGTGCGCCTCGCCCTTTCTCCTCCGCCCTGGTTGTTCGCAGTCCCTGACCGTATCCTCGTCATCCAGCTCCACTTCCTCGTCAACAACCCCGAGCTCAGCGAGTGGATCCGCTGGTCGGCCGACGGCCGGTCGTTCGTCTTTGCCCAGGGCTCGAAAGCTCTCTCCGAGGCGTTCGCCCGGGTCTTCCGCCACGGCAACGCGCACTCGTTCGTGCGGCAGCTCAACATCTGTGCGTCTCGCCGTGCCCCTCGTCTCGCCTCGACCGCGTGCGACACTGACCTCGCGCGCCCGGACCCACAGACGACTTCAAGCGCCTCTCGTCGCTCGAGCTGCACTCGGCCGTCGAGTCGGTCCCGCACCCGACCTCTCGCCTCACGTCGGCCGACTTTTCGGGCTTCTCGCACCCGCTCTTCTACCGCGACTCGCCGGGCGACGTGTGCGACCTGAGCAAGCTGCGGCCCAAGATGGGCAAAAAGTCGTCGAGCAAGAGCCTCGCGTCCGGGTCGGTGGGCAACCGGGCTCGCACGCTTCGCTCGGACGGCAAGGTCGGCGGCGGCATGACCGGGAGGAAGGTGTGAGGCAGCCACAGCGTCCCTTCTCCTCGCCCTCGATTCGTCTCCCTCCCTCTCGCATCTCCCTTCTCCCCTTGCACTTTCGCAGACACTCTTTCACCTGTTTACACTCCTCCCCCCCTTGTGACTAGATAGTAGACTGGCGGCGCTGGCCGCCGCCTCGGATTCCTCGACGAGGCTCGACCAGCTGCCTGCAGCGCCGACTTGGTTCCTCTCGTTCTCCCTCGCCCGTTCCCGCTTTTCGTGAGGTGCATCTCGAGAGCTCTGACGCGCATCTGAGCGAGAGAGAGCTCGCCGCAAGCGCGAGAAGAGGCGGACCCTTGGACCTCACACCTCGGTCAACTCGCTCGCTCACTCGCTCTCCCACGCTCCTCCCTTCCCCCGCTGAAGGTCTCGAGCTAGCTCGACAGCATCATGCCGCGTGCCAGCAAGACCGCCACGCGCACGCGCGCCGCCGTGAGCCCCTCGTTCGACGGCGACGACGCGCCGCACGCCGACCAAGTCGATGAGCCTCAGCCCAAGCCCAAGAAGGCGCGCACGGCAGGCGCCCGCGTCAAGGGTCGTCGAGGCGCCATGTCGGCCTTCACCAACATCCCGCTCGACCTCCTGTACGACGTGAGCCCGCCGTTCTCCTCGCCTCGCCCCTCCTTTCACCAACTCGTCGCGCTGACACGCGCGTGCATGTCGACCCGCAGATCTGCGCCAACCTCGAGCCTCGCGACCTGCTCGCCCTGTCGACCACGTCCAAGGTCTTCCGCTCGGTCGTCACGGGCGCGGCGTCGGCCCCGCTGTGGGTCGCCGCTCGCAAGCGAGTCGGCCTGCCCGAACTCGCGCACCCGATGACGGACCTGCAGTACGCGCACTTGCTCTTTGGCAAGGGCTGCTCATGTGCGTCGCCTTGTTCCCCCCCTCTCTCGTCGCGAGCTGGCGGCTGCCGGCGAGTCAGAGAGCTCACGCCCGTCCCCTCTCGCCGTCATAGTCTGTACGCGCAAGAACGCCGGCAAGCCCGAGGTCTTCTACCGTGCGAGGATCTGCACGGCCTGCATGAAGGACAAGTGCGTCGCAGCTCTCGTCCCTCTCGCGCCCCTTGTCGCGCTCGCACTGACTCGGACCCTCGACCAGGTTCGCCGATACCATCTCGGACCAAGGAGTGAGGGCGTTCGCCGAGGCGTTCAAGGACCACAAGAAGATGCACCCGTTCACGCTCCTCGTCGCAAATCAAACAGCTGGTGCGTCCTCGACCTCTCTTTCCTTCGTCGTCGGCTCGTCACTGACGAGCGTTCTCCTCGTACAGTCGAGCCTCGTCGCGATGTGCCGCATTACCGCCTCGAGGAGGTCATCCGTGTCAGCGCCGATCTGCATAGCCGGTTCCCCGAGTCGTCCTTCAGCTCGAGCCTTGGACATGGCTCCGACAGCTTCTTCTTCATCTTCACCCGCACAAGCGGCAAGCGTCGGTCGCAGGCGATCCATACGGAGGTCACGGAGAAGAGCACGCCGTTCGAGCGGTGGTGGTTCGCCGAGCGCGAGGACAAGTTCTGGGCGCAGCAGGAGGTGCGTCGGCGTCTCTCTCCGCCCTGCATGTGCCCGATCAAGCGGTACTTACTCTTTCTCTCCCGTGCGCAGGACGGCTTCAAGCTGAGCGAGTGGATCATCAAGCAGAAGATCGCCCAGGCCGTGACCAAGGAGGACCTGCGCAAAGCGCGTCGGGAAGAGTCCGTCCCTCTCCCTTTTACCTCGACAAGTGCCGGTGACGGACAGTCGGCCGCAGCATCAGAATGCGACAGCTGACCCTACTTGTCGGACAGAATCCGCCGCCGCTTCAAGGACCAAGGGTTCCAGCCCGACGAGTGCGTGGCCGCATCCTCCCTCCTCCCTCCTCTCGTTCGCCCGGGCCTGACACTCTGTGCCTCGCAGGTTCAACTTGGACTTTCACCGCCACTCGCTCTTCAACAAGCCCGAGCTCCTCACCGAGCGCACCTGGACGACGGTCGAGGCGGCGCTCAAGCCCATCCTGCTCGCCTCGCGTTCGACTTGCCGGCGCCGCTTCTTCCAGGAGCAGCTCGCGACCTACCAGGTCCAACCCGTCGCGAGCCTCCTCGCCGCCTACTATCCCAGCTCCGCCACCGTCTTGTCGGCGCTGCCGACTTGGCAGGCCGCCTGCAACGTCGACGGGTTCGTCGAGCTCGACGAGCTGTGGGCGTCGCACAAGGACGCCATCGTCGGCGAGCTCGACGTGCTCGTGCGCAGCCGCATCGAGGGCATGTTGCGGGCCGTCGGCAAGGCCCACGCCGACGCCGTCTCTGCGCAGGAGCGCGGCGAGGCCGACGAGCTCGTGCCCGACGCCGAGCCCGCCAGCGTCGAGGTGCCGGCCCTCCCGGCCTTGATGCCTCGCTCGGACGACGAGCCCGTCACCGCGACGGACGCCCAGCTCGTCGCCTTCCTCGCCGACGACCCGCTGTCCAAGTTCGTCAACTCGTGCTGCACCATCGTCCGCGACGGCAGTTCGGCCCTCAAGCACGTGGCGTCCAGCACCTGCGCTGTGTTCAAGCGCGTCGAGGCCACGGAATGGGCCGTGTGCGGCGGCGGCGGGCCCGGCAACCTCGAGATCGACGGCAAGATCCTCATCCGGCTCCTGTACCTCCGGCGCCTGCTCGACTCGACCCAGCTCGTCCCGCAAGACGCCGAGATCGAGAAGGCCATCATGACGCACAAGCTCGACGCGATCTATCCGCGCGTCGAGGACCGCATGACCAAGGTGCCCAAGTGCAACTGCGGCCTGTACAGCGCGACCACCGCCAAGGACCTGCTCCCTCAGATTGTACGTCCCCCCCCCCCCCCCGATCTCGGCGTCTTGCGGGACGAGCTGGGTCGAGTCGAGCAGGCGCCGGAGGTACAGGAGCCGGATGAGGATCTTGCCGTCGATCTCGAGCTCGAGCGTCTTGACGATGGCGAGCGGCGTGCACGGCAGGAAGACGCCTGTCGCTCTGCTTTGCAGACGTCTGTCGGTGCCGCTAGAGTCACGTACCGGTGCAGCGACTTCGTTCCCGAGCCTGAGCGAGGGACGAGCACGAGAGACTTCTCTCATCTCTCGCTGTCTCTCGGATTCGCAGCGAA